TGAGTCCCTCCTTTCTTATCCCTTTCCTCTCCCCCTTCTATCCCCCTCCTCCCTCATCCCCCCTACCCCACCTAAGATTACTCGGTGTTAGAGCAGCTGGGGACGAGATGACTGCCACTGCTGCCTCACACCACCTGGGGACGACGCCATCCTCATCTACCACAGACTACGAGAAGTAAAATGGACAGAGAGAGAGAGAGAGAGACAGGCGGGTGAGACAGAGAGACGGGTGAGAGGGAGAGACGGAGAGATGGGTGAGAGAGAGAGACGGGTGAGAGGGAGACAGACAAGTGAGAGGGAAGGGGTGAGAGAGACAGATAGATAGGTGAGAGAAAGAGAGAGACAGGCGAGAGACGGGTGAGAGACAGGTGAAAGACAGAGACCGAGAGAAAGGGAAAGAAAACTAGAGATATTAAGACAGAAAATGACTGAGAGAAAGTGAGAGAGAGAGAGAGAGAGAGAGTGAGAGAGAGAGAGAGACCTTAAAAAGTATAACTCTTACTTTACACTTATAAATTAATGTACACTATTAATTAACTTTTAAAGGTAATTACCGTAGTTAATTTAATGATTTGGCACTGTACTTGATCATCTTCAGTGCCTCAACTGTTAGGTCAGGTGTTGGCACTCGTTAGCTGCTGGGGTCAACTATAGGGACTCGAACTGGTGATTGCTTGTTAGGGTAGAGTCTCAGTGTAAATTTTCCTCCATTCAAGCCTTTGTATCGTTTAGCTTAACACTTTAGAAAAAAAAAGTTCAGTCTCTTAAGTATTTTATTTTGTTGAGTCACACTTACCGACTATAGGGTTAGGGTGAGTCACTTAGAGTCATTCTCACATTGCCAGTTAGCGCGCCAAGTGAACGCCAGTATAGGCAGAGTGGTGGAGAGCTCTTCGTCAGGCGATGGTGAGTGGGGGGGGGGGGGGTTATCAGACAGTGGTGGCGATAATGTGTTCACTACATACATACATACAGACATACATGCTTACTGTTATACACGCCACATACCTCATACGCCATACACTCCTTTGCATACATACATACATACATACATACATACATACATGCTTACTGTTATACATACATACATACCTCATACATACATACATACATACATGCTTACTGTTATACATACATACATACATACATACAAGAAACACACACACACATGACTGTTATGTGTGTGATATACTGTTATACACACCTCTTTTAGCGGTTATATCTGTAGTATACAATCATATATGGGCCCAGACCTGCCAGAGACGGTGTATAGCTGGACCACGGCCAACACGTACATACACACACAAACACCTACATAGATACGTACACACAAGCATACACACACACACGCACACATTATATCTCAGTTTAAAAGTTTCATTCATTAATTTTACTTCTTTTAATATGCAATACAAGTAATAATAATAGTAATAATAATAATAATAATAATAATAATAAAAAGAAAACCTGAACTAAAACAATCGCAACTCCACAGAAAACGGAACATGAACGCTAAGCCAAACGTAACAGCTGTACAGGAAACGAAACACCAATCACAGTAGTCCCTCGGAAATGACAACAAAATATTCTTACGCTGTGTGTGAATGTACAGGAGACAGAGAGAGAGAGAGAGTGTTTGGATAGAGGGTGAAAGCCTTGAGTCAACAAAAGGAACCCTGGGATTAGATAACATTGGTACAAGTCAACTCTCTCTCTCTCTCTCTCTCTGTCTCTCTCTCCTCTTTTCTCCTTTCTCTGTCTATCTCTCTGTTTGTATGTTTGTATCTCCCCCTCTCTTCTTTCATTCCCGTTTACTGTCTCAGAAAGATAAAACGAGGTTGGGAAGGAAAAAGGAGAGAGAGAGAGAGAAATCAGTGCCACAAAATCAGCTTTAAGATAACTCACTTATCGTCCCCCTTGTTATGAGAGAGAGAGAGAGAGAGAGAGAGAGAGAGAGAGAGAGAGAGTGAGTTGACTCTCTTTCAGTTTACTCTCACATGGACCAGTTTACTCTCACAAGGACCAGTTTACTCTCACATGGACCAGTTTACTCTCACATGGACCAGTTTACTCTCACAAGGACCAGTTTACTCTCACATGGACCAGTTTACTCTCACATGGACCAGTTTACTCTCACAAGGACCAGTTTACTCTCACATGGACCAGTTTACTCTCACATGGACCAGTTTACTCTCACATGGACCAGTTTACTCTCACAACCAGTTTACTCTCACATGGACCAGTTTACTCTCACAAGGACCAGTTTACTCTCACAAGGACCAGTTTACTCTCACAAGGACCAGTTTACTCTCACAAGGACCAGTTTACTCTCACAGTTTACTCTCACATGGACCAGTTTACTCTCACATGGACCAGTTTACTCTCACATGGACCAGTTTACTCTCACATGGACCAGTTTACTCTCACATGGACCAGTTTACTCTCACAAGGACCAGTTTACTCTCACAAGGACCAGTTTACTCTCACAGTTTACTCTCACAACAGAAACCTCGATGGAACGCCAGTGAAGTGTGTTCTTGATGCCCCTTCCTTGTCCACCTTACCGTAACGCCAGCTGAGGGGAGAGTGAGAGGGGAGATAGAGAGGGGAGGTGGTGATTGAGAGAGAGAGAGGGGGTGGAAGGGAAATAGAGAGGGGAGGTGGTGAGAGAGATAGAGAGAGAGAGAGAGAGAGCGTTATCTCACAGTGAAGTAGTACTAATATTTGCACATACCGCTACTCCACCTACCCTCAACACACTTGTGGACAAACTTTACCAACACACACACACACACAAAATGTTAATTACGCTAGAGTGTGTTACGTATTGAGGGTCAAAGAGTGCGTGAAGGAAGGGGGAATAGAGTGCGTGAAGAAATTTGTATAGAGTGCGTGAAGGAAGGGGGTCAAAGAGTGCGTGAAGGAAAGGGGTCAGGGTGTGTGAAGGAAGGGGGTCAGAGTGTATGAAGGAAGGGGGTCAGAGTACGTGAATAAATTTGTATAGAGTGCGTGAAGGAAGGGGGTCAAAGAGTGCGTGAAGGAAAGGGATATAGGTTGCATGAAGGAATGGGGTTAGAGTGTGTGAAGGAAAGGGGCAGTGGCGGCTCGTGAAAAATAAACTGGAGGGACTGCAAGCCTCACACAACAGTAGGTGACCTACCTCAGGTATGAGTTGGAGTTGATGTCCACGAATTCCCAGGGCATGGTAGTAGTGTTGGTGGTGATGGACCAGTATTAATTGAAAATAAAGTCCGCGCGTCTGCTCTTCGATGTAGCAAAATTGTTCATTACTATTTCATTAAAATCCTTTATTTCTGTTATCATTTTATTTTCAATGGATATCACTGCTAAAGCAGACAGTCTGTCATTCACCATGGTACTGCGGAAAAAAGTTTTAATTCTCTTCAAAGTTGAAAAGCACCTTTCTGCTTCTGCCGTTGTCATTGGAGTTGTTATTAAAATTTTCAGCAACTTGACAGTGTCTGAAAATGTTGACTGTAGATTATTGTCATTCATCATCTCCAACAAGTCTATGAGACTTTCTGATTTACACAAAGCACGATTTAACCACACCGTCCACACGTTGTACAAGACTGAGTGCAGCGGCGGCGGCGCCAATTAATAACAGACATCAATCGTACAGCATTGACAACAACTATGAAAGTAACTTAAATTTTGGTCTGATTTTAATGAAAATTCACTTAGCAACGTATTGAAAATAATTAAATAACATATAAAATGATATATTTGTTGGTAGTGTATTATTCAGCTGTCTCTCTAAAGGAATCATACGCCTGGCAGTGAGTGTCTGGGGGGACTGCAGCCCTATGCACGAGCCGCCACTGTGGCTGACCATACCTACGCTCTGAGGACCACACGTGACCACACTCTGAGGACCATACCTACGCTCTGAGGACCACACGTGACCACACTCTGAGGACCATACCTACGCTCTGAGGACCACACGTGACCACACTCTGAGGACCATACCTACACTCTGATGGCCACGCATGATCACACTCTGGTGACCACAACTTCTAAATTTATATTATTGAAGGTTAATATCTGATTGACGATGTTTGTAACGGGGAAATGGGAGTACCTCTCACTAATGTGTCAAGGGTTGGAGTCCTGCTTGGCCCGACCACGTGAGTAGGGTGTTATCCAGTGTGACCTTCATACCAAACATCACAGGTTTCCTCCAGGTACTCCAATTTCCTCCAATACTAACTCTGTATAGACCAACCGTCCCAAGGGCTAGTAAGCTGATCAGTGGCTAACAGATAAACAAAATTAAAATCGAGAGAATTAGTCGTGTTATCCCATGAAAGGCGCACTGGAAGAACCATTTTCTATCATTATCAGAGAATGAGCATTTGAAGGGCCAACTTGTATATCTTGTTACTACATCCCCAAAGACAAGTTTACACTGAATAACCGTGTAATAGACAATACTGTACAGGTATATGATGTACAGTATATGGGTACAATGTAGTATATAGATAGTGCAGTTATATAAACAGTATACAGTTGTGGTGCTGATATACAATGTACACTTTGGCGATATAAAACATGTACATAAATAGTGGAGGTATATTGAGTGTACAGAGATAGTGCAGGTAAAAGAAAATGGTAAAAATTAAGGCAACTTGACCAAGATGCTTATTTCAAGGAGGGTTCTGTATTAACTATTTTCAACATTTTCCTTGTTTATTATATATTTTTTTTAATCATATAAATTTGTAGGTTAAGATTATGAAAAAAAAAGAAAGAATTAAGATTTATTGTTGAGCTTTTAATGAAAATAACTAAAGACTCTCACATCTTAGATACACGTCAGCTGTAAACAAGTCTCAACAGCCGACCAATAGGAGGCTTTGAACTATTCCACACCTAGACGTCATATCTCACCGACCAATAGGAGGCTTTAAACTATTCCACACCATGACGTCATATCTCATCATCGACCAATCACAGTCATCGTAACAGTATGGCAGGTGGTGAGAGTAGTGACGCAAGGTCGTGTGTGTGTTACTGGTGCAACACTTAAGACAAATTCAAGTTAAAACTCTTTGTATGGAATGATTCACGTGATGCAAGATGAATCATTGGCGCCGTGGTATAATACGACTCTTACTGGCCATCTTATTACTCTTGTTTGTGTTGTTATTGACTTACGTGGACGCTGAGAGGGATGGTGATGATGTGTCCGAGGAGATACTTGAGGCTTCAGGGTACAGCAGGTGGGTCGAGGTCGAGGATGACTTGGACTACCCTGAGGATGATGGGGACATGATAGTGGTGGATGTGGAGGATGACGATGACCTGGAGACCATGTACTCTAGCCCCCATGAGTACGAGGAGGTGTACAGCAGACCTGAGTTTGATGAGCTGCCCCACTGTCCGCAGGATGATGGGGTTCTACGGTACGGTTTGTTTTATTCAATTTAATGTAATGTAACCTAACCTAACCTAATCATTGAACTAAGATTATAAAAATGACTTATATCAGATGATCGTCCAAGCGGGATGACACCGTTTTGTCGACGGTGTAGTGAGGATTCATTTTATGTTATTGCGAGAAATTTATTATTAATGTAGGATTTTCTTATATTATTTATCTTGTTATAAATTAAGGTATTATTGTTCATTTCGGTCATCCAGCGAATTTTAGGATATTGAGCATACCACCGTCCGAGAGAGGTTTAAGTTAGGTTTGATTAGGTTAGGTTTTTCTGATGGTTTTTGATGTGTTTTGAACGATTCTGGCATATACTTCCAAATAGATGGATAACCGAAATGTGGGTAAAGTGTATCTATGGAAATGTTTCTCTTTTAACACTAGCAACGAAATGAAACTTCTAAAATTGGCCAGGGCTTTGTAGACGAGGGAAACTGAAGGGTTAAAAAACTAAGAGAAACACCAAACAAACCCTCTAGAACTTTACCTAACGTATTGAACCTATAACATTACAGATTTTGACCCGAATCTTACTGTATTTATGTAATGGACACTTAAAAACTGAATTAATTAACATAGTTTTGTACGTAACGAATCACTTTAACATTTGGTGGATGTGATCTACATTTGACTATGATACAACAATATTCACAGATTTAAGTTCACTAAATACATTTTTGTAGGATTTTATGCACAAAAATTTTATCTAGACGTATTCAGTCCTCCCTTGTTACCTTAACACTGAAAACAGTAAGATAATTACTGATAAAAACAAGAAAATACATAAGTAGAATCACTTTTTCTTATGCCACTTGCTAAATAAAGTACTGTAAGGTGTTTTTTTGTGCATAAAAGCAGAAACAATGGTAAAATTTTAGTTTCGATCATCTAACCTAACCAACCTAACCTACCTAACTTAACAAACTTAACCTAACCTAACCTATTGTAACCTAACCAGACCAAACCTTGGTACCCAGGAACGATATCTAATACAAACGATATCTAATACAAATTTGCATATGAAATCCCTAAAGCAATAATTTATATCATGCAATTTTGGGTGCTACTATAGTGTATTTATTTAAAATTTTTGCTTCTGCCCTCATAAGACTGAAGTAACCCTCCCCCCTCCCCATGACAAACGTGTCACTATGCCTCTTACTTACAAATACATCATCTCATTCTGTACCTCTTGTGCAGACCGGCTGTGGTGGTGAGTACGTTAGATGGAAGAGTGACCAGCATGGACCTGACTACCGGAGCTGTGTTGTGGTCCCACCAGACTGGCGGCATAAATAAACCCATGTTGTCTTCATCTATGTCAAAGGTAAAAGGTCATAACAGCTGTTGAGTAAACTTGTTATGTACAGGATGACTTATAGGGAAATTAATGTTTTTTTTTGTGTGAATTACCGTGTTGTACAGTACAGACAGGCACTGATTTACAAGGATTTGATTGATGAAAATTTGCAGTTGAAAAGGTTAGATAAAAGACATTTATTCTGTTTTCTTGAATTTCATACATCCACACTGTGTATGAAGCAGTATGAAACCACTGATGATGTATATTATGGTATGCCCATTGGTCCTGGTAGCCCTGCTTTCATGAGGGTTATGGTACTTAGTGATACTTTCTGCATCAGCAAGTACTGTACTGTACAGGCAACCAGTTAGTAGGATTTGATTTTTTTTCACAAGGACTAACATAGCCAATTGGTTGAAATTTTACAGTTGGAAGTAACATCCCGCGGTGAATGGGTACGTCTGATTCCCTCTCTGGATGGTGGAATATTCAGGTTTGATGGTGAGGGTGTGGAGGCTCTCCCTGTGACTGCTGACACTTTACTTCACTCATCTTTCAAGTTCAATACAGACACTATTTTCACAGGTATGGAATACAACACCCAGAGTGTACTGTATTGTGTGGCATGTTTTGTCTTATAGTTTACTGTATAAATGTATTGTGTGTGAACATGCAAACTGTTGAGTGAAAACTGAAATTGTGCTCATGTAAAAATTAAAGATTATATGTGAAGGGGAGGAGACCCAGGGATAGGTAAAATATGACATGGGTAGAGGCTGTAAGAAATGGCGTTAGAGTTAGGAGCCTAACAGGGGACGCTACAAGAGACCATGCAGCATGGGGAACTGCCATCAAGTAATTACGGCTAACCCACACAAGTATAGAAAATGGCCGTAAACGATGATGATGATGATAAAAATATGTGAGAACGTTGGTATGTAGAGATTATTGGATTCTGGGATGACACTTGTAAAATTTAAGGCGGGGGGGGGGGGTATAAAATGAAAGCGGCAGCAGCACGAGCTCCAGTGTAGGGGTAGGGAGATGAAGTTGAGGATACATTTTGAAAGTAACTTAAAGAGATGACTTACACTGTACATTATGTAGAAATATCCGTTCATCTTGTGGTACATGAGTGAATGTTGATAGTCAGCATCATAGTGTCTGAACACCTCGGGATCAGGAGATGTCCTAATAAGACAATGGCCCCAGGCACAGTACTGCTGTACACAGAAATACAAATTAATTACCAAAATTTTACTAAAAGATGCAGCAGTGCCTCTTTAGGTGTTTATACATTATAGGAATTTTTCAAGTTTGGGCTTACAAAGGCTTTTATGCTCACTCATGACCTTACAACAGTCTGTAGCAGAAGATAAATTAAAAAACAAGCAGAGACACCAAATGGTGGATGACTTACAAACTTCCACATTTGGGAAGTACAGTAAAGTACTGTAGGTGTGCTCTCCTGAATGGGACTTTTCCTGGGTACTGTAATAGGTGTCTAGATACTGTAGTGTTGTCTGTTCTTAAAAATTTTAACAGACTCTCTCACTCTCTCTTCAGTAATATTGTCATTGTATTGATGAGTTGATCTACTGTTTTTGTTATTAAGACTGAATATACTTATAATTTTTATAATTAATGATGTTGAACTGACTTTCAGGAGGAAAAGCAACAGAAGTTTGGGGTATGTCAGTGGACACAGGGAGGCTTATTTACGTGTGCAACTCCTTAGGATGCAAACGTCAGAGAACTGCGTCAAAGCCCGCACACGTGCTGGTCATACGACGTGTCACTCAGACAGTACGTGCAGTGGATCCCACGACGGGGGATGAGAGGTATGTGTTTCTTTTTGTCCCGTTAACAATATCCTTCGGTTGGATCAACAGGGAGGTTCTTGTCAGTCCTCAGCACTTCCTTCATAGATAACCACTTGACAGTAATGTGATCGATTCATGACGACAAGTGGATTTGATGGACGGGAGGGAAACACGGGGTTAGTTGATTTTCTTAATTACTCTAATGCTTCAGGCTACACAGAGCCCATCTTCAACCTATATATACTGAACACCAAAAATTTGAATTAAAAAATATTTATTGTGTATTTTAAGACAGTTTGGTAATGTTTTGTTTTGTTTTGTAGGATTGTATCTCGGCTTTTATATTGGGAGTCTTTGGAGAATGTGATCCAATTTACAAGAAAATAACTTACAAAAAGGTTTATCAGAAATGGAACCCTTTCATAAATCAGGGACTGCCTGTATATACTGTGTACTGTACAATTACACATTGGAGCTTCAGGGTTTGGGATTTTGGCCTAATTTTGGACACTGCAGTTATCAGAAAAAATATTTGTAATTTGGTAAAATTCATAAATATTTTCTAGCCTCTCACGAGACAGCAGGTGTATAGAAGTTTCATTATTGCTATGTAATAATTGTTTTTATTAAACCTGCAGATGGAACTTCAGTGTGGGGCAGCACGAAGTGAACCTTGCCGGAGGTGGATGTGAGTCTATGGGCACCAAGGACACGAGTCATTCCCTCTTACCCACACTTCACTTTATTGTGCCGGACGGGATCATCATGGGCATGGATGCTGACGGTGGATTAATATGGCAACAAAAGGTGAGATACACTCAACACTGCAGTCTTCTTGGATTATTCCTTCACACAACATCTTACAGCTCAATAAGGTGTTGCTGTTGTTCTTGGTGACAGATTTTACACCTTAAACAAATACAGTACAGGGCCTTAGAGCCAACCAGCCTTGAACATGAGTGGCAGCCAGTATGGAGTGACGGGTAAAACAGACGGTAATCTTGGGACATTGTTTCGGATGAGCACATAAGGTTCAAGTGATGATGAGCTATGTGAGGATTATTTGCTCTGACTGACAGGAATAGATGAGGAGTTCTAAAAGGAATGGGTAAAATTATAAAGTTATCTATTAAATGGACAAAATTTGCTCACCGAATACATTTCTGTAATCATATTTCCTGTACACCTAACGAGTGACACAAACAATGGTAGGAAGCTTCTGTGTGTGGATCTTTCCGTACAATGTGTCACTGGAAATGCTAGATACTTCTTCCATGACTACAAAGAATGCTACTTGTGGAGAGAGGGACCAATGTGGAGATGGAAAAGTTGCCACAAATATCATTACAGTAATTCACTCGAGCAGAAATGAGGTACCGATCTTAAAAATTATGGCACGTAAAGATCCTTATTATATTGATGTTCACCAGCATTCATAGGTTAAATAATGGTGACTATCAGATTAGTTTCACCAAAGAATATTAGGAATGATAAAAAAAATGTTGGAAGGTAAAGGATAACCATAAGAAAGTGACCAACTAGTCTTCCTTCTACTGTCCACATAAAGCAACAACTGCATTTCATTCTAATTTTCATATAGATTCTTATTTACCATTACTGTGCAGTACATCTAATCCAGGAAATACAATCCTCTATAATTTAAAGACGACAATTGCTAATGAGTCAGTTTTAAGTAAGGAAATGACTTGAAGTCCTTTGATGCTTTTTATTAATAGATATACACACAGGTAAAATATATTTTTGGGAGAGTACAATATTTCGATTTTATTGTACAGTACATTATTTTCATTGTGTACAGTTGACGTCACCAGTTGTAAACGCTTGGCGAGTACTGGAAGGAGAATTAGAACAAGTTGATTTGTTCAGCACTAGCAGTGTGCCGGCCCTGAACCCAGACACTGGCCTCCCTGACACACAGCGCGAGGTAAGTCTTTAACATATTGATTAACAAAGTAATTCCTGTTGTACTTTTATGTCCAGTAGAATATACTAAAATATTAAGAAATTTGTGCTGTAAAAGTTGGGAGATTATGTGGCTTTGTAATGTGCTTATTTGTCTCAGTGTGTATTTATATCTTAACACCAGACGTGGATGACTCGTTCATTACCAACCAAAGTCTATAGGTTGAAATTCCAGTTCCCATGATATTGGTAGTTGTAATCAGTGGGAAACAACTTAATTCCTTCCCAAGGCTGTCATATTCCTTATAAGTGGGTAATTAAAGACAACAGCTGTCATTAAAGAGTCTTCACAGTGCAGTACATTAGGTGTGTTCCTTGTGACGCTCATTTGGGTTGGTCATAAGTCTTCACTGGGTCAATTTTCCAGTCTCACCTACCTGTACAGTGCAGTTGGTCATCTCTGAATGTCTCCTGGATTATTTTTCCTTGATGGTTGTCCTCTGGATCATTGTATCTTCATTGGCCTTCTTTTAGAGGCAAGTCCTGGCAGTCTGTCCTGCTACTTCATCATGAGTTAGTTGGTTGTATTGCTCTGTGTGGCATGGGTGAGTGGGAGAGGCTCATTCATTGCTGTTAAATGTTGTTTTATTTATTTAATCCACTTATGGTTTATAGAACATTTGAACCAGGTGTTAAGTTATAGAGTGGAATTGATCCTGACATCCTGTAACCAAGCCTGGGATATCCAACTTCCTTCTCTTGTGGGTTGAACCTAAGGAATTGATCAGATAGGGGCGATGGAGTGCCGGGCTACTGTGATGACAAGACACTTCACCTCTCAGTGGCAGCTATTGCCTCTAATACACAAAAGATTTGAACTAATAATTGTACTTTTTATTTTTTCACCAAGGTCATGGTCTAAGGTTTTCAGCTTGTATATTTGTTGGTAATGAATGAGTTGGTTGTTCCAGACTTGGTCATGGCCTGGGATATTAGAAACACTTCCTCATTTTTAGTGGTGTGTGTTTCATTTGTATCAGAGCGATGAGGAGGACCAGCAGCTGCAGCCAGCACTGTACGTAGGTGTGCATCAGAAACAACTGTACATCCAGCAGAGTGGAGGGATGCGTCATAAGGTTAACTCTGCAGCAAGGATATTCACGGCTGACTCGTCCACCCAGGGTGTGTGGTGTTCACTAACCTCTCAAGTAGAAATGCTATGTAACTATCTTTAGTCAAGAATATTTTTACTTAGATTTCATTTAGTATGTGTGTCTATGTTTGCTTACATGTTATTTGTATTGTTAAAGTAGTACTGTAGAATATCCCATCTGAGTTTAACATTACAAAAACCTTGGGTAACTGATCAGTCTAGAAAATATCCCTTAAAAAATCATAAATCAGACGTATGCCTGTATAGATACTTGTATTATATAACTGTGTCTTTGACAGCTAAGGTACAGTACTTAAGGTTTTGGATGTGATTATTTTATAATTAATGAATGTTTCTCACTCGGTGCAGACCCCACCGAGGTAAAATTTCCAAGAGTTCAGTGGCGTCCATACTTGGCCACTGCTCCTTCCCGTACACCGATAGTCCATCACAGTGGCCGCACACATCCTCTGCTTCTCACCTACGATGCCAAAGACGAGTCCTCCACTGCTGTAGCTGTTGCCCATCGCATTGATTATCCATTTGGTAAGTCACTCAAATTATATTAACACCAAGAATATGCAGGTACACACTCACTCATCTTATAGTACAATATAGTGTTATGGGCCTGCTGAGCTGTGTGTGTCAGTCTTGATGCCTTTGGCCTTACAGCATCAGGCTAGGATCATCACATTTATATGAGAGGGACAGAAAAGCCTTGATATGAGAGGCCTGAACAGGGTGGCTCAAAAGACCTGGACAGCTTTGATTGTTAATAAATTTAGAACCACAAGTGATAAAACGATAGTTTGTTTTATATGATACAAAAACTCATGAAGGGGGTTTTTGTCTGGTGATCGTGATATCCAGATTGAAAAATTTCCAGGTTGCCATATTGGCCGAGGTGGACCAACTGCCTGGCCACCACGATAAGTTTCTGGATGGAAGAGGACTCATTTAGCTATCACAATTTTGATTTGTTTTTATCTTGTATTGTTGATGTGTTTTACGTATTATATCTTTTTTATATATAATTTTTACCTTAATCATATTTAAGTTCATGGACTGGTAAAGTTGGACAATGTGAACAAGTTGGCTGTACAGTACAGTGCATGAAGAAATTTCACGGGTAGTTTAATCAGTCTTTGTCACTTGGAAATTTTTTTTGCTCATTGTTTTTACTTCAATCTTCTTGTTACTAGTTGTTATTCTCATTTGAATTGTTTACATTATACTTTGTATCTTTTTACTGTCATTTGTATATACAGGTATGTAAATATAATTGATATTTTCATGCCATTTAGCTAGCCAGTGCATGCTCACGGCATTTTTGTTGCTGGATGACACACTGGGACTAGGCTACAGAGGTAAACTTGATGTGATACAGTGCAGTACTCAGTAAGGCAGCTCAGTAGACAGACAAACATCTCCTTATAGCTGTAGTTAGTGCAGGTAGTTGGGTACTGAGCTACTTGTAAACTTCATTACTGTACACACAGATATGTAAACAACCCATTGTAGCGATGAGTAAAGGATGAAAATATGATAAATTCATTAGAAGACTTGATTAGTACATAAATGTGTATTCTCACGTAGACATGACTCGTACAGGCACTGGGAGTTAAACACACTGGCAGATGTGACTGTTGGGACATATCCACTTGTAAAAACTTTGCCAGTGCAGTTGTATTATGGCACCAGTAGATGAAGAGATTAATCTGTAGACCTGACTGGTTACACGTTAACACCTGGATGCAGATATCCATTCATACAATTACATGAAGGTGGATTATAACTGACGGTGTGGATATGAGGTGTGTGTAGCCTCAGGAAATACTTGTCTGTATTAGTAATGTGACTTCTGACACTAGGATATGGTTCATGTGACTCGGTACTACACAGAAATAATCTTTGTACAGTCGGGGTCAAAGGTTCGCTCCCTCCGAAAATGAAGCAGCGTCGACCCCAAATGAGATGAAACAGTCAGGGTAAGTCAGTTCGGAGACTCATTCCCGTGACTCAGTTTCACTGCGGGGAGCCAACTTTTGTCCGTGACTGTACAGTATATGATTAATTACCAGGCATTTGTTGTTTGTTAATTTCTTGTCAGTTTAAGCTAGTGTTGATATCTTTGCAAGTGACTAGTTAGAAGTTATCTTTTTCACTTTGTAATGTGTTATACAGGTATGTGTAAATGAACTGTGGTATTAAGTTGTTGAAATAGCTTGCTGTAAATTGAGGTTGTGATTTATATGAATATGTTGGTAGAATATATATATTGTATTGATAAGTGATTTTATTTTTATTTATTTTATTTTTTATTTATTTATTAATTTTTTTTAACATGTGCAAAATATAAACCTTTAAAATTTAAACCTTTGGTGCTATAAAATCTAATGTTAGCTTTTGCTTTGTTATAATACTCCACTTTGGTGACTGATTAAATGGGCCCAAGTCCTAATAAATAAACCCCAACTTAATCTAACCATTGATATTAGGCCCCAAATCCAAAGTGACTAGTTCCTGGCAGTGAGAATTCAGTACACAGGGAGGCAGTGTGGCTGGCACTGTCTTACTTTTTTACTTTTATCCTCTTCACCACTGATCGGCTCGTTAGCCGCTTGGGCGATCGGTCACGTCTCTCACGCACTGTTGGCAAGTACTGGGCATGCACCAGCTCCTGAATGTACCTGAACCTGCTCCAGTGTTGGTCAAGTCTTGTCTTGAAAGAGCTTACACTCGGTGCCGTCACAACACTTTCTGGTAGATTGTTCCAAGAGTTTACAACTCTCACTCCAAAAAAGTTTGCCCTCACAGTTTTCTGGTCCTGCGGCTTCTTCAATCTTGAGCTGTGACCCCTTGTGCGGCGAGCGTCCGCTAGCTCCAAGTAAGGACACTCGACTGAGTAGTGCCCCTTGAGATGCTTATGCACCTCAATTAGGTCGCCCCTTGCTTGTCTGTAGTATAAACTAGGCAAGTTCAGGCGCTCCAATCTCTCAGGGTAGTTGAGGTGCCGAAGTGCAGGCACCAGTTTTTTCCAAGCTTAGAAGCTCCAAAAGTTGTTGGTAGTGAAAGGTAGAGTGGGGAAGATGACAGAGGAAGGAGCAGGAGGTTAGGAAGGGAATTGTAGTGGGACAGATAGTGCCGTGGCTTTACACGACTGCGTTTATTTGGTTAGCGCATAGCGCACGTATTTGGTTTTGTCTGTGTTGGGTGTGTGATCCTCGGGTCACCACTGTGTTTGTTCCAAGTTTAGAAGCTCCAACAACTTTCCCTGAATACAAATTCGCAACCTTTCGATTTACAACAGGTACCTACTTTACTGCTAGGTGAACAGGGACCAAGGGGGCTAGGAAGAGTGTCCAAACAACTTCCGCTTGCCTGGGAATCGAACCCGTGACATCTTGCTTGCGAGGCAAGAGCGGTACCGCTTCTACCATAAGCGGCCCCAAAGGCACCAGTCTGGTGGCCCTCCTTTGAACATTTTCAACCAACTGACAGTCTCTAGCATATCTTGGGGACCAGATTATTACCAGTTTTAATCAGATTATAATGATGTTGGTGGATATTTGCTCCAGGAAATTGATTATGTCGGTACAATAGCAACAGTATATCTTTTCTTTTTTTTTTGCCAATTAGATATTTTCCTTTTGTCAAGTTTTAGACAGTTAAGTAGACCTGTGTACTGTTTACCATAGTTACTGGTTTATTTTTCAACTTTTGTACTGTATTGTGTAACATTAGTGTTTAGAGAGTGAAGTAAGATAAACAAATGTGTGTAAAGTTTTGGCAGGTCATATAACTAACTCCCTGCCGCAGATAATGGCTACTATTTGTACAGTGACGAAAACACCGGCCAGGTTAATCTTAGTCGTCCGTGGGAGAGACCTGACTCTGCATCAGCACCAAAGGATGAAACTATAATGGATGAAGTTGCATCACAAATCATTCACATATGTTTTCACATCGGGTAAGATTATATGCTTTGTATTTTCTTGGTAAACTGAATGGATTTTTGGAATTTTTCAAGAATGGGGATGTGTAGAGGGAACAGGTACAGGGTACTTGGTATGGGTCACCCTGCTTGGTAGTAATGGCTGGCTCATTGAATTGTGAATAGGTAGAATGGTTCATAAAGTCAAAGGAACTATTAATTAGTTTAATGTTCTTGGGTAAGGTGAATTCTTGTAGGTACTGGGATGGAATGAGAGTGAGACGGTGAATCATGGGAGGAAAAGTATTGGGAGAAGGACAAGTAAAGATTAATATGACAAATCCACAGTTTTGAAGATGGAAATGTAAAAATTGGTAAGGAGGAGCAGGTGGGCGAGGGAACTGTTGTCCCTCATTGCTTGGCTCAGTGTGATGCAGTTGCTGTCATCCATTCTAACAACTGGAGCTGAAGAGAATAAAGAAAACTTGTAGTCTATAACTTATAAAGAAGGATTTACAGGAATCATTTATTGTAATACTGTACAGTAAAACTCTTGCTAGTCAGGACTAAATGGGGGAGAGGGTCTGGACTATTCAAAATGTATAGTAAAAAATGCATTGTCTTGTAAATGAGGCATATTAACATTAAAAAGATATTTTATTATCAGACACCATTTATTTGGCTTTGTTTTTCTTAATATCGGAAACTGTTTGTCTAATTATACCAAATAATTCCTTGAGTCACACTCAAGTTATTCAGTTATTTTGAACTTTTCTACAACATTTATGGCTACTGTTCATGTTTACTTTTATTGTCAAGCTTTTTCTATTTGGAAGAATTTTAAATGGTTTATAGGGAACTAAAAGTTAGAGAACAAAAAGTATTGTGAGATACTCCTTCTATTGTGAAATAACAGTAACTGATGCCAAGTGGTTATGCCAAGCAGGACCTAGTCTGGATTAGCTAGGTTTCACTGTATGTGCATAATAATTCATTTGTGTTCAGTACTGTATGGCGATATAGTATTTCCTTTAAAATCTTTTTTCAGGCCAGAAATGTGGATGAAGATTGCTTTTGGTCTTGTGTGCTATACATTACTTCATTACCTGCTGTTGCAGTACATACTCGTGCACATGAAGCGTCACGTGACCCGCCAGGCTCTAGTCCTCGTCACACAGATGTTACAGCTTGTGATTCAGAATAATCCACAAGTTAGTAATGCTTTCATCTGTTATTCGCAGGGGGGGAATAAGTAGAGTTTATTAATGGTGTAAAACCAATTTTTTTTAGAAGAAAGAGGAAAACTTTGAAATTTTGCTAACTTATATTAGGCGCCACAATGACAATTTTTTTAATTTATATTTTTTCGAAGAATTAATACAATTTAATTTACAGATATTAGCACTTATACAGAGGATGGGTATCCAACTGCCTGCCCTGCCTGCACCACCACCACCACCAGGTGAAGCTGCTGCCTCACCATTGTCCGTCAAGACTAATGAACTCCCAACAGAAGACAAGACTGAGTCATCACCTGAATATACCTCAAGGTGAGATAATTTACAGCATTTGTTAGTGTACTGTGAGTTACCTGTTCTTAGTGTACTGTCTGTGTGTGCTGGTTAAGGTACAGTACAGTATATTTAATGTGTTTTAATCATTTAGGTACAGTAATTTTAAAAAGCTGTGATTACCTTTCCTCTTGATCCAGGTATTTGACGGACTTTGAACTGGTACAGTGTCTTGGTCGAGGAGGCTTTGGTGTCGTGTTTCAAGTGCGGAACAAACTCGACGAGAATGTTTACGCTGTTAAGAGAATCATCCTCCCTTCTAAGTAAGTATAGCATCTTAATGTGGTAATCTAAATTGGTAGACAATTTTATTTTGTACTTGATGGAAGCTTGAACTAATTTTTTATTTCCTAGTTCCTTAAGACAGCTTGGAAGATTTTACTAGACTTTAATACTGTAATTGTTCCCACCATCCTGCTTTTGTATGTTAGCTCATGAAGACTTTGTAAATCTAATTCTCACAAATTTTCATGGATTTTAATTGAGCGTTGTAAATAAAACTCACAAGCTGTCCAGGGAATTAAAAAATAAACCACTTTTGTTGATATTACACAGAGTTTTAGGGCCTTGGACTTTTTTTGTAGTGGAGCCTGACATAATCTGCTTTCTCTTGTGTTAACTGTCCAGAGATGTGGCCAGTGATAGTATAGGACAGTAAAGCATCAAGAGCTTTAGAGGAATGTTACAGTAGTTAGAGTATGACATTAAGTGAGTGTTAGGGAGAATCCGTTCACTGTACACTGTTTCTTCTGTGCACCATAGTTCAAGGGGTGTGTAAGATGTGATTAAAATACATGTTTACTGTGCAGGAAGTCTTCAGCTGAGAGAGTAAAGCGTGAAGTGAGAGCATTGGCTAAGCTGAACCACAGTAATATTGTCCGCTACTACAACAGTTGGCTTGAGTCACCCCCTCCAGGCTGGCAAGATGAAGTGGATGCACTCTGGAAAAATGGGTGAGTCAAATGAAACTTCTCTCTTAAATAGAAAACAAATTCATGTCATCCACTTGTTTTGTACCATTTTAATTTGGTTGGTAATATTGTTGGTACAAGAGATGTTAGTAGACAAAGTTTTGGGGCTTAGTGCAAAAAAATAAAATAAATAGGGTGTCACAGGTCTAACTCATTGCTATTGTGTATCTGTTGAATGATTTTAGTACTCTGGAAAGATTAGTTGAAAGTTACATGTTGTTAAGAGGACATACATACCTTGATAATGAGCAGTGATGGATAGAGAAAATACTTTTGTAAATATTATGAAATGTTGTTGTTTTGCCTGAACAGTGATGTTATGTCCACATCTCTCCTCACTCCTGCTACTGAGGAGACCCACAACAAGATGATGGAACAAACTGGAATTGAAATGAAGGCAGTGCAGTTGAGAGAGAATTCACTGGCCATGGCTGTGGACAAGCTAATTGGATCTCCGTTGGACAGTTTTTCTGGGAACATTGAAGACCAAAACAGTGAAAGTGGATCTTACAGTGGTGATAAGGAAGATGAAAACTCCAGTGATGACAGTGAAAGTGGATCTTACAGTGGTGATAAGGAAGATGAAAACTCCAGTGATGACAGTGAACCATTTAAACCTTTGTTGCGGGAAGATTCATTTGATGTTGTTTTTGAAAATTCCTGCAATCCATCCAAAAATAAAGTAAATGGTCACAGTGAGGACTCTTTTGATGTTGTGTTTGAACCGTCAGACAGAAGTCAGGTGACAGCAAGACACAGGAGCAAGGAAGAAGTCAAACTTAGTAATGAATTTACCTTTAGTAGTAACTCCTATGATAATGTTGACAGTGAGCTTCAAGAGCGGGGTATAGAAAGTAGTGTTAGTGACTTTATTGTCTTTCACGACTCTGGCTGTGAAAGTAAAAATAATTTATTTGTGCCCAGCACCCAAAATACTTTAAGTAATTCTAGTCAAGATAAAAGTAGCCAAAGTACAAGTCAGCCTAAGGTTGTGAACAGGCGTCGAGTGCAGAGTCAACCAATGCACAACAACCACAGTGTTAGTGGAGAGAGACCTCGTACTTTGAGCTTAGGGACGAGCTCAGAGAAAGTCCTCCCTCAGACTCATAATAAGGAAGAGGTGAAGACTCAGTACCCAAGATCATTCCTGTATATTCAGATGGAACTGTGTCATAAAGAGAGCTTGAAAGATTGGTTGTTCCAGAACCAAAACCGTGGACAGAAAGCTATATTTACAATGTTTAACGACATTATTCGTGCCGTAGAATATGTACATGACAATCAACTCATGCATCGTGACCTCAAGGTGTGTTTACTTGTTCTTTATCGTTGTAAATATAATGTGATGGTGCTTATTCAGTTTACTGTCCATATAGTGGGAATATGGAAGTCATATGAACTGTTATATTATGAAAGTCTCATAGCAAATAATGCCCTTCAAAATTTTTGATTAAATTTCATAAAGTGCCATAAATAGTGAATTTTTACCTATGGTTTGTTACTTAGACACATAACCACTCCTTGGATATTTTGTTATTTTCCCTTTTTATGGGTATTTTGTTGTTTACCATTTTTATTTATACAACATGGAGGTTACTGCCATAGAATACACTGGATGTCTTTCTCATCTTGACACAGTACAGTAGCTATGTTTGAGTTGAAAGATAATATGTGCCAGTTATCACATGTTTTAACCATTCCATATTTGTTATTCTTTCAGCCTTCCAACATCTTTTTTTCACTGGAAGGCGAAGTGAAGATTGGAGACTTTGGTCTGGTGACAACAATAACAGAAGATGAACAGGAAGTCAGAACTCCATCAGACTCCCTGCCTGCATTATTTTCTTCTGGCAACAACCACACACATCGTGTTGGGACCCAGCTCTACATGAGTCCAGAACAGGTAGTTATTGTACTCACTTAAGCCTTTCATTGCTATGTATAAGATGAGTGTAATCAAGATTTCCTGTCTCTTGGTTTGGTCTGTCAAGTCAGTTTAAGGACAATTTATATAGTATGTTGGGTTTCCTTGTGGCAGAGTTATGTGCTGCTGGGTCCTCTGTGTTCTGGTTTGTGTGCCTGGTTGTATTCCCAGTCTTTTTCTCTGCTGTTCTCTTGTTCTACTCTGTACCTTTAGCATCCCTTTCCCCTCCCTCCAGATGACACATTATAATATCCATAAATGTCTTACTATGTCTCTCATCTTGCTACATAATTATCTTAAGAGAAAGTATTATAGAAGCTAATCATTAGTCTTATCTGTATTACATTATTTTTAATACAGTATCTTTCTCTTGTTCCTCAGCTCCCCATCTTATTTTCTCTTAGAGAGTTTTAGTTCACATCTACATTATGTTCCAAATAACAAACAAGCTTTTTTTTTTATTATTATTATCTTGCAGGTGAACGGTCAGGTATACGACTACAAAGTGGACATTTACAGCTTGGGTCTGATCTTCTTTGAGATGTTGGTGCCATTTTCTACGGGTATGGAGCGCCTGACTGTTATGACACGGCTGCGCGATGGACATTTCCCCAAGGGCTTTGACTATCAGTTCCCAGATGAGGTAAGAGACGTGTCATGGATTGGTTAAGAATGTGTCGGTAGATTGGTTAAGAATGTGTCGGTAGATTGGTTAAGAATATTTCGGTAGATTGATAAAGAATGTGTCAGTAGATTGGGTAAGAATAAGTTAGTAAATTAAGAATATGTTGGTAGATTGATTAAGAATATGTCGGTAGATTGATTAAGAATATGTCGGTAGATTGATTAAGAATATGTCGGTAGATTGATTAAGAATATGTTGGTAGATTGATTAAGAATATGTTGGTAGATTGATTAAGAATATGTTGGTAGATTGATTAAGAATATGTCGGTAGATTGATTAAGAATATGTTGGTAGATTGATTAAGAATATGTCGGTAGATTGATTAAGAATTTGTTGGTAGATTGATTAAGAATATGTCGGTAGATTGATTAAGAATTTGTCAGTAGATTTATGTATTTATTGATGTTAAATGAGGGAGTATCTGTTAGACAATAGAAATTTAGATGAAATATTGTGTGATTTTCTTCTTTTGCTTCATTAGTGTACATTACTCAAGCTGATGTTGTCAAAAGACCCGACCTCAAGACCCACCACAAGAGGTATCCGTGCCAGAAATCCCTTGCGTCCTCTCCAGGGTAATGCCGTCGACGACATACTCCCGGAGGACCACTTTCGTCTCTCTCGTCAGCGGTCACACATCCGTTCCAGCTCTGGATCATTTTCCTTCTCCTCCTCAACTTCATCTGTATAAACATTTTGTTCTCTGTTTCTATGTTGTTGATAGACTACATGGACAGAGATGAACAAAGGAATGTTTGACAATAAAATGCAGAGAAAAGAGTAATGAGTTAGTTTTTGTGATACTTGAAATTCAGACATTTGTGAAAACATCTAGTTATTTGGCAAATGTTATTCTCCATATTTTGGTAATTCAGTATTTTGCTTAACTTATGCCTTTCCTCCTCCTCTACAGCTTCACTCACCAGTGAGGATGTACAAGCTAGGGTAACCCTCAGGTAGGGATTACTGCACTTATTACCGGTCACATGTCATAGTGGGAACACTTGAGGACTACTTCACACATTTTGTACCTTGATCAATATGGAAAAATATTGTTTGTGTGTTTTTAAGTGTTGGTGTTTGTTCACTGATGCCAGAAGGTGTGACAATGGCCAGGTTACTGATCTACCTGACACTGTCCAGTGTGGGAGACTCTGTATAATTTCTTCAGTCTTTACCTAAAGTTCTTTATGTATTTTGGCATCTAACAAGTGAAAGAGTTGTTATTGGACTGCCTACATTGTGTAAAGAGAATGACATGTGCATGAAGCAAGTACAGTACAATACCTGCACAATATACAAAAGACAATATAATGTGAGTGAAACATCAGTGACATGGGACAGGTGAAAATTAGGAAAGGCCAAACTGTGAAGAAATGAGCAGGAACAATATTTGAAGACTGGTGTACAGTAGAGTTCAACTGTGACTGACCGCGGAGTTGTGATACAGTTCGAATGTGGCCAAAGACATAGACTGTAAGTGGGAGAAACTGGAGTAATGATATTTTTGCCACAGTACAGTAATACTTTGATGGGTGGCCAGGGCTAACTGGTACACTGCCTCACTGCCTCATAATAAACCGAGCATCAGTTAAATAAGAGATATCCAACATATCTACCAATTGTTAATGTTTCATGTGTGTCTTTGTCTAATGTAACATAAGCCATTGTAAAATTGTTGGAACAGTTTTAAGTTGAAATTATCTTTACCAGGTATATTCGGTATACAGTATTAAGAAACTTAATAAAATGTCTCTTGTTTTCAGCAACATGTTCTGTTTCCAACAATGTACTTATGTGCACTGAACCATGTTGCTGCAGTTATTATTGTTATCTGGAGTTTACTTGTGTTTGGACTAAAGGTTGTAATACTCTTTATCATTTTCATTAATTATTCTGGGTCTTGCAAGTAAGTTAACAAAATCAAATGAACTGTTTTATAACCCGAGTTCCTCTGCTAGAATAGGAAACTCCAAGGCTATTCTATGCAAATTATCTTACCAAGCATGAGTTCTCAAACCTTTGGGCTCTTCTAAGGACGATTTTCCAACTTGTCCTGCTGAACACACTCCATGTCTGTCAGTGGGTACTCTTGGGTTCACACACATGGGTGTAACACAAACAGTGTCTAAATGGGTTTGATTGAAATGTCATAGTTAATAATACCTGGGACCCCAAGATTTTGTCATTGGCAAAAGTTTGAAAAAGTACTTTAAAAATCTCTTGATTTTAAGCATTTTCCAAGACTTATTCTTCTGGATTTAAATTTCATAATCTGTTTTTCAACATTTTAGCTTGACTTACATACTTAATGCTGTCTCACAGTATTTAGGGTGACAACCTTCTCCTCCAACATACCATGGACTGACTATGTGAACATGAATAATGGTTCCCTAACTCACTCACTCTGGTCAGGGGATTTAACTTGTCTCATGGAATTGGAAGGCCATACTAATGGCCAGCTGAGCTTTAGCATACCAGGTACACTAAGTCAGATATGGTGAGGTAGGTGAATTATATTAGTGTAGAAGATGTATTTTCTACTCAGCTGGATAGTGGCAGACAGCTTATTAGATATACTGTACTGTACTGTACTGTACTGTACTGTACTGTATTGTACTGTATATAGAAGATAACCTAACTGTAGCATCATAAACTTTGCTGTGTGCCTTATTATGTATTAATATTTTAGAATTAAAGAATGTGTGTGTTGTCTCACTGTAAATTGGAGAGAACTATACCTGATGATTACGGTGATATTAAACACAAAACTTACTGAACTGGAATAAATTCTAGTTGAAATAGTGAACTTGTATTACAGGAAAAACAGTTTGCTTTGGGAAAATTCATTCCTATATGAACTCATTTATGGTAATGCCTTTATGGTTGTGTCTGCTCTCAAATCATCTCCAGTTTCCACTTGATGTGATCAGTAGTGTCTGCTTGTGCCGAGTAGTTTGGTGTTAATTTCTACCAGTGTTTACAGTACTCTACAAGTCCACCTCCAGGTATATGTAGGGATGCAGCATCAACCAGTCCAAGCACTGTTACACTTCTCACACAGTTACTCCTTCAGCATGTCTTAAACTATCAGCTGTAAGTGTTTCGTCAGTGTAGGCTTTTCTTTATGAAGTAACATCCATAATGGAGTTTTATTTCATGATAAATGTATCAAATAAACAACCAAATACTGCTGCTGTGTGCTATGCTGTGCTGTACTGTGCTGTTAAAGAATAGATGTGTTTTAGTTTCTTTTTAAAATACCTGTATAAATTTTTAATGAACCTTTTAATCACTGGACAAGCCCGGATATTTATTTTGAATTTACTTTATTTATTATTATTATTTGTGTGTGTGTGTGTGTATGTGTCAGTGGGCAATGGTTGAGAATATTGGTGCTTTAGAAAACTTGCACTGATCCTAAACTTTTGAAGTGGACATTGTTTTGTTTTTAATATACTGAGAAGACCTGGATCATTGACCCATGTTGTTGACTGTACAGGAGGATAATCTTCTCTTATTTGAGGTTTATATTATTTAGGTTCTCTTTAATCACCTCCAAAGTGACCAAAAAGAATATGTAAAGTCAACATGCCTGGAAACATCATTGTTAAAGTTCTTGAATACTCTGATAACTTTTCTCAAGGTTACTTTATGTTACTAAGAGAGTGGTTATGTAAGTGTGTAAAGAAGACGGTCTCATCAAGTATCATCATTTAGGTAGTTACTTGCAGAAAATGTTGTGAAAGAGGAGCATCTCCACAAAATTTGCCGATGACAACTTTTCTTAGATTCTTCAAGTATTTTAGTATTTACATTATTATCAGAACTTTTGTCTGGTTTTTAATATTAAGTTTCCTATTCCACACTTCACCGGGTTGGTGGCGTTAACTGTGCCTCAGTTGTTTAGAGTAATTATACCTGATTTAAATAGAGAAGATGACCATAAGTTATTAAAGTGTAAAGGTATTTGTGTAAGAGTGTAATAACCTGTAGAGGGTGAGATTATGAATTGTGTAAGATCAATAGATGACATGACTGCAGGATGTGGTTGTTGGAGGTGTAAACTCGCTCCAAAAAGTATCCTTGCGATTTTGTGCGAGACAATACGACAAATGATGAAGGATTTTGACTAGACAACAGGAGTCGTGATGTACATTTTGAAATTCATCGGACTCCTTCGTAAAGTTACTTTTTGGAGCGAGTGTACAGTACATCTACTTATTAATACCCTTACGAAAGAAAGCATACAAATTTGTGGAAGATGTAACTGCATTAGATAGAGTGCATAATGGTGTGAAGGCTTTGTGATAGCCTTTAAAGTGGTTCTTCATAAAATGTTATACAATGAAATCCTTGAAGATTTTTAGAGTGTCACAGTAAGCTGAGACAAATACTTGTATTTAATTTGTGTAGATTTTTCATTCATAGGAAAATTTAAAATGGCTGTGCTGTGACCTATGTTTGGTGATGCAGGTGTATTTTTGATGTTAATTATGAATTCTAAATTATCATGTCAACTTTACTCTGATTTTTACACGTTGTTCTTCATTATAGGAAGTGAGTGTTTTAAATGGTTTGAGACCTGAAGGACAGGCAGAACTAGGAGTGGTGTTATGGTCTGTGATGTGAATGCAGCTGAGTACTTTTAATGTTAAAGTCCCAGAAAAAAGTTAATTCACCTTGTGTGGGGGTGTATACTGGCTGTTGAGTAGTGAGGTGAAGACTGTTGAGGCTAGACCAGCGATGAGACAGACAAATGTACTGAAGCAAGAGGCATTTGGACACCCATCTACATGTACTGGGTAAGTTGTGTTTCAGATAAGTAGCCTTTTTTTATACATAAGTTATTGGTTGGCCACTATATTATGACTGTTTTTACAACTCTCTTCCATCTTAGATACAGTTTATTAGTTTAAATGTATTTGTGACATGTATAAGTGAACTAGACATGGAACATTCCCTCTTACAAGTGTATAAAGAGCGTGATATTTCCTAGATGTCTTTTTTCTTCTTGCCTCCAGCACCTCCCTCACCCCCATTCTTCGACTTATGAATTATACATCCCCACACACCTTCATTTTATCAAATCTTTTTCACAACCCATTCTCATAGTGCATCCTCTCTGGTCAGCTGTCAATCCGATACTATCATCTCCTTTGTATTCCATTTACCTCACATTACTCTCAAACATTTCCATTATTTAAAACAAGATTCCTCAGCTTTTCAGAATTTAGACCTCAATTTTTCCTCATTGCATTCTAGTCCCTTTTTTTCACGCTCCCTCGTCACATTTCTCTATCCGTGTATTTCTCCGTGCACCAATTGAGCTACTCCATGGTTTAATTCATCGTCCGCTGATCGTTGAAACAAATGCTCTCACAAACCTAAGACACCTCACTGTCTATATTATCTTCAATCAAACTAACATGATCTTTTTACTGATACATAAAACCCATAATCTTGTTCCTCCCTTTCTCTAGGAACATATCACTCACACTCTTTAACACAAACACTTAAACCAATCACCCTCTTACTTTCCGGAACCCACACCGTGTTCACTATAGTTCTCTCAATACAGGGTAGTTACTTTACTTTACACGTAACCCAAGTAGATTACATCACTAAAACACGGCAGCTGATCAAAGCAGGCATTACCCTCTGTATTTTTTGCTGTCACTCCTTATCATCTCTACCATTAGTTCCTCATTTGAAACCAACTTGTTACTTTTAATATCTTTGGTACAGTATTTTCTCCATTGTCTTTATCTGCCAGTATATTTTGCATTCTTTCACCAGTTTTCTTAATATTCACTCTCTCCTCTCTTCCTTATTTGCAGTTGTTACATAAGTTTCCTCCTTCACGGGTAGAACCATTCTCTCATCTGCCAGTCATCTTCTCGCGTTATAATGACCTGTTGTCGTGTGTCTTTGCCGTGTTTTATGAAGTTTGATCCATAATCCGGTCCCATACTTCCTCAATTGCTCTCTCTCCTCATCCCCATTATTCATTGTACATTTACTCATTTTTTCTTGGTCATTCCTTTCAATATTTCAACCACATATACGGGCAGACTTCACATAACAGACAAGATACGTTGATGAGGAAGGTCCGTTAAGCAAGGTTACGTTAGACGGGGCTTCACCGTAAAGAGCACTGCCTCTACTGTACTTTCATTTGCTCACGAAATCTTACAACTTCTTTATCTATTCTTCGATTGACTTTCGCCTTTACCTTTTCGATGAAACAGTGGTCAGGTTAATCCCTGCACTGCCCCACGTACATTTAATTTTTCTTCTTCACCATCACTTAATCTGACAACCTTAGCTTCTCCATCGTCATAAATGTTCTTGTATACTGTTTATTGAGGTTGAGGATGTGATAGACTACACTACAGAATGGCTGAAGATGGATTAAGGTGAATTGTTTGTAGGGGGTTAATTTACAAGGTACAGTGGTCGGTGGATACTGTAGTTGTAGAAGGGAAGGTGGTAGAGTACAGTGTCGGCCATATTGTCATGATGCTGTATACTTTATACTCTTGTAGGAAAAACATATTAATTTTGTCCTCTTGTATTACTTTCATTTTTAACATTATCATAAGTCCATGGGAAGTTTGGGTTGGCTAAAGTATGAAAGTTTTCTTTTATAAACTTTCCTTGCAGGTACAAATAGTGTGTGAAACAAGTGTGATAGTGAATAATATACTGTATGTATGTATGTCTGTATAAAAACAGTACATAATTCATTTTTTTAGTTGAAGTAAGATACAAATACATTTTTTTCTAAATGATTTTGATTGTTAGTTGTACAGTAACGTGTGAAGATGACACATTGAAGAGGTACCTTGGTTGGCTGTGTTGTGCAGTGTGTGAAGGAGATTGATTTTGGTGAAGTACTGTACAGTATTTTTTTTTGTAGGTGTATTTGTTAACCAGGTGAATATTATTAACACAACTTGGGAGATGAGACGCTGTTGCTGAACCAGTAGATGTGACAAGTTGTGTCGTTCTAATTGTGTGGGTCACCAGGTGTGTGTATCTTGCTGTCCACACTTGTGGTCTTCACGGTGGTTATTCTCTACCATAAGTGATCTCAACGCAATGTATGAGATGTGATTAAAAACAATTAAAGTGAAAAAGTTATTTCAGTATTTTACAAAAATTTTGTATTATTTTAATTCCTCATAATTTAGTGTGTATTTTAATTAATGGACTTACATTGCCCTTACTAGCCAGTTGGTCAGTCCATCAGTTCTGTGTTACACTTTGTTGGCAATTACTGGACAGTGTGGACATGTACGGGCTCTTGATTGTACCTGAACGTGTGCCAGTGTTGGTAAAGTCTGGCCCTACAGGAGTTCACTCTCGATGCTGTTACGATGTTTTCTGGCAGGTATACCACTCGTTAAAAACTCTGAATCAAAGAAGTTAACCTGAAAGTTTTCTGTACTAATAGTTTTTAGCTATTAATTATATAAAAAACTTTACTTTTTGCTTTTTAAATACTGGCAGTGTCAGTATTATAAAGGCAATAATATGCAATTCAAACTGAAGTCAAACAATAGTTGTAAACAAAGAGTTGAACAAAGTCCTACAAGTTTCACACCCAAGCCACTGAAGGTGTATGATGTCGAATAGAATCTCGTTGGAGCAGTAATTTTGCTTGTGCATTTACTCTGTCATGAATTTATTTTTATGCAAGTCTGATGCAAAGTTACTACAGTACAGTATTGTTTCCCTGAGTGCACTTGCCATCTGAGTGGTGTGGGTTGAGAGACCTGGAAGGGCAGTACAGAAGTGTTTTTAGTGTAGTTAAACATTACCACTAATTATGGACGTGAATTATTTGTGATGAGTTAGTGAAGATAGAAATTTGTATATTATTATAACCTAATTTATTACATACATTTTGTGTGGAGTGGGCTGGTAGGGCTTACATAGGGCTAAGGCAGTGGCAACAACAATCAGACTGTTGCAGTAGTGGCAACAACCATCAGACTGTTGCAGTAGTGGCAGCAACCATCAGACTGTTGCAGTAGTGGCAGCAACCATCAGACTGTTGCAGTAGTGGCAGCAACCATCAGACTGTTGCAGTAGTGGCAGCAACAGTCAGTGATGTACAAAGAGTTTTAAGTTGATCACCCACTGTGGGAAGTGATATGTTCTATACTCAGGTGACTATGGATATCCGCATCAAAGTTCCAGGTGGCTCGTCCTGGATCTCCTTTGTCACCTCTGAGTCCTGGCGGTCCTGGGTGACCTGGAGTGCCCTTCCCAGGTGGTCCTTTGCGTCCCTTAGGTCCTCTCTTCCCATAACAGCACTCGCCCTTAGGTCCCGGTTCACCTGGTTCGCCGTTAGGACCTGGTCTACCTGCTGGTCCAACAAAACACGTCTCCTCGGGGCACTGGCCGGGTTCACCTGCAGGACCTTTGTGTCCTTTGTCTCCACGGTCACCTTCCTCTCCAGGAATCCCTGGCTCACCCACCATGTCATAAGCTGTTGTGAAAAGTAAGGCCAGATCAATACTTGAAGAATTGAGAAGACAAACTTTTATAAAACAAATTTATTAATGTACTGTGTCTAGCCCAACAGTTGCAAATGAAGTGACTTCAAACTTGGACGAAAGTCTAACTGTCATGAACAGATAGCGTGTGTTGTCTGTGTGTTATGGGTTAAAACATCAAGGTGTTGATTGAAAGTCAAGCTCAATACTTTTTTGGGAGATATAGATCTTGTGTTGATATACTGTATTGTAGATACAGTACACAGCTAGACCCCGACTTACGACGGGGTTAGGGACCCAAATCCAGGTCGTAAGTCCGACATAGATAAACATTTTTTTTTTTTTTTTTAATGAAAAATCTACAATGAAATACAGTACAGTAAAAGTAATGAATAATGAGGAATGGATACAGTACAGTGAAAGTAATAAATAATAAGGAATGGATACAGTGTGACTGAGCACTTACCTTTAATGTAGTCAGCTGAATGCACATGGGGCCCCCATAATTTCCTAATTATACATGGAAACTACATTAACTGGAAACGTTTCAGTATAGAAAATGCATGTGTCATTTGAAAAAAAAAAAAAAAAAAAAAAATTTTTAATAAAAAATCTGCGGCGGTCGTAAGTCCCGACGGTCATAAGTCGTAGCAGTCGTAAGTCGGGGTCTGCATTTACGCGGTTTTTTGTTTACGCGTTTGGTCATTTACGCGGTGCCTTCCCAGAATGAAATGTTTTAATTACGCGGTAAATTTCATCATTTACGCGGGAAGCGGCTCGGGCAGGGTGCGCACAAGGTCGCCCAGTCATCAAAACATTACCGAGTTCTTCACCCGCCACCCACCACAGCCGGTCCAAGTCAGTGATGGTGATAGTGATGGTGAGGATATGGACTTTGAGGGGTTTGACAAAGAGGCCCTGCAAGCCTCTGTGGTGGATAGTGATACAATTGATACAAGAGATACAGGTGAGGGCCAATAATCTGCCCTCTGCCTCGGAACCAACCCCCCATCCCCGTGTGCCCAGCCATCTTTTCTACTAACGTAAGTGTTAAAAAACCTAATATTATTGATATTTCTCTTAAATATTAATTGTGTGTGCATACCATCATAAAATTAAGATGTTATTTTTGCTACAACGTACGTATTGTGTCGGAAAAAGTGGAGTTTGGGAGTCGGCCCAGTCTCTATTTCAATTAATCCCATATGTTCTGTTCTTTCGTTTACGCGTTTCTCGTTTTTTGCGGACCTCCACGGGTTCAATTGACCTCGTAAATGCAGACTACTGTATACTGTAGTTTAAAAACACTACAAGGATGTGTCTCCAATAGACAAGCTCTGATTACTTTACTAAATTAAGTTTTAAAGGTCAAGGTCACTGTTGGTGTTAAAAATCAAGACTTGGTCCAGGGTGTCTCATATGCATGTTTACACACTGCATCACAAGTTTTTGTCGTGAATGTGTCAATTACAACAGCAACTTTGTCCTCGCATATTGATGTTCGACCCACAACCATTCATATGATTGCCACAAAAATCTGTAAGGCAGTGTGTATATAGTTTTGGAGACAGTGTACAGTATTTTTATGAAATTTATCTATAGTATGCATCATCTGTTGATAAAGTGTACAGCATTAAATTGAGGTCACTGTCAAAGGTCAAAACTTTGTCAAGAAATATTTCTATGAAACCACTGAGTATGTATCAGCACGAGACAATTGGCACAACACCATATTTCAAAGGTCAGTGTCACTGCTCAAGATCAGAGTTCATAGTCTTATACAGTGCATAACTTATGAACCATATACGGTATGCTAGATATTTTAATGAAACTTCAGATAAAGAAAAAAATATTATTACAGGCTTGGAAATGGCTGTTAAACGGTGGTGGTGAAGATGCGGAACACAGAAGTGTACGGCCAGGGTCACAAGTTCATCCCCTCCCAAAATGAAGCAGCATCGACCCCAAGTGAGATAAAACAGTGCACCAGCACCTAGTGACAGTCGGGGTAAGTCAGTTCAGAGACTCATTCCCGTGATTCAGTTTCACCGCAGGAGCAAATTTTTGTCCACGACTGTACTGTACGCCATTGATATTGTAGCTACTTATTGAGGACATTTGCATCAAGAGGCATTTCTCACCTTCCAGTCTTAATGAAATGCTGGCTGAAAACTAGACCCAAATACACACCATCACCCTTCAGCAACACTTCCTTCCCCAGAAATCATTTGATGCTCTGGTCTCTCCCTCACTCGCTCATTCACTTTTTCCTCCTGGGTGTGTCTTCCTCACATACAGTAAATCCTTTTCTCCCCTTTCTCCCTCACCTTCCTGTGATCAATATCTGATTCAAACTCTTATCATATGACGGTAGAATCCACAGTTAGGATACCTCTATTAAATTTACAAATCAGACCTTTTTTTCAGTAAATCTTGGTTCTATATTATTGTATTTAAAAGGAAAGAATTTGCTATTAACCATTGGCAAATATATCATGGGGTGAAAGTTTAGCTAAAAAGAGTTGGTGTTGTGTGTCAAAAGGTAGTCAGAGAAAATGTAATTAATGGTTGAAAATAAGAATTTACTTCAAGGGTTATTTAGCATTGTATGAACCAGTGATGTGTGTTTGTAGCCATAAGTAGAATGTGTTTGGCCAGTAGTCAAGGCTGTAGTACAGTACAGTATGTCCTTCCTCAAGACCGGGAGATAGAGTATCAGATAACTTCAAGTGTTGTATTATCACCTCGATAACTCAATAACCTAGAGATTAAAATAACCCAAACTGGCCAATGAATCAACACATACACTACCATGTTCCCTTAAATTACACACTTGGGAAACAAACAACAAACTTCATTCATCTATTATCATCACATGTTACCTGAGCTCTTGTATGGTTGTCATATTTTAGAGTGATAAATGCCTCTTAACCACAGGATACAGTACAGTATATTTAAGGGTAATTATGGAAGCTGTAAATGTTTGATGGTACTAAAACATTCTCAGGGTTGTTTGTGTGACAGTGCTGAAGTGTTTGGGATGTGTAGTTACTGCTTGAATACACTGTTCTGTACTGTACTTGAAAACCTTAATAAGACTCTAAATTATGTTACAGTAAATGGATGACTTTTAGTATGGAAATATTTGTTTTTCACCTATCAACCTCCACTACCACCTTCCCCAACCCTGTCTCACTATTACCCCTGTACTGACCTCTGTCAATGGCAACCCTCATGCGGAGTATCGCAGCTATCAGTAGGTCGATCCTGGTGTCAAGTTTAGAGATGAGATCAACGTGCTTCCTCACCAAGACGTATTTGGAGACCAGGAGAGAGATTTCCCACGGGCACTTCTCTGGCTCTTTCTGTGTGAGAAATGTCAGGTCAGCTCAGGTTCGGTTAGGTTGGTTTGGGTCGAGTTAGGTCAGGTTTAGGTTAGGTTGGGTCATGTCAAGTTAGGTTGGGTTAGGTTACATCAGGATAAGTTAGGTTAGGTTATGTCAGGTCAGGTTGGGTTAGGTTATCTCAGGCCAGGTTAGGTTATAAAATCATTCTAGGTAACCATAGTAAAAGTAAGGATGATAGAATGGTACTAGAAGGGGATATTGTGTAGGTCAGGTCAGGTCAGGTTAGGTTCAGGTTTATAAAATCATCCTAGATAATCATAATGACAAATAAGAATGATAAGATAATGATAAAAAAAGGAAATACAGGTGCTCCTCTACTTATAAATGAGTTACGTTCATGGGGCTTGTTTGTAAGTCCAACTTTACTCCTGTAGGTACCAAACATATTGTAAAAAATGAAGATTATGGAGATTTAGTACAGCTATACTCTTTAATACAGCCTTCAAACCTGGCTCACTCTTCTCCTCTAAGGTAATGTTTGTTCTATCTGGAATTTTCTTCAAAATAATTCAGTCCCATCCACATTAAACACCTGTTCTGGCAGGTAACCCCATCAGTGATGAAGTTTGTATCTCTGAAAGTTTGTAAGTTACTAAAACTTATCTACAGTATTGACAAACAGTGTAGCACAGGTAATGAAAATAAACATCCTTATTTCACTGTATCAAGATTCTATAACGACATCTATAAATTATCTACTATAGTTGGATGTTAGTTTGAAAGTATTAATAAAAAGCAAAGTCAAACTGAATGAAAATGTTGTGTGTCAAAAGGAAGTCAGAAAAAATGTAATTAATGGTTGAAAATAAGACAATTTACTTCAAGAGTTTTTAGCATTGTATGAACCAGTGATGTGTGTTTGTGGCCAGCAGTAGTATGTGTCTGTGGCCAGTAGTAGTACGGTATGTGTTAGTAGCCAGTAGTAGTATGTGTTAGTGGCCAATAATAGTATGTGTTAGTGACCAGAAGTAGTATGTATTCATAACCAGTGGTAGTAAGTGCTTCCTCAAGACAGGGATATAGAGCATCAGATAACTTCAAGTGTTGTATTATCAGCTGGACAACTCAATAAACTAGAAATTAAAAAATAACCCAAACTGGCCAATGAATCAACACATACACTACCATGTTCCCTTAAATTACACACTTGGGAAACAAATAACAAACTTCATTCATCTATTATCATCACCTGTTGTCTGAGCTCTTGTATGGTTGTCATATTTTCCAAGGATAAGGGAAACTTTTACTTTTTTATTTACAGTACAGTACTGTATTGTACTGTATTGGGAGATTTTTGTTACCTAATCTCATTTGACAAGAACTGTATTGTATATTATTTTTATGACAGAGAAGTTTGTAGTCATGGTGCCGACATACAGGATCAGCTAGCAACATACCGAGCACTGATTGTCACAACAACCTCCGCCAGCCATGATGATGATGATGCGTTCCATGATGTCCGTGTGGTCACAGTCTTGGTCTGGACAAACACCATCAGTACATACACCAGGGGGTCCAGTCAATCCTGGGGGCCCAGGGATACTTCGTCCTGGGGGTCCCGGGGGGCCGGGGTTTCCTGTGCAAGGGGGTCCAGGAGAGCCTGGAAAACCTTGCGGGCCAGGTGGGCAAACTGTTGGATCACTGTCTGGACATACTGGGCAAGGTGTGATTGGACATGATGGGCAAGGTGTGACTGGATATTGTGGGCAAGGTGTGACTGGAGGTTGTGGGCAAGGCATATTTAGACAAGGCTGTGGGCAGTATTGTGATCCTGCACCATAGACACACCGCTGCTGCTGGTACGGCTGCAGGTACTGCTGCTGGTTCTGCTGCAGGTACGGCTGCAGGTTCGGCTGCAGTTGGCGCCTGGTTGCCTCGTTGATAGTCATAGGTTGGAGTTCTGCCAGTAGGTGGTCAAGCTGGTTCAGCTGGCTCTCGCTGGTGCCATTCACTCTCCCTGCCGGTGCAACACATATGAACCTAAGATATGGCAAAAGGTGGTCATAGCTCCCATGGCTCTATGGTGATGAGAATTTTTCATGAAAATGGCAGAGCCTATGTTTTACTGTGCCCTTCCAGTCATACTTTGTTGCATTAGTTTTGTATTTACTGTGGCATTCAGTGGTAATGTGTGAACTATCTGGTTTGTCCGTTACTTCACACAAGCCAATATTGCTCATCGGTAATAGGTTCGTCCCCATAAATCATTCAGTGTTATGCTCTCCACACATTACTGCCCATCACCCTGACATCCAATGCATCCTTCTACATCACAGGTGTCCCCCTCTCCTTCCTACCATCCACCTCTCAGTTACTCTCTCTTTACCCACCTTTCTTTATCCATTCTCCCACTGTGTCCTCATTACCTGACCATACATTTTATTTCTGAGTTTTGGTCAAGTTCAAATATGCTTCTGAAGAACTAATGCATTATTTAAACATCATTACAAAACAAAATGGGGGATTTTTACATCGCTACCTCACCTACACACTGCACTTCTGTACTATATTCTCTGGAAGCTGCTCATTATTAGTGGAGGCAGACGTAAGTATCCTGTAGAACTGCTACACATTTACCAGAAGAAGTGGGCAGTTGCAGAGTAAGTGGAGCGTACCAAGTGTTGTGGGGTTGAGAAGCACCGGGTGGGTGGTAGGGGACTGGGAACCCGACTGAAGGCGACCTCTCCTTCGAGCAGCAGACACTGAGGGCGGCAGATACAGGAGGGGAACCAGCAGCAAAGAGGTGGTCACCGCCACCCAGCGATCTGCGGCCATCTTTTACCTGCCTCCTGAAATAATATGACGGTTCAGTGATCTGATTGTTCTTAAGTTTGAAGGTTTGTTGATGACATCTAACCTAACCTAAACTTCAAACGATACTGACACGTAACTAATTACAAACTATAGTGCCAATAAAGGTGGTCAATGCCCTCAGCCTTGTCACGTCAAAGTCCAAAGGGAATGACATTGGGGAGGAGGATGGGGTATAGTTGATTACCAAACTTGCTTGAGATAACTAGTGAAATATACTGCTGCTGTGGTGGTGGTGTTACAGCTCTCCCACCAGTGTTATAACATACACAGTAACCACAAGCCAAAAGTTGCCATTCACATGTCACAGATGATTGGTAATTACCTTTGTAAAACTAATCACAAATTTCCAAGTAATTGAGATAAGTAATCACATAAGTTACAACATTTAGACTCGGAGCTCTTAGCCAGCATATTGAGAAGGACATTTACCTCAACTTTTACTCCACTTGTATGGTGTTGCACGGGGTTATGGTGTTGCTGTACAGGGTTATGGTGTTGCTGTACAGGGTTATGGTGTTGCTGTACAGGGTTATGGTGTTGCTGTACAGGGTTATGGTGTTGCTGTACAGGGTTATGGTGTTGCTGTACAGGGTTATGGTGTTGCTGTACAGGGTTATGGTGTTGCTGTACAGCTGTACAGGGTTATGGTGTTGCTGTACAGGGTTAGGGGTTATGGTGTTGCTGTACTGTACAGGGTTATGGTGTTGCTGTACAGGGTTATGGTGTTGCTGTACAGGGTTATGGTGTTGCTGTACAGGGTTATGGTGTTGCTGTACAGGGTTAGGGTTATGGTGTTGCTGTACAGGGTTATGGTGTTGCTGTACAGGGTTATGGTGTTGTTGTACAGGGTTATGGTGTTGCTGTACAGGGTTATGGTGTTGTACAGAGTTACAGGGTTATGGTGGTGTACAGTGTTGTACATTGGTGGTGTTGTACAGGGTTATGGTGTTGTACAGGGTTATGGTGGTGTACAGGGTTATGGTGGTTACAGGGTTATGTGGTGTTGTACAGGGTTATGGTGGTGTTGTACAGGGTTATGGTGTTGTACAGGGTTATGGTGGTGTACAGGGTTATGGTGGTGTTGTACAGAGTTATGGTGGTGTTGTACATGTACAGGGTTATGGTGTACAGGGTTATGGTGATGTTGTACAGGGTTATGGTGGTGTTGTACAGGGTTATGGTGTTGTACACAGGGTTATGGTGGTGTTGTACAGGGTTATGATGGTGTTGTACAGGGTTATGGTGGTGTTGTACAGGGTTATGGTGTTGGGGTTATGGTGGTGTACAGGGTTATGGTGGTAGGTGTATGGTGGTTGTACAGGGTTATGGTTGTACAGGGTTATGGTGTTATGGTGTGTTGTACAGGGTTATGGTGTGTTGTACACATGGTGTTGTACATGGTGTTGGAGTTATGTGTATGTACAGGGTTATGGTGGTGTTGTACAGGGTTATGGTGGTTATGGTGGTGTTGTACAGGGTTATGGTGTTGTACAGGGTTATGGTGGTGTTGTACCAGGGTTATGGTGGTTGTACAGGGTTAGGGTTGGTGGTGTTGTACAGGGTTATGGTGGTGTTGTACAGGGTTATGGTGGTGTTGTACAGGGTTATGGTGGTGTTGTACAGGGTTATGGTGGTGTTGTACAGGGTTATGGTGGTGTTGTACAGGGTTATGGTGGTGTTGTACAGGGTTATGGTGGTGTTGTACAGGGTTATGGTTAAAATGAGACAAACTCACAGAGAAGAGATGATTACATACAAGTAGGAAGTATAGAGAGTAGGAATGTAAAGATAGGAAACTGGTAGCGTGGCCGTGATGTTATTTACTCTGTGTCAACACGCTTATCTTCTACGTCAGTGCACATATCTATTCTTCTCAAGGGACAACCTCTCTGAAGTGATAGTCTTATGAGATCTCACGAATGGAATGAGAATCATTCAGAGAGGTTGGTCATTGAGGTCATTCTTGTCACTCGCACAGTCACGCTCGTCCCCTCCCCCCAGGTCGGGGGGGACTTCACAACGCCCCAGCTAAGCAGAGTCCCGCATACGAGAGCCCAGCCAACACCCACTGGGCCTTCGTCAGGTGTACAGTACATATGAGTCATTGTCAGAGCAATCTCTAGGGTGAGTTACCTACTGTGGGAAGTGTATTCATTCATGTGTCCGAGAAGTCAGTGTCGAGTAACGTAAGACGTAATGTGTTAGTCCCCCGATATAATAGTGATATTAATGTGTCCATGTCATTGAGTGAATGAATAAATAGTTTTATCGAAGAGGTGTTTGAGAGGTTGTCCCTTGAGAAGAATAAATATGTGCACTGACGTAGAAGATAAGCGTGTTGACACAGAGTAAATAACATCACGGCCACGCTACCCAACCTTGCTATATTTACATTCCTACTCTCTATTACTTCCTACTTATATGTAATAATTATCTTCTTGTGAGATCTGTCTCATTATATGGTGTTGTACAGGGTTATGGTGGTGTTGTACAGGGTTATGGTGGTGTACAGGGTTATGGTGTTGTACAGGGTTATGGTGTTGTACAGGGTTATGGTGTTGTACAGGGTTATGGTGGTGTTGTACAGGGTTATGGTGGTGGTGTACAGGGTTATGGAGTTGTACAGGATTATGGTGGTGTCCAGGGTTATGGTGGTGTTGTACAGGGTTATGGTGGTGTTATACAGGGTTATGGTGGTGTTGTACAGGGTTATGGTGTTGTTGTACAGGGTTATGGTGTTGTACAGGGTTATGGTGTTGTACAGGATTATGGTGTTGTTGTACAGGGTTATGGTGTTGTACCTTTAATGAGGGTCTTTAGGTCGCACTAAACTGTACACTGGAGGTATAGTTAGTACAATTGAGGAGAACATTGTACATGCTAATTACAGGTGAAACATTAGTGACATACCTGTATAAGAGATGTGATGGGGGTGGTAGCGGTGATAGTAGTGGGCCCGGTGGTGGTGGTGGCAGGCAGAGAAGGGGCACTGTTGGAGGAGGACGTGGTGATGGTGTGTGTGTGTTGCCTTCCCCCCTCCTCCTTCTTACCTCCCCTCTCCCCTTACCCCCCTCCCCACCCTCCCTCTAACCCCCCACCCTCCCCTTACCCCCCCTCCAACATGCTGCTCTTCACTTTTGTACCCATTTTAGTGGAGCAAATTATAAAAAAAATGATATATTATTTTATTTTATTTTAATACAGGTACAGTACAGGTACAGTTGGAAGTACAGTACAGTACAGGTATAGATACAAGCACAGGAAATATATCAGGCTACCAAAAAAAAAAGTAATCAAATTGCAGAAATTCTGAAATGGTTGAGAACTGGTATAAAATATTGAAGAAATTGTAGAAAAATAGAGATGAAGCAATATTGTTGAAGTCATGCAAATAGTACCAAAAAGATCGTAAGAAATATTAAACAAACGAAAAATAATAGAAATGACTAGAAGTATTAAATAGCAACAGTTACTTACACCACACTAACCTAACCTAGCTTGGACCACACTAACTTAACCTAACCTAACCACCAGGCTAGCATGAGGAGTTGATGCTTGTTTGCTGAGATCCACAGAGTGTAGGTCGACCTTGAGACAACAAGGAGGTGTTGTGTAGTTTGGAGGATTGGCGAGGGAGAGGGAGGGAGGCTGCAAATAATGTGAGAGGGTCCCTTGTTGTAGGACAGATCCCACCGCCTTCACCAACACACCACCATCTTCACCAACACACCACCATCACCAACACACCACCGCCTTCACCAACACACCACCATCTTCACCACCATCACCAACACACCACCATCTTCACCAACACACCACCATCTTCACCAACACACCACCATCTTCACCAACATACCACCATCTTCACCAACACTGTGTACAAATAACTACACAGTGTACAGTACATGACAACATTGTACACACACAAACACACATTATTTGTTAATCAAGAGACCCATTCCCTAATTATGTAACTGTATATTTCCAGCCTTCTGACTGCCATGATCTTTTAATAAACCGTTAATTATTATTATTATTATTATTATTATTATTATTGTTATTATTATTATTATTATTATTATTATTATTATTATTATTATTATTATTATTATTATTACTACACACACACACACTGTCAACATTTATATTCATTGTACTGTATACTTACGTAATTAACCTAACCTAACCTAACCTAATGTAACCATACTTAATCTATACTTACCTAACCTAGACTAATCTAAGTTAATCTAACCTACCTTAACTTAATCTAACCTAACCTAATCTACCCTTAACTACACACGGTACTTTGTGTGTGTATGTGTGTGTGTGAAAGCATGTGCGAATTAGAACACACACACACACACACACACACACACACACACACACACACACACACACACTATTCAGTCAGGTCTTTGCATCCGTACAGGGAGGAGGCGCCTACAGCCTCTTGCCAAGGTACAGTAGAAATACAGTTACTTTTAAAATATAAATACTGTACTTACTGTTGTAGTGATGCACGTGCAAGCTACAGAATATTGTGTGGTTACAGTCAGTTATGCAGGTACAGTCACTCAAAGACAGTCTGTTATGTGTTGTAATAAGTTATTGTTGTTATTCTGACAGGAGTTATGATGAGTGTGTTGTGGATAGGCGCCCTCTTGCTGGTGGTGGTGAGTGGGCGTGTAACCTTTGCCCATGTTACAACGCCCATTGTTGGTAAGTGGACAAAGTTTATAGTACAGGTGTTGTGAGTTACATTACAGGTGTTGTGAGTTACATTACAGGTGTTGTGAGTTACAGTACAGGTGTTGTGAGTTACAGTACAGGTGTTGTGAGTTACAGTACAGGTGTTGTGAGTTACAGTACAGGTGTTGTGAGTTACAGTACAGGTGTTGTGAGTTACAGTACAGGTGTTGTGAGTTACACTACAGGTGTTGTGAGTTACAGTACAGGTGTTGCCATTAAACCTTGTCAACTCAATCCTTCAAATACCCTTCTAGATGGCGGTGTCGTAGGAGAAGAAGGAGGTACAGATGGCGAAGAAGAGGGAGGAGGAGAGGAGAGAATGGCTCGTTGGAGAAGCTTGAAGGAGCAGCTGTTATCTCTCAAGGGCGACCCCGACCTCGAGGACGACTCCCCGCACACCAGGCATCCGAGGACGCTCTTCTCCGTGAGTTTAGCGAGGAGGAGGAGGATAGTGGTGGCGATGAAGTCAATTCTCAAAGGTTCAAAAATTAAATTTTCTCTCATACCTGATCTCTCTCTCTCTCTCTCTCTCTCTCTCTCTCTCTCTCTCTCTCTCTCTCTCTCTCTCTCTCTCTGGTTCTTTTACCTAGTGGCCGCCCACTAGAGGTGGCCACGCCCAGGGAAGGAGGCCAGTGGCGTATGTAGGATCCTTCCATTGTTCTTGATAATCTTCCCAAGGGCTATTTTGAAGCTCAGTCCTGTTCTTTATACCACAGCTTGAGATGCTGTACCGTTCCATAGGTCTACCAGCCTCTGTGTGAAGAAGTCTTTCCTTATGTTCGTTCTGTATAATAACTTGGTGAGCTTGTAGTTATGTCCCCTCGTGCTGGTGGTGCGTGGCGTCACAACAAATGGTCCGGGTTCAGTGAGATCTGCCCCATTGTGCCTTGTCTGAAGGGTTGTTAGTCCTATGGCCCTCAGTCTACGTGGATAATCTAAATAACATAGTTCAGGAATCATCTTAGTCTCTCTTTGTTGCACCTTTTCTAGGGATGTTAGATCTTCCTGGAGGCAGGGTTTTCATGCCTGTATACAGTAATCTAGGCTCATAAATGACTCAAAAATTGAAGGAGCATATTTCTATCTCTGTATTCCAAGGTAAGCTTTACAATATAATTCCCAAATTTAGGTTTACTGTCCCCACTTGTTGTCCCGCCTTCAGTGACTGATCTATCACAACGCCAAGATCTTTCTCCTTATCACCAGTATCCAGGAAGGAGTTAATAGAATAATTTTGATGAGGGTTTTATCCTACATACCAAAAGTCATGTATTTTATAATGTTCAAAAGCATTTTCCAACCTGGGAATTATTTGAACAGCTCATGCAAGTCTTTCTGTATAGTTGTGACATCGTCTTGACTTGCTTCTGTACCTTCCTAAATATCTTTTTGTCGTCTGTAAACTTGATTCAATGACACTGTGGCTAAATGTGCATTCATTGACGTTAAGGAACACACAGACAAACAGTAATGGTCAACACAATGCATCTCCAACCCTTAATAAACTATACAGCCCAACTCAACCCAACTCAACCCAACCCAACCCAACAGTAAACCACGACCTTCTTGACAGGCAGGGTACACAGGATGCTCGTGCTCAGACTTGGCCGCCCTCGCTGCCCAGATCTCCCTGTTCGAGGAGGAGGTGAAGAGCATTGGAGAGATGGAAAACAAACTTTCTATCATCTCCACAGCCATCAAGCAACTCGGCATATGGGTCGACGCAGGTCAGTCTTGAGGGTGTGGGTTAGGGGGATTGAGGGTGTGAGTTAGGGGGCAAGGGTGTTTGTTAGGGGGTGAAGGTTTAGGTTATAGGGTGAGAGTGTGGGTTATGGGATGAGGGTGTGGGTTATGGGGTGAGGATGTGGGTTATAGGGTGAGAGTGTGGGTTTTGGGGTGAAGGTGTGGGTTATGGGGTGAGGGTGTGGGTTATAAGAACATAAGAATGGAGGAAACTGCAGCGGGCCTATTGGCCCATACTGGGCAGTCCCATTTACACCCAACCCCTATCGCTCATATATCCATCCAACCTATGTTTGAAGCTATCCAGCGTATTCGAGTTAATGGTGATGTTTGATAACTTGTTCCAGTCGTCCACTACTCTATTTCCAAACCAATGTTTACCTATTTTGCGCCTACATCTAAATTTGTCTAATTTAAAACCATTGTTACGAGTTCTCTCCCGGTTGGATAGTTTGAGTACCTTTGTTATATCACCTTTGTTTAGCCCTGACTTCCATTTATACACCTCGATCATATCGCCCCTCACTATACGTCTTTTGAGGAAGTGCAAATTAAGATGCTTAACCTGCCTGCACTCAAGATTCCTAATGCCTTGGATTAGTCTCGTCATTCTCCTCTGAAATTTTTCTAGGGTTTCTACTATACAGCATATCCATTTTGTAGTACGGTGACCAAAACTGAACTGCATAATCCAAGTGAGGTCTCACAAGCGCAAGATATAGTTTTAGGATAACCTCGTTAGTCTTGTAACTAACACTCCTTTGTATGAACCCAAGATACTTTGTTAGCCTTGTTTCTAGCAAATACACATTGTTGACTTGGTTTAAGATTCCTACTTATCATTACTCCAAAATCTTTCTCACAGTCGGATTTCTCTATAACAACGTTGTTCATCCGGTATCTGGTTTCTCTGTTTACATCTCCTAGATTAAGTACGTACTTTACATTTGTCCACATTAAATTTCATCTGCTATTTTTCAGACCATGCAAAAACATTTGTTTAGATCTTTCTATAGTTTTGCGGAGTCCTCGTCAGATTTAATTACACGCCCTATTTTAGTGTCATCAGCAAATTTGCTTATGTTGCTGTCTATGCCTATATCTATGTCGCTTATGAATATAATAAATAGTGGGGTGAGGGTGTGGGTTATCCAGGCTGACGGACTATTTCTCCCCCTTTCAGGTATCAGAGGTCCTCAGGGGCATGAGGGCATCCCCGGAACCCAAGGACCACCAGGGCTCCCAGGGGACGATGGCGATGAGGGCCCTACTACCATCAGGACCCGACAGGGGATCCCAGGGCCTCCTGGACATCCTGGGCCTTCTGGCGTTCGCGGACCGAAGGGCAATACGGGCGACTGCATCAAGGGCAACAAGGGCACGCAGGGCAAGAGGGGCAACCCTGGGGTAGGCTTCCAGGGTCTGAGGGGTCTGCCAGGGCCTTCAGGTTTGGTAGGTAACCCAGCCCCTGACCTTAAGACCCTCCGATCTGCTGCCCAAGCCAAGAGGACCCAGTAACAGCCCCCTCCCCCAGGTTCCTCCTCCATTCTCCCCCTGGCCCCCCCTCCCCGCCCCCCTTCCCCCTCCTCGCCCTACCACGGCACATCTGACCAATGCGAAGTATGTGTCACAATCCACGTGTACTCGGGCAAGGCTTTAACCCATCCTACGGTTACCGAACCTAACCTAAGAGAACATTTACCAAACTAAACCTTAACTTAACCCAACTCATCCAAAGGTCACTTAATTTTACCTAAATTCCCCTAATGTGACGTCATGATGATCGAACACCAATCAGGGCACGTATTACCCGAGTCCACGTAGATTCTCCTAATTCTTGGTGATGGCGTGCAAGGGTTAATTAAGGATTGTGGGAAGGGGAGGAGGAAGAAGAGGAGGAGGTGGTGGTGGTGGTGGAGGAAGAAGAGGAGGTGGTGGTGGAAGAAGATGAGGTACACCATTGTTTTACCTGTACAGTAGATTGCCGTAGTACATAGCTTTATTACCTCTGTACACGAAGCTTATTGTACTTAAATATGTACATTAAGCTTGCTCTTCTTGCCACTGTACACTAAGCTTATAATGAAGTACACTGAAGTATGTAGAAGTTGTATTTTCTTTACCTATGTTCAGTGGTGTTGTCGAGGCCACCAAGCACGAGACAGAGAGAGAACAATGGTGATCAAGTTAACCTGTATCATACACCCACCCCAGATGTGTACAGATGGTTGTTAGTGTAGAGTATGGCGATAGTGGTGTAGAGAAGTAGAAGTAGTGTAGATGTTGGTGTTATTGGTGTAAAGTAGATTATAGTGTCTGTACCGTTGGGGGGAGGGATTCATGTATTTTCTTCCCTTCTTTTTATATTTTCTTTCAACTTCTCAAAGTATTTATTTCTTTCAGTTTCTTATTTACTTTATTTATTACTTGTTATCTATTTCTTAGTTATTTTACTTCTTATACATATAACCTTCAACCTCTTAAACCTGCGGTAGTGTGGCAAGGTGTAGGGTACGTGGATAATGATACCCCTTACGTACAACAAAGATGATTTATTACAATGAAGTTGAGTACCTGATGAATTTAACACATGAACCGCTCTTTGAGGTTCACTCAACACTTGACCAAATTTACGTTAACATTGATACACATTACAGGGACCATTTGGCCTTACTTCAACGTCAGCCAAATAAGTATTCAACGTTAACAGGACCATGTTCAGTCAAAATTACTATAGGTTACTGGTTAACATTTTATGATAGTGACACACAACAAGAATTGATCGTCAGTCCTATAATTACAGCACTACTTAAACTAACACTTCATAGCACTTCTCAACTCGTCACAAGATTGTTATTCATGTACACCCACTAAAAAATTATTCGGCACCCTTATGGAGTGATACAATATGACACGGGTGCCAAATAATTTTTAGTGGGTGTCCATCTAATTATTATTACTCTCAATACTGGGGACACAGGTTACTCTGGCACACACAGTTATCACGACTCCATGAGTGGTGATGTAACCTTGCCTCTCGTTTCTTGTCAATATTATACCTGTTAAAACTCCTAACACCGTATGATACATTGGTGTCCATTTACGAGGTGGGAATAAGATACCCGAGATGGAACAATTACGGATACATACAGGGTATTACCATAGGCCTATTCAGAATACAGCTGTGCGTTTACACTCCATAATGCTGTGGCTAGGTTCACTTCGTCCTGAGTTCGGCCCATGCCTCGTGGACATGGCCGCACCCGTAGACCTACAACTCTCGTCGGGCCCATCCACTCTAGATCTTAATTCCGGTGTACAAAAGACATCCTGCGTCAGACACCCTATCTGCCGCAGCTCCAGCAACAGTGCCTGGATGACGAGGAAAGGGTGTTCAGAATAAACTAACCAAACTACGCTCTCTTTTATACACCCATACATTGTTCTCTGTTAAGGTACACATAGGCTGTGGGCTTATATTGATTAAAGAATGTTAACTCTTAAAATCTAATTTGTGTTTGATAATAATTAAATTGATGTCAAGTGCATAGGATCGTAATCACACTGTGGGCAGAGTCAACAACCATAACAACCAGCCTACTCACAAATATATCTGCAGTGTTACAATTCAGAGTTTTACCACAGTTGACAGTTTCTTCTCTCGAAATTAATGAGTTTCTTAAATACAAAAATGGCAATAATTTGAATACACTCATCGGATTCTCTGAGATGTGTAAATCAAGGAAATACAACTTCAGTTTTGAATTGCTATCTCGTAACTTCACGAATGACGCAACAATGATCCGGCAGTCAAAATACATCGTCTTAATACAATTTACACTACAAACAAACTAGTTAAAGCATTCAACATATACTCAATACATCTTGAATGCTTCAGCTCACGGTAGGTACAGCTGACTTATGGCTACTCGTACAGGTTGCATCATAATTTAAATCTACCTTAGAGAGAGAGAGCACTTCAGGAAGTATAGAAATGGATAGTACCTCTCACTAGAGAAAACAAGTCTCTTTGGGGGCAATTCATTAATTTTACACGTGTTTTGTGGATTTTTACTTTTATCCTCTTCGCTACTGATCGGCTCGTTAGCCGCTTGGGCGATCGGTCACGTCTCTGTTACGCACTGTTGGCAAGTACTGGGCATGCACCGGCTCCTGAATGTACCTGAACCTGCTCCAGTGTTAGCCAAGTCTTGTCTTGAAAGAGCTCACACTCGGTGCCATTCACAACACACACTGGTAGAATGTTCCAAGAGTTCACAACTCTCACTCCGAAAAAAGTTTGCCCTCACAGTTTTCTGGACCTGCGGCTTCTTCAATCATGAGCTGTGACCCCTTGTGGGGCGAGCGTCCGCCAGCTCCAAGTAAGGACACTCGACTGAGTAGTGCCCCTTGAGATGCTTATACACCTCAATTAGGTCACCCCTTGCCCATCTGTAGTATAAGCTAGGCAAGTTCAGGCGCTCCAATCTCTCAGGGTAGTTGAGGTGCCGAAGTGCAGGCACCAGTCTGGTGGCCCTCCTTTGAACATTTTCAACCAACTGACAGTCCATAGCATATCTCGGGGACCATACGGGGTGACAGTACTCCAGACGGGGAAGCACTTCACTCTTGAAGATCGTTACGAGGGACGGACCGTCTAGATATCTGAACGACGTTGGAGCATAATATGACTACAGTATGTGTTGAGATGAATATACTAGCCGTGCAGGTAGAGGGAACAAGAGATGGGTAGAGGCAACAAGAGACGGGTAGAAGGAACAAGAGACGGGTAGAGGGAACAAGAGACGGGTAGAGGGAACGAGAGACGGGTAGAGGGAACAAGAGACGGGTAGAGGGAACAAGAGACGGGTAGAGGGAACAAGAGACGGGTAGAGGGAACAAGAGACGGGTAGAGGGAACAAGGTTGAGAAATGAACTAGACAATAAGATTAAGTGTGTCCAAGACTCAAAAACAAGACATTAATCGAGGTAATTTGCTGCTCTGTTTTACTGCCACCAGACCCCCTGGACAGTATGTAGCTGTTTCAGGTAGTTGGCAGAGCAAGCATCAGCATCACCTTCATGGCCACACACAACCAAGCGCTCGACCATAAAATTATCCCCTGGCACGTAGTTCGTTTAAGTCCTGTCGGTGTGCTGTGTAAGTTATACACTGTGCAATACAGTCTCCGGTAACTTCCCGACGATCGGTATCAGTGTACAGACAAACAACAGGCAGGTAGATTTCCACCAGGTCACAGAAACACACTTGTACCCATGCTTTCTTGACAATCTCCCTGAATTTTTTAGATTATTGTGACCCACTTCTGGCAACTTGACCAACTGGAGACCAATCATTGGGGAGGGTAACCCTCTCACCCCAGTGCCATCTCTGGTAGGAGGATCTGGCAAAAGATAGAACGATCAGAGCAACAACTCCTTCAAAGACTCCCGCCAGATAACGACAACAACCATACATGGCTCCCAAAAAGTTACCAAATCTCAAAAGGTCCATTACCACCCCTGATCTACACGGCCAGGCAATAGACAACCTCCCTAGACCAGCATCCGCCAGTAGGGTCGGCGGAATATGAAATAAGGCCCTCAAAACACCCATATATGGGACAGGGTAGGATGTCTAGTGCCTGTACCGACAGACAATAACTAACCCATGACACAACCCTCACACACTATTAGCTTAGCTAGGCGGTCAGCCCGCCCTCTCTTACCTCCTCCTAAATTTCTTAAATTTCCGAACTATAAATTCCTTCCCCCACCTCTAATCTTCTTTCAACCCTCCTTTCTTAAAAAAAAAATAAAAAATATATAGGAGGACGCTTGATGCCGCCACACCAATTTCAAGGTCGCTTTTATCTTGGAAGCTCTTACCACCTGGTAGCCTCTATCGCATCCTTAGTGATTCTACAGAAATCAAGTAAAAATTTCATTGGTAGCAGCCATTTTGATATTCAAGTTGGCTGACACCACCATAATTAATTAGTAATTGTTTCTTTTTACTTTTATCCTCTTCACCAATGATCGACTCGCTCGCCGCTTTGGGGATCGGTCACGTCTCTGTTACGCACTGTTGGCAAGTACTGGGCAATGTACAGTATATCATTATCATGAACACATACATTTACTCATAAATTAATAGAATGTATCTATTTGAGCCTAAAATTTGAGTAATAACAGATTTGGGTGGCGTTCATTTTTAAATCCAAGATGGTCGCTTTCACAGGCCAGACACAGCTGGGGACCTGATCATATTCGGTTCACCATTCACACATCTATAAACCCACCAGTTTTAATGCATCCTTAAAAAGGAAGTTTTTTGGCTTAACCGCTAGACTACTGTATGAAGCTAATGTATTCATCTTGTTCACACTTCTTTAGCCTGAAAAAAGAATAGCAGTGCAAGACTAGACAAATCATTAGCAGTGTTTTTTGTGCCTAATTCTCGTAAATTATTTGAATTACTTGATTATTTATAAGGAACCCTTGATTATATCAGTGTCAGCCGTTTCACATTCCCTTACCTCTCATTGTAGAAAACCTGTGTTTGCTGTAAAGGTGAGAAAGAAACCAGCAATAATTTTTATATCGTCAAAACAAATACTGATCCTCAGTAACTTACTGGTGCAACCTGAATCTAAAACTAAAAAAGCAACTGTGGTAAAGATGTCGAATACTTTCAAACTTCCCGCTATCCCGACCACCTCTAAAAGGCTTTAGATGGTCGGTCATTTGATAAACGTTTCCATCAAAGACGCTATGCAATATGTAGGTGTACAAAGTTGCAGTTCCCTGAGTCTTGACTAACAAGCCTGTCTAGATGGCAAGTGGAAGGTGCATGATCATTTCATAAATTATTTTTATTTTTCAATAACTTTCGGACTTCTGTCAATCGTCTTGGTGTGACAGACGTAAAAGCATAATAATTGAACACGCTCATTTTTTTTTAATTCTGACTGACCGTAGACGACTAATGAACAGTCAACATTGACATACAGTAAATAGATCTACGACTCATTTCTCTGGATGTTTCGGAAATCTGAAAAAAAACGGGTTTCTGTTCCTTCTGGTGTTGTTAAACCATTAATAGCTGCACAGTAATTGTATCCTATTGTAGATGGTAAAATAAAGTGCACAAGACAATTAAAAAAACTATAAAGTCACTGATCTGTGCATCTTCCCCCCTTTAATATACAGTATATATGTTTGTCGGCAACTGTTTTTCTATTTGACAGCCGCTTGGTGGCGCCACAGGTGGGGTGAACTCGTCCACCCACTGAAGTGAGCCCTGATAGAGTGACAGTTACCAATCAGTATCTCGGACACCCTGAAGGAAGGAGCTCGATAAAGTCACTGTGACGATACTCCAGCAGTAGTAAGTACAGCAGGTAAGTGAGAGTTCTCGATGGCTTCTTTAACTAAATGAATCTTTCAATTGGTATTTACAATGAAATTTTAAGTTGTGTCAATAAAGTATTATTGAGGTGGCCACTGTCTTATATTTAGATGGTCACTGTCATACACATCAATACTTGGTGACCACTGTCATATACTTTAACACTTGGTGACCACTGTCATATACTTTAACACTTGGTATTTTTGTCATATCAATACTTTAGTGACCTGTCATACTTTAACAGTGACCACTGTCATACTTTAACCTTGGTGGCCACTGTGTCATACACATCAGCTTCTCGATATTTTATATATACTTTAACCTTGGTGACCACTAATGTATACTTTGCTGCCGGTACTGTCATACACATCAATACTTGGTGACCACTGTCATATACTTTAACACTTGGTGACCACTGTCATATACTTTAACACTTGGTGGCCACTGTCATACACATCAATACTTGTGGTGGCCACTGTGTCATATACAGCTAACCTTGGTGGCCACTGTCACCTTATTATGCTTAGTGACCACTGTCATATACTTTGCTGCCAGTGACCACTGTGTATACTTTAACACTTGGTGTACTGTCATACACATCAATACTTGACCACTGTCTTATACTTTGCCCTTGACCACTGTCATATACTTTAACACTTGGTGTACTGTCATACACATCAATGCCCAGGCCTGTCTCTTTTAACACTTATTTGACCACTGTCATATACTTTAACACTTGGTGGCCACTGTCATACACATTAATACTTGGTGACCACTGTCATATACTTTAACACTTGGTGACCACTGTCATATACTTTAACACTTGGTGGCCACTGTCATACACATCAATACTTGGTGACCACTGTCATATACTTTAACACTTGGTGACCACTGTCATATACTTTAACACTTGGTGACCACTGTCATACACATCAATACTTGGTGACCACTGTCATATACTTTAACACTTGGTGACCACTGTCATATACTTTAACACTTGGTGGTCACTGTCATACACATCAATACTTGGTGGCCACTGTCATATACATTAACACTTGGTGACCACTGTCATATACTTTAACACTTGGTGACCACTGTCATATACTTTAACACTTGGTGGTCACTGTCATACACATCAATACTTGGTGGCCACTGTCATATACATTAACACTTGGTGGCCACTGTCACATACATTAATACTTGGTGACCACTGTCATATACTTTAACACTTGGTGGTCACTGTCACATACATTAATACTTGGTGACCACTGTCATATACTTTAACACTTGGTGGTCACTGTCATACACATCAATACTTGGTGACCACTGTCATATACTTTAACACTTGGTGGTCACTGTCATACACATCAATACTTGGTGACCACTGTCATATACTTTAACACTTGGTGACCACTGTCACATACATCAATACTTGGTGACCACTGTCATATACTTTAACACTTGGTGGCCACTGTCACATACATTAATACTTGGTGACCACTGTCATATACTTTAACACTTGGTGGCCACTGTGATAATTATGTTTAAGCGACCACTGCCAGAGGCCGCCAAAATACGGATCCGTACTCTTAAGAGCCGCCAACATACTCGAGATGAATGTATCTAGTTTGAAGAATGACTCTGATGATATGATTTTAACGTTACTAGGATGGGTGTGATAAAGGGGAACGAGTCTCCGATAACCGTGGAGGATATTAGCGAGGAAGAGACCGCCATGAGAGAGGCAAGAGGCATGCGGAGGTATAATTTAAAGGTAGTCCGCATTAACCCCGGTAACTACTTAATGCCCTCACTGTAAGTATTCCCCTGTTGTTGTGTTAAACCAGTGACTACCATGAGAGATATAATTTGAGTTGTTATATATAATACAGAGGATACTAATACAGGTAATCTCATAGAAAATCCCGAGAGTTTGAAGAGACCAGTCAAGGGCGGATCCAGGGGAGTCCTGGGGGTTCGGACCCCTCTTTTTACCAGAAAATTCCAACACTTTTTCTTTAATGCAGGATTGTACTCAGGCATTTTTGTATAGAAAAAAGTATTTACTATTGACTTCAGGATATCTCCTAATATCAAGTGCGCATGGCTTCAAAATGCCCATGATAATGATCAGATTTAAAAAAAATTTCTGGCGCTGGAAGCACCCCCCCCCCTTTCTGAAATCCCCCAGCTAAGTGGGCTCGCTTCCTTGTGCTCGCCATTTCCCCCACCCACAACTTCTTGGACCCCCCCCCTTGTGATATTCCTGGATCCGCCCCTGCCAGTACTAATGTCCGCAGCACACCAGGTACTTTCTGTAATCTATACTTTTATCAGGTACCGTCAGCTTAAGGATATATACTACAACTTTGAGTACCGGAGTGATGATATAGTGTTTGTGACCTTTCCGAAGTCTGGCACCGTCTGGACGAGGGAAATTCTGAGAACCATGATTGACACTAACGACACCCCAGACCCCACCAAGATTAATAATTGGGGAGGAAGCTTCATGCTTCATAAGGTATATTAATAAAATATCTCCTCTGACCGTTTCACTACGGGCACGCCACTTTTAATATATTAGTTAGCTAACGCCAGATGATTTTACTCAGCAGAGAGAGGGCCGACCCATTACATAAGGTGGCTAAATACATGCTTTTTATGAACACGTAATTGGAATTAACAACAATGGTGTAAAATATTCCTCAAGAAGAGAGTAGAGTTTAATACTTTACCTAAAATCCATCAAACTTATATAATGTAATAGGTGTGAGGGAACTATTGTGTAGGAAGAGGATTGATCCAGTTGAATGCATGTTTACGAACCACTCAGGAGGGACCTGTTATTGGGAAAAGAGGTTATGAGTGAAAAGTGTTTTGTGGAATCGAAATAGTGTAAAGTCTAACAGAAAGGAAGACACACAGTCATTGTTGGGTGCCTTTACAAAACCCCAAATTAATTATAGTTTACTGAACCACAGAAAATTGAGATACTCTAATAGTTATAGCAAATGCAATGGCATTCCTGCTTGTCATGGGTGACTTCAAATATAGTGGTTGGTGTAATAAGTGTGCACCAAATTACATTGATAACCCTAAAGATCTTTTGTAGAAACTCTGAGAAACAAATTTATATTCCATCATGTTAAAAATCTCTGTTACCGCCACAGTAAGATAAGCTAGAAGAGAGAGAGAAAGAGAGGGATAACCATAATAAGATAAACTAGGCGAGAGAGAGAGAGAGAGAGAGAGAGAGAGAGGGGGTGAGATAAGAGATATAGTGTTGACAACGAATTTGCTGACCAATCTTCTGAGGTGTTTCAATACGAAAACATATGGCCCTCGCCTCCAGGCTGAGATTGCCCTCGAGGGTAGTCTACTGATTTCTACAGGACAGACAACACATTGGTTCAGACCACTAGACCCTAAAACGTGAGTGATCGTGAAGTATTAGAATCTGCTAAGAAACTCTAGATAACTTTAATCAGTATATTTGTGTACTGCAATTTGATCATATTATACAAATTGTCTCCTGTATCAAGAGTTATAACATGCGAGTTATATTTAAGATGTTAACAGGCTATGTACTGTATATTGATTGTATTATTCATACTATGTGTCCTGAGATAACAATATTTGTTATATGAGAATTGTTCTTTAACAGGTTTTGACCGAATTATATGGTACGCGTCAACGTTGAGGGTTTATTTCTCCAGCAACAAACCAATAACGCTCCTATGAGCGTTAACAGTCAAAACGTTTTAGGGTCTAGTGGTCTGAACCAACCTGTTGTCTGTCCTGTAGAAATCAGTAGACTACCCTCGAGGGCAATCTCAGCCCGGAGGCGAGGGCCATATGTTTTCGTATTGAAACACCTCAGAAGATTGGTCAGCAAATTCGTTATCAACACTATATCTCTTATCTCACCCTCTCTCTCTCTCTCTCTCTCTCTCTCTCTCTCTCTCTCGCCTAGTTTATCTTATTATGGTTATCCCTCTCTTTCTCTCTCTCTTCTAGCTTATCTTACTGTGGCGGTAACAATCATGTTAAAAATCTCATTCACTATAGCGATGAGCAAGCACCACAATCCTTGCATGTCATCATAACTACTAACAAGGAGGGTTTAGTCGCCATTGGCACTAGTCATCACCAGACAGTGACACTGTCCTTCTGATATAACTGTCACCTATTACAGAACTGGAACAGGTCAAGGTTAAAATATTACAGTAGTGATGATGGAGGACATAAAGAACATCGACTGGTTTGACTTAAGAAATATACATGTGGCTACTACCTGGAAAATCATAGTAAATTAAAAGTACTTGACAGGTAAATAAATATCCAAGACCATGTCCACTAGTTCCTTGACCACAGTCTATCAGACACGTAGTTTAGGGGATCTTTTCCTATACTATTTTACTCTGATTTCTTTTCTCTGTTCCACTGTAGGGGGCTCGTTTTTTACTTCATATTTATTCTCTATTCTTCAATACTTATATACTTCCTTCATATCTATATTTTCTATTAATGTTTTCTCACTCTTTCTATCAGTATATATCTTATATTTCTTTGTTTATATTTTCTAAGTTAATATTCTTTTCTATACTTTATTTCTTGTCATATATATTATTGTGTTTTCTAGATTTTATATATTTTCTTTCTCTCAATTTATTATTATGCTTTAGTTATATTGTATACCATGGATTAATCTCGTTAAACCATGTCATTCTTATTATAACACTTAGTATACTTACCACGGTAGCCTGCCACCACCCAGACTTTTATTAGAATATAATATATCTTAGTGAACTGTGAGGTAGCGTGTTAGCGAGTTTCTAGGCACGTGAGTTACTAGTTATTTTCTGAGAACCAACGGGTAGAAGAAATAGAGTGGTGATACTTGCAGTTTACTTATCCAATATTTATTAATATATGAAGTGAATAAGATGTTAATTAATTACACTCAGACCAGACTGGACCACTTAGGTCTTACTTTACACATAGCAAAATAGATATTAATTTCTTGACTACAACATTACATACTCATTATAATTATTACTTATATAGATGATTATAGAACACACTCGACAAGATCCAAAATTAAGATATTATCAAACACATCTTGTTAGTTCTGAACGAACAACATGGCACTTTTACTAACATTCAGTGGTAGTACACCTGGTTGGTGGACTCAACTCCTATAACAACATAACCACTAGTAACACCAACATTCATGGGTTCAATACTTAACTTGGGATAACTATATTTCTGGTAGTTAATCCGCAATCATAGACACCAATATTGCTCAATACATATAGCCCAGATCAATGGAACGGATAAGACTGCGTCCCCTAGTGGCGGGAGTTGTTTACGCCACAGACAGCCGAAGCTCGCTAGCAAGGAGCGCCGAGTACACTCGGTGCACTGTCTCCGCACGGCGATCCTTGGGTAATCTTATCTTCGGATTCTAATCTCGCCATATTAAAGACATCCTTCAAGAACCATCTTGCCCATAGGTGACTACCGAACCTCAGTAGTGGTGCCAACACAGACAGTGCCTGAGATAATGATGGAGAAGCGTCAGAGATGTGAATAATAACTCAATCATAAACAATCTTTCGTCTAGCAACGACAGACGATATTTACGCTACATTAATTCTTTCACTTGGTAAAGGACAATTTCACTGGTACAACATGAACACTGATATTCACAAAATTTACTGAGTTAGACTGACTTAATATGGCGGACGGAGAATCGTACACATACCTGAGATAATGATGGAGAAGCGTCAGAGATGTGACCCTCCTCCCGTGCACTAGCTTATATACGGCTAACTGGCAACTCAGGACTGTGCAGAACACATGACAGAAAGGCTAATCATGCAATGACAAAAATTACATTTAACTCAGTCGCTGTACATTTAACTATAAAAATCAATGCCATGGGTCAGCTGAATTTCTCAAGTCTATTTATATAAGCTAATCAGAGATTGAGCTTGCCAGGAAAAAGTGGAATTACACACGCTGTTATCACTAGTTCTCCCAACATAAGCGAATTTCTAGACAAGGACCCTCTATGGGTAATCAGAGACGTGACCGATCGCCCAAGCGGCTAACGAGCCGATCAGTGGCGAAGAGGATAAAAGTAAAAAAGTATAGGTATATCTTGGAAATAAGAAGTTTGACAGGTTCTTGCAGGAGATTAATGGCTTTCTTGAATAGACAACTGACACTAACTAGACTACAAACATCAGATTCTCTAATGTTTGAGCATCAAAATAATCTAACTTCAGTATCAATTGGAAATTCATGGCTATCCCCAGGGACAGTATCATGGGATGTCATTTGTACTGGCAGACTCAACACTCACTTAACCAATGTTACTAACAATAAAGACAGTTAAAGCTTTCAACATCACTCACAAAGGATCTTGTATGCTTTAACTGTAATCAGACATCTCTAAGTTGACTCAAAACAATGGTGTCCTCTCTCATATTCAAATTAACTTTATAGAGATGTTGGTTTCAGGAAGTCAGAGAAAATGGATGGCACCCACGCTTAGGAGCGATGAGAAAACGGTCGCCTCAGAGGGGGGACTCAATAAAGAAGACATAGCTCCATGTTTTGTGGGCTATTGAGCGTAATATGAATAGTCTGATTTTACGTTAACTGACGTGTACAACCGTGGTCATTACATTGTGACTATGGCAGTAGCACTATACTACCTCCCTACCTGATGGCCATTACAATAATGGTGCCTACTAAACTTACCCAGCTTTCACAACAAACATTAACGGTAAATCACTTTACACTAACTAAGGAATAACAGGACCTCCTTAAAATATCCAACTTTTATTTGTTGACTGTAGCACTGAGGAAGCACATTTTTTTTAGGTATAAGTGGTTGTTTCAGGAATTGAGGCAGAATTTATACCCTGGGCACCCTGACGTGGAGATGTTGAACAAAGTGTGCCCTGGAGCTCGGGTAGAGGATGGTGTGCAAGTTCAGTTGGCTGCCGCCTTCAAGGGCCGCAGGATCCTGGGTTGGCATCTTGCACTGGACCTTTTAGGTCCTCATCTTCTCAACACATGCAAGGTATGTCTTTGAGGCTGAGAAAATTTACCGAAATTTCTGCTGTTTTACCACCTGTAGGGAGAGCAGCGGTCGGGTGGATATAGCGCTGACCTCTTGTTCCGTGGGTTGGTTGTTCGATCTCCGTACCTAAGTTTATAAATTGGGGAAGTTCATACTGCCGAATGCAGTACTGATCATGCTGCACCCTTGTGTACCAAAGGCTTAGTGTACAGGGTGCTGTATCAACAATCTCCCTACTGGGCAGTCACACCTATGGGACCCACTTTCACTTTTACACCACTTGTTGACCTAACTAGTGTTCACAGGTAATGGTGAGGTGATTTACACATGCACTAAGTTGAACAATTGTATCTTGCCACTGTTATTTACAGGGGTTCTGCTACTAGGGAGGGATTTCTTTGGTGTATTTTCTCATTAATTTATCCCCCTGCTGTTAACTTTTAAACTCTTCAACCTTGTTTCTTCTCTCTTTTTCTTCATTAAGTATAGGTATTAGTTGAAGCATGATTATGTTACTCCATATAGTTATTCCATCACCTCTGACCATTGGTAGCGTTGGCTCGAGGTTAAGGACACGTGGGTATACTGTAATTCTGGTATCAAGTTATGGAAAAGAATGAAGGTAGATACTGCGGGAAAATGATACTCCTAACATACAAATAAAATTGTGGTAAAGGTGTAGAAGAGGGTGACCACCAGAAGGAATTGCCCGAATTGGTTGAAATTTTTTCTACAATTTAATATCAGTCTTGTGCACTAACACTCAAAGATTCTAGAAGAAGGGCAATGGAGTTTTTTACTACATGCAAAGCATTTGAGACACTTAACAGTGACATTATTTTCAATATTCATACATTATCTGGCGAAGTTGCTTGATGAGACTTATCAAAAATTTAGAGCATCGTTCCCGAAGGCTTTGTTGTCGCACCACAGACAGATGCACTGGCAATTCTGAAATTTTCACAGTTTCGTAACCAAGATACAGTTTTGGTGCTAGATACTTCTCCAAGTTGCAGGTGAAGGGATCTCTGTGATGTTAATGAGAAGGTAGTATCACTATTCACCAGTGTTTCAATGAGAAGTGTCAGATCGTCCAATAAATTTGTGGGATCACAGTCATTAATCTTTGCACTGCAGAAGCAATAGAAAACCAACGGGTCTGGCAGGCTTGAACAACCTTGAGTGGCCCATGTCCATCATTTATGAGTTTAAATAGGTTACTTTGTGCTTGCTGCCTTGAGGAAGATCTCGCAAACCAGTTGCAGGTTTCACTAACGAGAAATTCTAGGTTCCTCGGCATGGTTTCAGAACTTGCATGTGACACCGCTAACTGGACTGAATGACATACGCATCGCATCGGATATGTACTAAGGAAGGAACCTCTTCTTTCAATTTCTGGTAAACTCCATTGTTAATGCCAACCATCACACTCGCTTTGTCGGTTCCAATACCAATCATGTTATGCAAATTAAGTCCACATGCTTGTAATGGTGACTTCAAAGCATCAACTGCGTTATTTGCATCACATTCAAGCAGGGGTGCAAGGTGTAAAAACGTTGAAACTAGTGTCTGCGAATGCTCACCACTGAAGGCTCTTAGCAACCACCTCCATTCTATCGGCTACTTCCTCAGTCTTAGCAAGGATTTCTTTCCCAACTCGTTCTCCTATGGCTTGCAATCGCCTCTTTCACCTTGACTACGCAGTCAGAGCAATACCAGCAACAGCCTTCATGCTTTACGGCAGCTTGCATCGTCCTAAACGTTGCAAGGGTCAGGCCTGTATCACCCATATCCGTCATCCCCCCGCAGTAATCACATATCATACTCATGATTGTTGTTGGGGGGGAGGGGTACAGACTGTGTAGAAATCTACACCTATGTAAAAATAAAGAAAAATAACAGCACTTAGCTGCCCTCTGCTGGTTTTAACCTCCCCTGTTGCCTTTAGAGTTGTCTTTTGTTTTCCTTCTTTTTTTCAGTTCACTTCGGCGTTTGTCAGTATTTACGTGCTATCTCTATGTACACTGCATTTTGCTATGAATAACGGATTTTATACACCCAATCAGTCCTTTAGAAACACAGGAAAATAAAATAAAACTTTCTTTGGGGCGGTAATAGGATGACCTTTAGGATAGCCAAGCTTGTTGATTTTATATATTTATTTTTTATTTTAACTATTATTTCCTTATACTTTCTTTTACCGTTCTCATCGACGACTATATCTCTTTGTGCTATCACTGTGTACACTGTATCTCCCTGTGAATGTTGCATTGTGGGCACAGTTTCAGTCCATGAGAAAGCACACAAACAAAATCAAATTTAAAGTCTGTGAGGCACCTATAACACGACTTGGTCTCTGCTGGCAGTGGTGCCTTACCAGCTTGCTTGTCAATTTGTATCCACTTTAAGTTATTTACAACCTCTTCCGCGGTCACTGATGACACTATGAACTGATTTAACTAAAGGCACAGTACTACACTCCCTGGTTGGCCTTTATCACAGCCGTGACCACAACTCCGTAACAAAATAAAATAAAAGCTTTTTCACATGACAATGATTTTGTGGTTGTAGGCTGTACCTCCATGTCAGTGGAGATTGAGTTTTAAAAAATACAATCGCGTCTAGCATTAAAAATCCGACATCGATTTACACTTTCACATCGCTAAGACGATCTTGAGGATCTTACGTAATCACTGTCCAATAATAACAATTCTAGCAGTTGTAGCATATCATGTTTGGTGACATAAGTCCTCTTCTTACAGGTAGTATATGTGGCCCGCAACCCAAAAGACGTGTGTGTTTCTATATACCACTTCTTTACCAACAAGAAGAGCTATGAGGGTAATCTGGAAGACTGCGCACGATTTCTCCTGGAAGATGGCGGCTACTGGGAGCACATTTCACAGGCGTGGCGCCTCAAGGATCATCACAACCTCCACTTTATGTTCTACGAAGACATGAAGGATGACTTACTGGGACAATTGAGGAAACTGAATGACTTCCTCAAGCTGGACCTTAGCGAGCAGAAGCTGAAGACGTGAGTACTGTATTACTAAAATATTCATTCACTACAAGACACTCTTCTGCTTCTCTGATGTAACATAACACTATGAGACAGGTGGAAATTTTAGGAATCCTCTCACCCTCGGGCATGTTTTGTTACAGGGTGATGGAACGCACCAGCTTCGACAATATGAAGGCCACAAATAACTTGGAACTAGCCAAAGCCAACAAAGGCCCGGGAAGCCATTTCCGCAGGGGTGTAGCAGGAGACTGGAAGAACGCCTTTACCAGTGACCAAAATAAACGCATGGACGCATGGATTAAAGAAAAGTCACAAGGAATGGACATCAAATTCAAATATGAATAATACAACCTGGAATACCTTAAATAAAATTGAGTATGCCAGGGTTCAACAATCCTAAAGCTGGTGTTGAATACAGTAGCGCAACACTAACAGACTGAACCTTAAACAACCCACATATTTACTAAACATTGATAACTTAATGTTTTAATTGTCATGTTGATATGAGTTTATATAATAAACTATTATTAATTCATAGTACAGCATATGGAGTCAGTTTAGGCGACTCGGGTGGCATAGTAGGTAGTAGGCAGCGACCAAACAGATATTGTGAAGATAGTGGAAGCATAATGTGTTGCCTATGGTAGACCCTGCTGCCATATGGCATCACGAAAATTGTGACCAAGTCCCAGGCTGCTGATCTGACCTTCTGCCTCATTTACACACAATTGCAGGGTCTCAATTGTTTCTCTTACTTTGACAACACAACATACATACTGTATATTGTTTCTCACTTTTTATCTTTTTTTTTCATTTTTGTATTTATTATTATTATTATTATTATTATTATTATTATTATTATTATTATTATTATTATTATTATTATTATTATTATTTCGCCCCCAGGCCCCGATATGGGTCAGTGACCTGTGCCCAAGGTAGGTAGATAACAGGTAGCCTCACTCAGGCCCATAGGAATTCACTAATTGGCAACTCTGCTCTCGAGATCGCTAAGCCACGCCCCTTTTGCCACTTCACTCGTTTGTAGTATTGAGGTAGTGTATTATTATTGTAGTATTGAGGTAGTGTATTATTATTGTGGTATTGAGGTACTGTATTATTATTGTAGTATTGAGGTACTGTATTATTATTGTAGTATTGAGGTAGTGTATTATTATTGTAGTATTGAGGTACTGTATTATTATTGTAGTATTGAGGTACTGTATTATTATTGTGGTATTGAGGTACTGTATTATTATTGTAGTATTGAGGTACTGTATTATTATTGTAGTATTGAGGTAGTGTATTATTATTGTAGTATTGAGGTAGTGTATTATTATTGTAGTATTGAGGTACTGTATTATTATTGTAGTATTGAGGTACTGTATTATTATTGTAGTATTGAGGTAGTGTATTATTATTGTAGTATTGAGGTAGTGTATTATTATTGTAGTATTGAGGTACTGTATTATTATTGTAGTATTGAGGTACTGTATTATTATCTGCTACTGTTTGATGTAACTAAGTGGGCGGAGCTTAATAAGTAATGTCATCGCTAGCCAATCAGCGACGTTGGATGAAATCCAGCGGTCGCAAGTAAGATATTTATATTTATTTTATATATTTAATCAGTGGCTCCAATTAAAATAAAACAAAAATCTCCATTCCATACATTTATTGTACAACTTTTAATACCATCATAAGCCTTCAAAAATACGTAAGTAAAAATGAAATTTTTATTTACGTAGATCTTATGGGAGTGAGGCTACCTGTTATCTACCTACCTTGCCTATGCCTGGGCCTGGGTGGGTTGATCCCCGTGGAAAAAAAAACCGGAAATTCACTACACTTTAGCGATAGAACTTTCGGACATAGCGTCCCCAAAAGTTATAAACTACTGAAGCATTTAGATCTCCCTGTTCTGAGCATTTTGAACCCCATAAACAGTATACCTGGCAGATATGGATAATAGCGACACAATTGATTTTAAGTAGTTTTCAGTCTTCGTCTGTGAGATGATGTTATCGGTGCATCACGCATGCGTAATGTTGACTGACGTCATCCAGTCGTGACCAATGAGGTATCGATATCATCACGCGAATTTTTTTCGACCAATCACATTTAATTTTTTCGAAGGAAGCAGCCTGGGTACGATTTTAAATTCATTGACCAGTTTCACAGTGGCGGTGGTGGAGGTAGGTTGTTGTTTTTGCTCCTACGACTATTTTAAGTTCATTGCCGAGTTTTATGAGGAAGATGATCATTCTATCCAATTCTTACGTATATCCCTGGTCCTTCCACTTCTAAGGTATAGTACTTTCGGACATGGCGCGCCCCAAAGTTTTTAACTACTGAAACATTTTGGTTAGTTTAAGCTAGGCCGTCCGGGGGCAGAGCCCCTGGCTAGGAGTTAGGTCAGTTACGTTATTTTTTTGTGAGGTCAGATAACTCGTTTTCGTTTTCTTTCCCACCTAAGAACCCTGATTTCCCAGACTTACTCCCTATTATTTCTTCAGGAGGCTTAGTGGGGGGGGGGGCAAAAACTAGCAATTTCCGCCAAAAATGAAGGTCAGAGCTGTGACCCCTTGTGGGACGAGCGTCCGCCAGCTCCAGGTAAGGACACTCGACTGAATAGTGCCCCTTGAGATGCTTATACACCTCAATTTGGTTGTGGATATATTTACCAGATTCTCATGAGCTGGCGGACGCTCGCCCCACAAGGGGTCACAGCTCAAGATTGAAGAAGTCGCAGGCCCAGAAAACTGTGAGGGCAAACTTTTTCGGAGTGAGAGTTGTGAACTCTTGGAACAATCTACCAGAAAGTGTTGTGACGGCACCGAGTTTGAGCTCTTTCAAGACAAAACTTGACCAACACTGGAGCAGGTTCAGGTACATTCAGGAGCCGGTGCATGCCCAGTACTTGCCAACAGTGCGTAACAGAAACGTGACCGATCGCCCGGGCGGCGAGCGAGCCGATCAGTGGTGAAGAGGATAAAAGAAAAAGAAGGTAATGTATGAGGAAACAGCACAGTATGTAATAAAAATTTCTTTATTGTCTTATGTACAGTGCTTATAATAGTAAAGAATGTGTCAGTAAGCTGGTTACATGAAGACATTTTTAACCATTATGACTTGATTACTGTCATGTTATTACTGTATAAGCAGGAAAAAAACATATGTATCATAAGTTCATTCACTTATTGGCATGTCTTCATACTAATATAGTATATAATGTGACTTTACCTCCATTTAAATTCACCATTTCTAATTAAATTATTGCTCTGGTTTGGGATCTTGCAGTAAGAGAACCTGCAGACTCACCCTTACTTACCGTTAACTCAATACTAACTTCTCCATAAAAGTCTTTGATGAGCTGGATGTACTGAGTCAGCTCTATTCTGTTATCGAGGTACTGTACTCTGAGGGTACAGTGTGTTTCTTATCTATGATGCCTTACATGAGTTTTAGCTGACACTGACCTTCCTAAACTTAAGTTAGGTCTCTCATGGGGACTCGCAGGCCAGAAAAGGAAGTCTTAATTGTGACAATTTACTGTACATCCAAAGGGACAAAGAAATGACATTGATTCCCTCCCATGTGTAGGGTTCCCATACAGCCAGGAACTGACCTCAGCATGGATGTGTGATTCTATTTTGAGAGCAAGATTTACTATTTAGTTAAATTTATGTATTAAGACTCCTGCTCTGAACCTCATTAGTTTGTGATGCCACAAGTAAATTGTAATATGAAGTTGGATTCATATGGTGAGATAAATGCTTACTTATTGCTACCATGTAAACATTCTCTGCATGAACAACACATCTTACTGCCCTTCAAGTACTGGTGGGGTCTGCCCTAAGGTCAATCATTTCATCCCATCAGTAATAAAATGATTTTCATTCTGATCCTCTGTTTAGTATACTCACTTAAACCAATTCACAAAATAAATATGGGCAGAGGTTAGATAACCATAGACCCAAATTTTTAAAGTACATAGTACAGGTGTATTTCCAAGCATCTCTCGAGCTACAGTACATACAAAACATTGTTAAGAATAAGGTACTTATCCTTCTGATCAGGGAATGTGTACACTGTGTCTTGACTTCTGTTTCATATTATCTAATTGCTGCTTCAATTCTATCATTTGTTCATTTTGCTTTTGGTAGTTATCATTCAACTGATTAAAGAGAGTCAACAGCTGGTCCAACTTCCTTGTCTGTGCCTCTAAATGATCTTGCTGTGGGTCTGGCAGAGAAAGATTTGCAGTTCCATCAACTTTTTTTTTGAAAAGTTGAAAAAATTCCTCAAACTTTGATAGAACCTGGTCGTTATTATCATCTTTTTTGAGCTCATCAAGATCCATTAATGCTACCATGTTAAATGATAGTGCCAAAGTTCGTGACATCCATGATGAAGGTCTCTGGAAATTTTGTATTTTTTTTACTAGCCATGGCCTCTTATACATGTTATTGTACTTGCCTATAGCATATTTTCTTCTTAAAGATGGGAATAACACATCAAGATTTAAAATAAGATTTGCTCGCCCTGCCTTCCTGTATAATGCAACTTCTCTCTCATCTGATGACGGGGTTTTGATTAATGTAACGATAAACACCCAAACTGTGCACATAAATATGAGGAAGAGAACATTCACAAGGACTGGATAAGATAGTTTGTTTTCTCCCACAAACGTCTCATCGTAGTTTAAGTCGCCCAACATCCATACTACAGTCTTAATTATTGACTGTGGCACCGTCTTGAAGGCCAGCTGATCACGGAGGAGCATAAAGAAGATAAAGGCAAAAAGGATTATTACCATACCAATGTACATCAACCCTTTTAAATAACATTTGATAAAGTCCCAGGTGCTGATAGTGAAGATGGACAACTGGGGCAGCTTATTGATTATCTGGATGAGTTGGACCCATGCCATCAGCAGAGCCAAGATGCCACACTGCCATATGGGTACCTGTAAATTAATTAATAAATACAAGTAACTAAATAAAATAGTACTGTACATAAATATAAAGTATAAATTGTCACTCCTCGCAAATGCTAGCCTGAGTACAGTAATGCCAAATTTACAGGTGAAATATTTACTTTATCATACAAAAAATGAAAATATTATAGTTGGTTTGCATGTGAACAATTTAGAAAAGAAACGAAAATTGTGAAGAATCATGGTGGTGCAGCCATGCACACTGTGTACTTCAGCTGTACAGCATTGTGGAGTTGTGGTTATCACTAGTGCAGGAATGGTTAGCCTTATGGCCTATATGCCACTGTTTCACTACAAAGGAGTTACGTTGGCACATACAGGTAGAAACAAAATATTTGGTTTACATGTGATACAAACTTATCCATCTGGTCAAATTAGTGTCATAGTTGCCATTCCATTAACATTCACTGATCACTTCTAAATGTTGAAAATCATGCTCAATATACAGTATGGAGAAGTCAACCATGTCTCGGAGTACAATAAGCTTTATCAAGCTCATACAGTATATCTTATACTGCACACATCATGGTCATCCTTAATATCTCTTCAATTCATATTACGCTGCATAACATTCAAATCCACCGCGTTTGCAGTCACAGAAAACAGTAGAAAATGTGAAACTTTTGTAAGGAATAACTCACCTGCTGTATGTTGTTTTATACCAATTGTACCAATGAACAGGCATATAATATTAAGTGTATGTACTGATAGTGTAAAGGAGAACTCAAGGTGTCTATATAATGATTGGAAGGTCCAATTGATACGGGCTCGTGTACTATAAGCGATAAGTGTGTAGACCATGTCTGAAGGTCATAATATTTACATCTGTGAACAATTAGTAAACATAGCTACCTCGGGTATCAGATGAAAATACATGAGAACAATGATTTGGAAAAAGGATAAATGTATCAGACCTATGTGAAGTCTTGGAAGTGATCCAGAAACTATACTTCAAAGAGAATATCTTGTATACCGAGGTGTGAGCTTAATACACATCGTTACCCCATGTGACAAATAACCATGAACAGTACAATGATCAGAGAATCTTATGAATGTGTTCAACAATTGCAACGTGTGATGAGAGGATCCCTAAATACAGATTGAAGTGAAGTGGATATACCCACGCCAAGAAAACACCAGCTTAGGCCTTTGTTCTATGTTGGCGCCTAAGATGCCCCGGGCTACAGTTTTGAGTTAAGGATATAGCCCAATTAATTTCCTTAGGAACTGGCAAACTAGGCACTCACATAAGTATGTAATTTAGAATTAAGGTATGTAATGATAAGACATAAAGTCACAATATACTGTATAGGAAAGAGTATATGTGAGACTGGGATGATGTCCAAGTGAAAATTAACAATTGGAAACTGTAGGCCTAGTTCAGTGTGAGACGCACGGCGCACCCTCAGTGAAACAGGTGTACGCCGAGAGCGTAGGTAGAGTCCCCAGTGAGGTCGGAGGAATGCTTGGCCCAGCCATCATTGCCCTACTTTGAGGCACCCACGTGTTGCTGTGGGGAACGCTGCTGGCCACCTTGCAACATCCCTTAACATCCAGGACAGAAGACAATGATTGTCTTATATGAGTTGCTTCTCGGTCGCCACTTAAGTGACCCCATGATACCGGACGCTGGAATAGTCCTGGTATGATACCTGAGAAGTATCTATCTACCTAGCATGAGTAGTGTGTGAGCGGAGTACCTATCATGTGTACCTGGATAAATACCAAGTGTGTTTCTCATATGACGTTAGAGCAAATTTCCCTAAATACTGTACTGCATACAGAGGAATTACCACTGTATATTAAACTTATTTACCTCCTGGCCATCCACTGGAGGTAGCCATGCTGAGGGAAGGATGCTATTATGAAGCCTACGGTACTGTACTGTACTGTTCTTTATTTCACAGCTGGAGCTGGTAGACCATTCCACAGGTCTGCAGTACTGTATTTCCTTATGTTCTTTCTGCAGAATAATGTGGCAAGCTTGTAGTTACGGTATGTCTCCTTGTGTTGGTGGTGCATGGCATCATAAAGAAATGGCTCAGGTTCACGTTTTCCATCCCTTTCAGGATTTGGAAAGTTTCAGTGAGATCTGTCCCATTGTGCCTTGTCTGAAGGGTTGTTAGTCTTAAGGCCCACAGTTTACTTAGATAATTGAAATGACATAGTATAGTCCCAGAATCATCTGAGTTGCTTCGTTTTGCACCTTTCTAGGGAAGTTAGATCTTTCCTGTCATTGTATTTGAAGGAACGCTTTATAATTCCCAAATCTCGGTTTGCTCTATTCACTGCTGTCCGCACTTGTTGCACCGCCTTCAGCCAATGATCAATCAAAACACTAAGATCTATCTCCTTATTGACAGTATCCAGGAGAGTGTTATTAAGAGAATAGTTGAGATTAGGGTAGCTTTATCCTATGTGTAGGGTCTTGCATTTTATAATGTTAAAGAGCATTAGCCAGTCTTGACCATTTGAACAGTTCATAGAGGTCTTGCTGCATTATTTCTGACATTGTCTTGATTTGCTACCTTCCCAAATATCTTTGTTTCGTCCGCCAACTTGACATTGTGGCTTGAAGAGCTGCAGAAAAACCTCTGGGCTACAGGAATGGTCAAAGAAATGGCTGCTGAGATTCAATTTCACGAAGTGTAAGAGGATTATCATATGTCCCAACGGGATGAAGAAACTGCACTTGTTGAGACTGAATGTGAGAATGACCTAGGTGTGTATGTTGAAAATGAGCTGAAGTTCTAGGGCCATTGCGAGAAGAAGGTGAATCAGGCAAATTAATTATTGGGTCTTATAAGAAGGTCGTTGAGATATCTAGACGGTCTGTCCCTCGTAACGATCTTCAAGAGTGAAGTGCTTTCCCATCTGGAGTACTGTCACCCAGTCTGGTCCCCGAGATATGCTAGGGACTGTCAGTTGGTTGAAAATGTTCAAAGGAGGGCCACCAGACTGGTGCCTGCACTTCGGCACCTCAGCTACCCTGAGAGATTGCAGCGCCTGAACTTGCCTAGCTTATACTACAGATGGGCAAGGGGTGACCTAGTTGAGGTGTATAAACATCTCAGGGGGCACTACTCAATCCAGAAAACTGTGAGGGCAAACTTTTTCGGAGTGAGGGTTGTAAACTCTTGGAACAATCTACCAGAAAGTGTTGTGATGGCACCGAGTTTGAGCTCTTTCAAGACAAGACTTGACCAACACTGCAGCGGGTTCAGGTACATTCAGGAGCCGTTGCATGTCCAGTACTTGCTAACAGTGCGTAACAGAGACGTGACCGATCGCCCAAGCGGCTAACAAGCCGATCAGTGGTGAAGAGGATAAAAGTAAAAGTAGATCACAAACAGGGTGGGTCAAAGGATTGAGCCTTATGGTATTCCACTGAAAACCTTTTTCATTTAGAATGTATTCCACTTCATTTATTACCACTCTGTTGCTTGCCTTTGAGCCAATTGTTAATCCACTTCAAAGTCGTGCCTGTGGTGCTATGTGCTTGGATCTTAGAGGCTAGTTGTGCATGTAGGACTTGGAGAAATCCATGTTCAACATGGTAATTACCATTATAAATACTGTACACAAATTCATCATTGCTGTAGTCTTTTATAAGAACATCAACAGATCACGCATGACAATACAGTACAGGTCTTACCGGTGTCGGTATTATAAAACTGAATCCAGTTGCTTGTTACACCATAATACTGTACAAGGGTATCTCCAGCACTACACACCACCTGTGAGTCTTTAGTATGACATACCAAATAAACAAGTCACACAACACATTCTCTGTGAAGGCACAGTCCCCTTCATGAATCATTTACTGGGGCTCGTCATATAAACATTCCACAAATCATTACATTGAGATACTGTATTTGTTTTAATATTGATTTCCTTTGATTCCATAATATGTTTACCATTACGAGTTTCCTTCTGTCGAATGTAAACAAACACAGGGTTGCCACACTGCACAAAACCTGACGAGCCCGAGGCTGTAGTTCTGATTTATATTTTAGTTATTTTTGTGCAGGTTAGGTAAGGTTGCAAGTTTATAATGGTCACTTATTGATAAAAACATGTCCGTTATTCAAATAAAATTTGTGAGTTCTCAAAATCTTTTAATGATTATACAGTACTTGCAACCTAACTTTAAATGTGTCAAAATTACCCTCCTCACCAGCAGTAGCACCGTCCTGTAGTGCTATCTTCACCCCACCTATCATTCAATGCCTTGTCTGTATCCTTCTCTAGGTCTTCACAAAAAATAGTAAAAACAGTGGATTTTTTAAAAATAATTTTCACCACTTACCAGATCACAGTACAAGCCATTTGGGCGGTTGGTCTATCCAGTGTTATGTGAAGCATATTTGTTTTAAAGTTGTTTGTAAAGAGGAATGCAGCAGCTAACCTTCCCATGGTCTTTTAATGCAGGTTGCTGATCTAGAACATTAAATGAAAAAACAGCAAAGGGAAACTGTCTCACCATTTTGATGCCCAGCTGGAAACCACACTTGCAGGAGGGAATGCACACTATAGTAGTCAACACCAAGGAAGGGATCCGCACGAAGATGAAGGTACTGTCAACATAGTCCCACTGCAGCTGTCAAAATATTGGTACACTACTATTATTAATACACTATTAATATTTTAATGGGTTTTGTGAAAGTTTTATGCTATATATTACAGTATTTGTTTTTTACCTTACATTATTTGTTTTTAGCCTTCTAAGCTGTTAGACTAATTTGGCGGCATATGACCTAAGCTCTCGCGTCACCAGGGATGTTATTACCCAAATCAATCAATCAGTTATTAATACAAAACCTTATTGATACTATTATTATACTACCCCTCGGTATACCCAAGATGCTTTCACCACGTCTCACCCTAGACTTACACCCCCAAGCACATGTCCATCTCCCACAACCTGTCCTACACACACCACTGTTTCCTCCAAGTTCATTCCCCTGTAATGTACTGCCACCTTTTATCTACCCTTCCATATTCTTTCTTGGCCTTCCTCCTTTTTCTCCAACTAACCATTATATTAAATTAATCCTACTCTTCACTAACCTTACACTTCTCATTCTCTCAATTGGTTTATTTCATTTGTGTAGACATTGCCACCTGTCTTTCTGCTGCTTCTGTCACTACTTATTAATATCCCTTCACCTGTTATTGAGTACTAATAATACCGATGCCTTTTTATTACAGAGTTATTAAATACAGACACACTCTTTACTTTTACTTTATCATCTTTGTCTTTACTTGCTAGCTCACTAGATGATCAGGCAGCCGGTCTATTCTCTGTTACACACTGATGGCAAGTACTGGCCATGTATGGGGTCTTGAATGTATTCGATCATGTTTCAGTGTTGATCAAGTCTGCACTTAAAGGAGATGTGATACTGTTCCATACTATAACAAGGTATATCCTCTTGCATCATAGAATCTGAAGCTGACAAGTGGCCAGTGGGATAAAGTAAAGACTTACATCCCAAACCAGCCATACAGAATTCTACATTACGTAGTTATACAGTAGTCCCTCACCAAGCACTGGGGTTAGGTTTTTGAAAAACCCCATGGCTGATAAATCTATGATAGGCAAGACTAAAGGCTTATGGGAAATACTAAAGGCTTATGAGAAATAGAGGGTTAGGTTTGATGGCTGTGGATAATGCTCGTCAAACCATAAATAAGTTGTCTGTTCCTTCACTGAACAATACCTGTATTGTACATTTAGTTAAATCTGAGTCAAATACATGTAAATTAAATTGTACAGTAATATTAATTTTACAGTACATCTCTGTGGAGATGGCATGTTGCTATAAAATAAGGAAAATGAAGAGTATAGGTATGTATGTGTGTGAAGTGATATTTCAACTCCTATTTGTGTATATACAGGGTATATACGTAATTTTCTTAAATTTATTTTACTCTTGTTACATGCAAACACAATTGTTCATACAAAATGTGCAAAAAAATAAATAAAAAAATAATAAATTATCATAGGTCCAAAAGAGAATACTGTAAACATTTCTTACATCCGCAGGAGTTAGCCCAGGATTATGGGAAGGGGCGGTGCGCTCCTGTCTCCCATGTCCTTGGTAAAATGATTCCCAAATGTCAATAATTTTTTTTTTTTTCTTTTAATTACTGTAATAGTATTATTTTTATTCATTCCTCACATTTATGAAGGAATACATTAGACCACAGAAGGATAAAGATAGCACACTAATTTGCAGAAACTTAAAATTCAATGCCACATTTGGTGAAATGGTATACAGTACTGTTAGAGTAAAAACCGTGGATACCCAGAATCCATGGATGGGACATCCGCTGTTGGCGAGGGTCTACTGTACATAAATATATTGGATTATAAATTACCTTCTTTGTACTCATAACCTCCAGTGTGACCTGAAGAATGAGTGAAACAAGCAGGAGGACGTGCCATGTATAATACACAGTTGAGTTCCACTGGAGTCTTCCCGTGAACTCGGGCGTCATCATTTCTTCTGCTGCATTAACAGTATCATGAGAAGTTTCTAGAACTCCACAAAATACTTCTTTTGATTTATTGGAATACTTTTTGACTTGCTCCCAATTACTGAAAAGAATGAATTCGTGCACTTTAATTCTCCCCTTATCAATACACACATGTTTTCATTAGAGTTGTACATAGGTCAAGAAAGTTTTATTTTATGTTAACACAATGATCCATGCTCATCAGAACACTGGCTGAGCATATAAGTGAAGGGCAGACACCAGTACTGTACACAAATACAGTGATCACATTTTATATAAAGAATTATGCCTATGAATATGTCAAATAATATTTTGGCAAAGTCCTGGAGGCATTATGTGCCAAATGACATTGAACTGTAAAAGAAAAAAATATGCACTTGACATATATTATTAAAAATTCCAAAAGGCCACTAAAACTGAGGGCCATATGACTAACAATCCTTCAGACAAGGCACAATAGGGTAGATCTCATTGAAAATCCTGAAGGGGATGGAAAAAGTGAACCCGGGCCATTTGTTTGTGATGACACGCACCACCAACACTAGAGGACATAACTGCGAGCTTACCAAGTTAGCATGCAGAACGAACATAAGGAAATACTTCTTGTTTTCCTTTTCTAAACCCACACTGTTTCTCCCTAAATAAACTTGCTGTTTTTGCTGGAAATATCTCAATAGTAATTGTACAGTACCTTACTATCCCTGTCACAATCAGCAGTCAGTTCTATACTTTTGAATTTATCTTCAACAACAAAACTCATCTCCCAATAAAAGCTACAGGTAGTGGAATTAAAAAGACATTGACATTATTTTATGGTTTCAGTTTTCAATTTGAAGTAGTGTACTATATCCATCCTCAGGTACAGTACAGTATGTCATATAGGCACTCCACATCACCTCTATGTTCTGGCTGTAACAGAGTCTCATATCTTTGTGTTTTGGATCGTCATCACTAATAATACTATATGCGTATTAGATCAGGTAAATATGTGACTAATATAGTGTACTCGTGCAAACAATAATCCTAAATAACTTACTGAATTGTTGCCATAAAGCCAATGAGGACACCAACTGCAAAGAGCCGTAGTACCAATAGCCCTGCAAATATCCATCTGGCGTATGACTTCCACTTAAAACTGATCCATGCCTCTGTTAGTGGGTGTTGAAGGAGGCCTAAACATCTATGATGTGCCATAATGCTCACTGGATGTTCCTTCTTCCATACCAACACCTTAGATGTTAGTTCTTTGGCAGCAGGCAGTACTTCCCAGGTCTGTTGGTTGAATGGGCTTTTTACAGAGGATCGTAAAATGTTTTTGTCTGTAAAAAAAAAAAAATCTCATTAGCATTATAATTCTGTACTCTATTTCAGTCAGTCAATATCTAGCATGCCATTTTTTTCTATACATGATGCTGCTCTTTGCAAACTTTCTAGTTTTGGGGGTCATGATTCATTTCATATTTAACAAGAGCCCTTACATGCCCATTGCTTGCCAACAGTGCATAACATAAAACAGACTGACTGTCTTGTGAGCTGAAGATAACTTAACAAACCTTCCTTACCTTCCACAAAGAAATCTTCTAACCTTACCTCTAGGTTTCTCTTATGCTTACTCTGGGATTAATTACAGGTAGATATATTTTTATACAGTACGTGTTTCAATATCTATGCAGTAATACCTCAACACAACATTCGTCTTACCTCTGCTGTAATGTTCCCAAGTAACTTACAGTATGATTTTTCCTTGAACTTTGATACTCAGACATACTTCCATCTAACCACATGTGAATGACTTTCCTCTATACATATGTATTCCTGGATAGTATACTGGTATCCCCCTATTTATGATGGGGTTACTTTTTTGAAAAACCCATTGCAGGTCAAAATATTGTAATCAGGATCATTTTAACATGGGCTTCAATGGGATACATTCCCAACCAGTCCAATAGCCTATCACATGGATCACCAAAAATAAAATTCCTACAATAATAATATACATAAAACACAATTAGACAACATTCACCACATCAATAAAAACAGTCCAGAAAACTGTGAGGGCAAACTTTTTCAGAGTGAGAGTTGTGAACTCTTGGAACAATCTACCAGAAAGTGTTGTGACGGCACCGAGTTTGAGCTCTTTCAAGACAAAACTTGACCAACACTGGAGCAGGTTCAGGTACATTCAGGAGCCGGTGCATGCCCAGTACTTGCCAACAGTGTGTAATAGAGACGTGACCAATCGCCCAAGCGGCTAACGAGCCCATCATTTGGTGAAGAGGATAAAAGAAAAGGAAAAGTAATCAGAGACGTGACCGATTACCCAAGTGGCAAACGAGCCAATCAGTGGTGAAGAGGATAAAGGTAAAGTTTAAATCAGGGATACCTTTACTGTCCATAAATGCATTAACAAAACAACAAAATAGCATAAAGGAATATTAAACATAATGCTTCTGAGAGTGTGTGTGTGTGTGTGTGTGTGTGTGTGTGTGTGTGTGTGCTCTATATTGAGTTATGTACCAGTGTGTTTAATAGTACTGTATACATACAGTATTTCTATTACCTTCCTTGATGCAATAGTTGTCCTCAAGTAGTCTGAAATCATACAGAGTACATTTCTCGGTTACTGATGTGCAGTGGTCCATCACCACCTGAGCAAGAAATGGGTACAATTTGATAAGTTCCCTGAAGTTGGTACAGGGAACATCCTCGTGTTTCTTCACCACACCAAAGCCCGCCTCCCACCACTGGCTCCTCACAATGGTCTCTACAACTGTTCTGCAAGAATATATAATTTTCTGTTAACTGCATGTCTTAACCAGAAAGCAATGTACAACAAACACTGTTGAAATATTTGTTTTTTTGCTACACAAGAAAATTATTTTTAATATTAACATATTTTATATAATCATTAGCAAAATCATGTCTTACTTCTTCCTCCCTTTGAGAGCCTTGTGGGTGTAACTGTGGAGATGATCCTGTAGATCTTGTGGCATTGTGTTAATATTCTTATATGGCAGGATGTTCAGTAGAAATTGGAATACCTTGTCATGTCCCTTTAGAAAGGCAATATCAAGTGCATATCTTTTTTTTCTATCCTGTAGTTTATAGAGAGCTTTGTCAGCATCAGACAGTATTTCACAACATTCTAGGTTCCCCTTAGCTGCAGCAGCATGTAGTGCTGTGGTGTTATTGTCATCTTTAGCACGTTTATTGGCACCATACTTTATCAGTAACCTCACTACAGAAGAATGACCTTGGTAAGCACTCAGTTGCAGAGCTGTTCTGCCATTCTTGTCTGCAGCATCAATATGGGCACCCTTACGTAACAGCAGCTGACACCCCTCCCTGGAACCTCCGCGGGCCACCACATGTAGTGGTGTCTCATTGTCAATGTTTTTCACGTTTACATCCAATGTCCGTATCATTAAGAGTTTCTCTAATAATGTTGGTCTTACATTATCTGCTGCCAGATGGAGAAGTGATAGCTTTTGTTGACATACAATAGACGTTGATGCTCCAGCAGCTAATAGTAAAACTGCACATTTTTCACTGTGCTTTCTTACTGCGATGAAGAGAGCCGTGTAGCCATCCTTATCTTTTTCGTTTAATTCTTTTTTCACTTCTTCATGTTTGAGTAAGTATTCCATACACTCCTCAGCCTTTTTAGTTGCTGCCACGTGAAGTACACCACTCTGGGAATTGTTCTTAATATTCACATTAGCTTCCTTCTCCATCAGTACACTCAGACAAGAAATTTTATTTCTCAAGACAGCTTCCATTAATGGTGTATTCCCGACATTGTTCTGTATATCAAGAGCAGCGCCAGTTTCTATGAGTAATGCAGCAAATTTTTCAAATCCTGATCTAGCAACCATATGAAGTGGTGTGTTGCCAGCAGCATTTCTGAAATTCAAATTCATTTTAGCATGAACATGAACCATTTCTTTAAAGCATCGATAGTGACCTTTCATTGCAGCAAGCATGACAGGTGGACTTATTTCCTGACCTTGGACTGTGTCTCCCACATAAAATGGTGCGAGTTCCTTACAACACTCATGATGGCCTCTGTCAGCAGCATGGTGGAGAGGAAGGTACCTCATGTGGTCTCTAGCACAAGGATCAGCTCCTTCTTTGATCAGTAACTTCACTATTTGAAGTTCACCCTGGTAAGCAGCATAATGCAAGGGAGTCATGGACTTCTTATTTTTTATGTTTACTTTGGGGTTCATACTATTCACCTTCTGATGTTCCACCAAGATGATACAAAGGTCTTTGAGACCTTCTCTTGCTGCAATGTGGAGAGGAGCATCTCCATTTTTATCTTTAACATTTATTTCTGCACCGTACTGAAGCAAAAGTGAAGGAATATTTTGAGCTCTTGTCTCTCTCTTGGAGTACTTCTTAGCTAGAATATGAAGAAGCGATGACCCATCTTCATCTTTGTATGTGACACTTTCACCTTCATTTAACAGTTTTTGACACAGATGAAAATCTTTTTGAGAAACCGATTCACGGAGCGTCTTTCTCCCACTGTTTGGCTTCCTGAAGAGCAAGAAACAGTATTAATTATAACTTCTACATTTCCATCAGTGTACAGCAAGTCACACACACCTATGTAAACTATCCATGTGCAGAATACAGAAAAAAAAAAAAATATATATATATACCTATATATATATATATATATATACAGTGAACCCTCACTTTACGCGGTCAATTGAACCCACGGCGGCCCGCGTAAAGTGAGAAACGCGTAAAGTGAACAACATAACCTATGGGATTAATTGAAATAGAGACCGGGCCGACCCCAAAACTCCACTCTTTCACACACAATACCTACGTTGTAGTAAAAATAACTTCTTAATTTTATGATGGTATGCACACACAATTAATAATTAAGAGAAATATCAATAATATTAGGTTTTTTAACACTTACATTAGTAGAAAAGATGGCTGGGCACACGGGGATGGGGGGTTGGTTCCGAGGCAGAGGGCAGATTATTGGCCCTCACCTGTATCTCTTGTATCAATTGTATCACTATCCACCACAGAGGCTTGCAGGGCCTCTTTGTCAAACCCCTCAAAGTCCATATAAGTCCATATCCTCACTATAATTATCACTATCACTGACTTGGGCCGGCTGTGGTGGGTGGCGGGTGAAGAACTCGGTAATGTTTTGATGACTGGGCGACCTTGTGCGCACCCTGCTCGCGCCGCTCTCCGCATAAAAGGGTACACACACCGCGGAAAGTGAGCACTCCGTGTTCGGCAGGGTACCGCGTAAAGCGAGGGTTGACTGTATATACAGTATATATATACGTATATATATACGTATATATATATACGTATATATATATAATATATATATACGTATATATATACGTATATATATATATATATATATATATATATATATATATATATATATATATATATATATATATATATATATATATATATATATATATATATATATATATATATATATATATATATATATATATATATATATATATATATATATATATATATATATATATATATATATATATACAGTATATATATAATGACACGCCTTCAAATTAAGAGCACTCCAGTCTCTGGAGGACAAGTGACTATCTGGGCATGGTTGAAATATAATACAGACTATGTATCTGGATTAAGATAGAGGCCATAATTTTCATTGTTATTTGTGTGTTTTCCTATGTTATATATTTCATCATTTGATATATTGGGGCCTTCTTTGGGTGGGAGTCTGGGGAAAATTGACTTGCTAGCAGCAGCTATTGTGAAGTATATTAACTCATGACACCATCACTCACACATCTGTAGCTCCCTAGATACACCTGTCCATAATGATAGTAAATTAGCATTATGTACATGTGTCTTATTTAAAGATGGTACTTTTACTTTTATCCTCTTCACCCCTCATCGGCTGGTTAGCCGCTTGGGCGATACGGTACACAATGTCCCCTAATAGCATATAAGATATGATAAATACTTTTCAACAGCCAGATACGTACGCATCAGTGGTGTCCATGGGAACATATATATACGGTAGCGGGCTGGCCTGCTGGCAACCTGGTTTTGTCGACTGTGGCATTGTTACTGTTGATACACCTGGTCTTTCTCTCAGCTAAGTGGTCCTCCACCTCTTGTACCCTCACCAAGCTGAATAAAGAACATTACATTTTAGCATTTAGTTATCAAGGTAAGACCATAGCCAATTTTTTTTAGCTCTATTATCATATTGTGGGGTTGATCAGCTTCCAACAGACTTTATAAAACAAATGGGCAAGAATGGGATAAATAGTTTGATTAAAATATGTACAGTAGCGCTGTACTGTAATTCTATATACAGCACACCTGTACTTCAAAGGAGCCCTTCCCAGTTATTTAAAGAAATCAATATTTGTATTATTACCTAAAAACCCAGGAGCCTTAGAGTGCACCCAGTTGAGAACAATAAGGTTAATAAGTCATGCCTGCAAAGTTATATAAAACATAATTTTAAGTAGATTAAAGTTTAGAATAGAAAGTTAGTTATCTGAAGAGCAAAATGGATTTAGAAAGGGAAAGGCGACTAAAGAAGCTATATTTGGTTTGAGAATTTTGAGTGAAAGGGGTTTAGAGGTCTAAAGAGATTTGTTCATCTGTTTTGTTGATTTTGAAAAAGATTTTGATAAGGTAAAGCACATTAAACTTACAGAGATCTTGGGAAAAATACGCATTAATGAAGGAGATTTTAGAATGTTACTTTTTACTTTTATCATCTTCGCTACTGATTGGCTGGTTAGCCGCTTGGGCAGTCGTTCACATCTCTGTTACACATTATTGGCAAGTACTGGGTATTCAATGGCTCCTGAATGTATCTGAACCCGCTCCAGTGTTGGTCAAGTCTGATGTTGAAAGAGCTCACACTCGGTGCCACCACAACACTCTGGCAGATTGTTCCAAGAGTTTACAATTCTCACTCCGAAAAAGTTTGGATGAATAAAATTAAAAACTGGCTCCTTAGAGAGATACAAAACCTTGGAGGATTGGTAAAAACAACCCGAGAACAATAAGAGTGGAGGAGTGTGGTCGCCAACCCTCAGATATGAAGATGGTACTCTGATTGATTGATAGATATTACCTGATACTTGGCTAACCACCCAGGTGACTCGTAACTCCCATAGTGCAGTGCTACCTGAAGTGTGACCCCATGTTCCCTCACCAGACCTGTGACCTCGTTCTTGTGTCAATGAAGAGGGTGTTTCGTCACCAAGTGGGTTGTGGTACTTTTTAATGAAGAGGAAACGGGGGGTGAAAGTAACAGACAGGGGTTGAAGGTAACAGACGGGGGTGAAAGTAACAGACTGGGGACGAAAGTAACAGACGGGATGAAAGTAACAGACGAGTTGAAAGTAACAAAGGGGGTTTAAAGTAACAGACTGGGTTTGAAAGTAACAGACTGGGGACGAAAGTAACAGACGGGTTGAAAGTAACAGAGGGGGGTTTAAAGTAACAGACAGGGGTTGAAAGTAACAGACGGGTTGAAAGTCACAGACTGGGGTTGAAAGTAACAGACGGGTTGAAAGTAACAGACTGGGGTTGAAAGTAACAGGGGGTTGAAAGTAACAGACAGGGGTTGAAAGTAACAGACTGGGGTGAAAGTAACAGACGGGTTGAAAGTAACAGACAGGGTTGAAAGTAACAGACGGGTTGAAAGTAACAGACTGGGGTTGAAAGTAACAGACGGGTTGAAAGTAACAGACGGGTTGAAAGTAACAGACTGGGGACGAAAGTAACAGACGGGTTGAAAGTAACAGACTGGGGTTGAAAGTAACAGACTGGGGAGGAAATTAACAGACGGGTTGAAAGTAACAGACTGGGGACGAAATTAACAGACGGGTTGAAAGTAACAGACTGGGGTTGAAAGTAACACGGGTTGAAAGTAATAGATTGGGGACGAAATTAACAGACGGGTTGAAAGTAACAGACTGGGGTTGAAAGTAACAGACTGGGGACGAAATTAACAGACGGGTTGAAAGTAACAGACTGGGGACGAAAGTAACAGACGGGTTGAAAGTAACAGACTGGAGTTGAAAGTAACAGACGGGTTGAAAGTAACAAACTGGGGTTGAAAGTAACAGAGGGGGGTTTAAAGTAACAGACTGGGGTTGAAAGTAACAAACGGGTTGAAAGTAACAAACTGGGGTTGAAAGTAACAGGGGGGTTTAAAGTAACAGACTGGGGTTGAGAGTAAGACAGGGTGAAAGTAACTGACTGGGGTTGAAAGTAACAGACTGGGGTTGAAAGTAACAGACAGGGGATGAAAGTAGCAGACGGGTTGAAAGTAACAGACCGGGGATGAAAGTAACATTGTTTCCTCTCATGACACTTGCTACTTATCTCTCCTTTCGTTTTCATTTCATTATCTAACATTTCTTTTCGCTTCCATTTCGTTATTTTAAGCGAGTGTAATACTCTCTCTCTCTCTCTCTCTCTCAAAGCTATTATCGTTAATAGAAACGAATCAGTTTTTTCTTCCACAAACCTACCATTACCTGAAGATTATACAACCCAGCTTATTTAACCCAATGATTTAAACACCGTAATGTTAGCCTAATCTCACCCTTATATCCAACATGGAGTTTCAACATGTTCATAGTGATTATTTCCAACCCTCCCTCGTCAAGTGCACTGATTACACAAGAGGTAAATAAACAGCAGATAAGTTAAACAGTATACTAAAACCAGCCAAGTAACAAGAATGTGTGTGGTGGTCAGTAAGCTGTGTAGGGAGACATATTCAACGCTTCACTATTCGGGGATGCCACTTTTAATATTTGGCTAATGCAAGACGATTTTTATTCAGTAGACAGGAATGTATATTCAGTACTTTAGATATCTACTGCTTTGGCTAACAGCAGTATATATGCTAGCATTTCTCCTATACGGTACAGTACTACAGTGCGTGTGTGTGTACATTGATATATGCCGGAGGGGACAGTGAAAACGTGATCTTGCATGAAACCCTCACTCCCCCCCCTCCTTCGCCCCCCCACCCCCCAACACACACACACACAGTTGGATAGGGAGAGCTTAGTGAGTACATTAACATTATTATCAGAGGATTTAACCTTAAATGTCAAGCTGTATGTGTCATCCTGTTCTCACTCAAGTACACTTTGCTTATACTCTATATATTATTGTACATAAAATTTATGTTGTACACATAAGTTATCATTTATTACATCCTGTACTGTTATTATAGATGACATAATACAGTATACACTATACTCTTTCCACGCTAACCTGGCCCATAGACCACGCCTCTCTTCTATACTAATAAGTGATTGGTTCATAGAAAATTCAAACTAAATGTGTTCACAATTGGTAAACAGACCTGTTATTATCTTAAATAATGTTAAATATATGGATTATCAAAATGCAAATCATTTCAAGGCATTAACACTTTAATATAGTTGAGTTACCCAGCTCAGCCCGTGTGGAGGGACAGGGGATAGTGCAGGACCATCCCCTTGGCTCGTCACGCCCCTACCAACCAAATTTCATCTCCACATGCCATGCACTATCTCACAGCGGACATAACACTAAACACCCGAGCGTCCAGGTAACTTAAGTTATCCTCTTCGTCACTAGTCCGCTCGTCAGCTTGCTAGCCGTTCGGGCGGAAATTCCAGCTTGCACAACCGCCGGGAAACATTGTGTCGTCACATGTTCACATTTTGTTTGCTCTGGCTACACTACACAGGCTGCCAGTTTGGGTGCGGGAGTGTGTGAACGTTACAGTTGTGTTGTCACGGTGACATTGGTAAAGTAATTGTGATGGTGCCCGGGTGCATGTGTCCCTCCACAAACTACGCCAGTAACGTTACTGCACTGAACAGTGACATCACACTGTCGGAAACGTTCTTGTACTTGTCTCCGTCAGTAACTGCTGCCCTTAATACTTGAACAGTTTACAAGACAAACTTAAATGCATAAGACGTTGTAATGCATGAAATGATTAACAAACGGAGGTTGTTGGGCGCCACGTATTCGATTAATAAATAATTTCTCTATTATATTATTTCATATACAGTATTGTTATTCGCCTTTCTCAATTCTTTATCTTTCAGCTTGGTCATAAATGAGATCTACAAACTCTGGTCAAATTAATTTAGGTCTGGGAACATTTCAATGTAATATACAACCTGGTCCACTACGCGCTCACACACACACACACACACACACACACACACACACACACACACACACACATTACAAGATCAAAAGGTTTTTCATAGAGAATCACTGTACAGTAATTTAGATCATACACCTCTCTACAGTATTTCATCCTGGGTGTGGGAGGGTCCCGACTAGCAACTTATGAAAATGGAAAGTGGGTTCCGTGGGCCTAAGGTCGTTTAGGGGCAGTACGGCTACACCACACCGTTGACTAAGCCTTTATCTGGCCGGCACTGCACTCGGTCACCTTCATTTTCCCAGTTAAAGTTAGGAAATCATTCGCGCCTGGGAGGACTCGGGAGTGTCCTGAAGGTGATCATTAGGCGTCAACATTATCCTCGCCGGCTTATCGTAAGACTCAACTGGTTCTTAAGTACAGTATACCTAGACCACGGGGGAGTTTTACCATACCTACAGTATCTTATCTCAATCTATGTGACCAGGCCCCGTGGCTGCGACACACCCTGAGTACAGTGTAATACTCAAGATTCCCTCCAGTACATGCCATATTGTCAGGTCATCTCAGCCTACGATTAATCCATAGGAAAAAAATAATAAACAAGCGATGTGTAACTGTTACTGTATTTCAACCTTTGGACACGTGACATAGGCAGACTTTAAATCCTATTACCACATACAGGAAACACTAATTAATAATCTAGGTCAGGAGAACCTACATTATTTTACACACGGAAAACAACTGGACAGGTTGACGGCCGACACAAGGATGTAAACCGGTATTTTCTAACTTATCGTCAACACTCGGTCCTATCAACCCTTTTAACTTTATCTGATTAAAATGCCTCTACCACCACATGGCACACACAAATCTTTTCTCCAACACCATACGACGTTGTAAATCCTGTCTTACAGCGCCGGCACCGTTTTCATGCACAATAAACACATGGTGACTTATGTAATGTCAATGGTTCTTTCATATTTTTATTCTTTCAGGAATATTGACAAGACGGAAGTGAATATCTACTGCTGTGGCTACGTCAGTATACTCGTATTTTATACTATAATGTAGTGTGTGTGTGTGTGTGTGTGTGTGTAATAATAATAATAATAAACTATAACAAGGAGATAGGTCATTTAACAAGGAATTTCAGTCAGCAGTTACAGTACAAAAGTGAGTGACCACAAGTTATCCACGAGTTATTGATTTTTACCATGGCTACGTTAGGTTAAGTTCTTATTGCGATAAGTGCGTGGTTTGTTGGGCGGGATTAGGATGTGGTGTCGAACAAATTTATGGACGGGATATGTTGTAATTGACATATACTGTACTGTACGTGGCCCCACTTACATCATGTTGGAATCTAATGGTGTAGTTTAGTCATTCGCCCTTAATTACAGTAAGCCTAGTTAGAACATTCTATCTGTATATGTAAACCAATTATTTTGTTCATCTTTATCCTTCTGGTTTTGGGGGGGGGGGGGTCCCCTTTCATTTTGTTTCTTCCTTGTCAAGAAAACGGAGACGATTAAATGATATAATTGGTGGCGTAACTAAATAGCTTAAACAAGTATTAAACATCTTTACATACAAACACCTGCAGTTAATAGTATATACAAGCTATTTAATTTATGAAACTTTAAAAAAATCACGAAGTTTAGTAATTTGTAGGGTAAATTGTGAACTTGTTTTTTGCTCTACTCAACGACTTCCAGATATCTCAAATTTGAATGATAACTGTACAGTATAATGCTATATTTTATACACCGGGTGGACACATTTTTTTTATTAATATTCCCCAACGTTATCTTCATCACCGGAAGCAAAAGGTGTCGTAATATTCATATGCCGAGAAAGGCTTTACAGTATCCCAACCCAAACACTTTCTTGTCATTGTTAGTCAAATGAAAACTTTGGTTACAGGGACTAAGTGATCGTATTTACAAGTCCAGATAGACCAGAGTTTGTACACGTTATAATGTATTACTGCACTTGAATGACTTAGCGTGTTTAAGATCGTTTTCTACACTAGTACCATACATTATATCAGACATTAATAATTAAAAGTTAGTACATGTTTTATTTAGTGATGTGGTTAATGATGCACTGGAGGTTTTCTATAAGTTTGGGATCTGTGTTCTCAATTTTATCTGATCTATGGTACCATTTTTAGCAAACTGTTCCACCTGGTTAACATAATCAATTAAAGATTCACCCCCAGCTTATTTCAGTTAATGATTAACCATCTTAACGTTAACTTATATTAACCGTGCCCCTCCAGATAGTGTAAGGGTGTCTATTGGAAGTTAAATAAGCTGGGGTACGGTGCCTAATCTTCACCTGGTCCCAAATATATAAAAATAGTCTGAAGTGTACAGTATGTTATCCCACATACGGGGGCGCCAGCCATGAACTGAACAAGAATACCTGCCTCAAGGCTTGAGTTGTTACAGCGCAACAGGATATAACCAAACGTTTTGTGACCTTAGCACAGGTCCTCCCGCATGTACCCTCCTGAGTCATGACATTGGTGAGTCACATCCCTTGTCACACGGGGGAATACTGTACTTGGGTGTCACAACTTCTCGTGATACGTTACCAGTACAGTATCGCACTGTCGTGGGAACAACACTGTCTTATTGTTAACACACATTATTATATGACATTTGTCAAAACGTTACCAAATAAATTCAACCAATATATATATATATATATATATATATATATATATATATATATATATATATATATATATGTATTGGTTGAGTTATCCGGCTTCGCCAAGGTAAAGTCACAAGATGGTGGAAGACCATGCCCCTAGGGCCGTCTTAGACCAGGGGCACGCCCATGCCAAATTTCAGCTCTTATCTTCAAAACTGAGGAAATAACTCGCTCTTCCCCCGTAGTTCTAATACATAACATCAGCCTCTTGTATTTATCTAGAACAGAATTTGCAAATAAGAGAATCTGTACCGTCTCAAATAATGAGACTTTATCTTAAATGTGTGGTGTGTTTACCTCCGGTTACACACAATTAAGGAATCTGTTCTCAGACTCCTAGAGGAGGAGGGGATGCGTATATGGTTATAATTGCAAACGTCACGAACCATCTCTGTCTGAACAAGTATAAAGACAAGTCAAGGTCTTTCGGTCTGAGTTTGTGTGGTATATGGACATATTTAAGATTCTCAACTAGCCACACAATCCTCCGCCTCCCCTGCCTTCCAACATCTCCCCTCAAGCAATACAGTAGTTCATTAAACTTACCATGTTCACTTACAGCTTATTCTGTCATCACCATTTATATTAACACCCTGATTGTCTCTTATTATCCACGTAACTTATTCATCATTTTTCTGTACATCGTTCGTCACATTTAATGATTCCACATTTTCCATCGATGTCAATTACCCCCCCCCCCCCTTTTCCCTCAAAGTTTTCAGTTTTTTTACCAACAATACGTTATTCAGCTAACAAAATACTCTAATCATGTGAGTTGCTCTTGTGTCGTTTCTAGAATATCACTTGGGACTGATTTGACTTACATAGTTCAACGGGCGTTCTTTCTTTCATCACACGCTTCTGGTCATCCTCAGAAAAGCGACATAATTACACTCTGGCTACAAGGTATTGATGATGCTACGCTGCGTACACCTGTTGTCACTTCTGAGTTACTACTGGGACTGGGAGGTTCTCTGCTGCTCCGCCTGGGTCTGGGGCGTGTGGTGGTGGAGCTGTCCCAAGGTCATGTTTTGTTTTGTACGATAATTCATATCTTGACCGTGTTGATAGCTTATTTTGATTCTATAAACTTATTTTGATTCTATATTATCACACTCGTAGTGTACCGATTTTAATGATGGTTATTGTAAATGCGATTGTATGTAGAGGAATAAAGCACTAGGCTTGAAAGTGACACTTCTCTCAACGCCCACTTTTTATGTGGTTGGCAAATCCTGATATCCCTCTGCCAGACGTTTGATTTCAGGAGCGGCTGTCATGAACGTATTGCTTTTTTACTTTTATCCTCTCCACCACTGATCGGCTCGTTAGCCGCTTGGGCGATCGGTCACGTCTCTGATTACTTTTCCTTTTCTTTTATCCTCTTCACCAAAAGATCGGCTCGTTAGCCGCTTGGGCGATCGGTCACGTCTCTGTTACGTACTGGGCATGCACCGGCTCCTGAATGTACCTGAACCTGCTCCAGTGTTGGTCAAGTCTTGTCTTGAAAGAGCTCACACTCGGTGCCGTCACAACACTCTGGTAGATTGTTCCAAGAGTTCACAACTCTCACTCCAAAAAAGTTTGCCCTCACAGTTTTCTGGACTTGCGACTTCTTCAATCTTGAGCTGTGACCCCTTGTGGGGCGAGCGTCCGCCAGCTCCAAGTAAGGACACTCGACTGAGTAGTGCCCCCTGAGATGCTTATACACCTCTGTCAGGTCGCCCCTTGCCCGTCTGTAGTGTAAGCTAGGCAAGGTCAGGCGCTCCAATCTCTCAGGTTGGTTGAGGTGCCGAAGGGCAGGCACCAGTCTGGTGGCCCTCCTTTGAACATTTTCAACCAACTGACAGTCCCTAGCATATCTCGGGGACCAGACGGGCTGACAGTACTCCAGATGGGGAAGCACTTCACTCCTGAAGATCGTTACGAGGGACGGACCGTCTAGATATCTGAACGACCTTCTTATAAAACCCAATAATTTATTTGCCTGATTTTCCTTCTTCTCGCAATGGCCCGAGAACTTCAGCTCATTGTCAACATACATACCTAGATCCTTCTCACATTCAGTCTCAAATAGTACAGTTTCTTCATCCCGTTGGGACATATGATACGCCTCCTTACCGTTGGTACGCCCCAGGTGCATCCTCTTACACTTCGTGACATTGAATCTCAGCAGCCATTTCTTCGACCATTCTTGGAGCCCACAGAGGTCCTTTTGCAGCTCTTCACAGTCCTCTTGGTTCTTGATTTCCCGAAATAACTTGGTGTAATCGGCAAACATCTGTATGAAGGAGTGTACAACGTCAGGCATGTCATTTATAAAACAAACAAACAACAGCGGGCTCAATACACTGCCCTGTGGTACCCCGCTTGTGACAGGTACGGATGATGATTTCGTGGCATTAATCACCACACACTGCTTGTGGTCATGTAGAGAGTCTTATATCCACGCCAGGACATTTACCCGAATCCTGTTCCCTTCCAGTTTAATTTTCAGTCCTTCATGGGGTACACTGTCAAGGACCTTGGCAAAATCTAGGTATATGTTGTCGATATTACAACCCTGATCTAGAATTTGGGTCCAAATATCCAATACCCTGAGTAATTGTGTCAAGCAGAAGCGTCCGTTTCGTTGTTAATGTTCCAAGTATTTTACATATTATGCTTGTTAGGCTCACTGGTCTATAGTTATTCGTGGAGTGACGATCGCCCTTCTTAAAGATAGGACTCACATAAGCCATTTTCCAATCACTGGGAACTTTTTGTTCATCCAGGCATTTACTGAACAGGATCTTCAGAGGCTCAGCTATCCCTCTCACTCGCCAGTTTAGCTTCGGGTCGGGTGGTCGGCAAACAAACATTATGAAATTATTAAGCCTAACATTAGAACTTATAATAAAGTAACCAGATCTTCAAACCTTTTTCACGGTAGCAACCTGATCGTAAAACTTCCATTTGGAGAGTTTTGGAGGCTTCCCCTGATGAGTATGGAGGAGGTGACCCCCCCCCTACCTCCAGTTGACTCGTGTGTGTGTTTTACTCTTAGTGAATGTCAGGGGAGGATCAGCTGTTGTGATAGTAGCGTAGAACTTGGGAACGTTACTTTTCGTAATGTATTGTAGTAGATACCCCTCATTCCTCTGGCGTTTTCTCTAGTATCCGAGGCGTGTGTGTTCATGGGGGACTTGTATAGATGTGCTCGTTAGTCTCTTGGTCGGTCGGTCACGTCTCTGTTATGCACTGTTGACAAGTACTGAGTATGTACTGGTTTCAGAATGTATCTGAACATTTTCCAGTGGTGGTCAAGTCTGGTCTGTTCGGAGCTCACACTCGGTGCAGTCACAAGACTCTGACAGATTGTTCCAAGAGTTCACGACTCTCACTCTCACAGTTTTCTAGACTTGTGGCTTCTTTAACCTTGAGCTGTTACCCCTTTTAGGGCGAGCGTCCGCCAGCACCAGGTATAGCACTCGACTGAAGTTTGTCCTTTCAGGTGTTTATAAACTCCTATTAAGTCACCCATTGCCCACCTATAATATACGCTGGGTAATGCAGGCATTCTAATCTCTCTGGGTAACTGAGGTGCCGTCCGTAGTGTTGGTACCAGTCTGGTGGCCCTCCTTAACCCTTGACAAAATTATCAAGAGCAATCATACTAAAGTAGTTAGTCATCATACTCAGGAGAGAAGGACATGGAGGAGAGAAGGCTGGAAGAAAGATTGTGAGAGTGTCAGAGCGGGAGAGGGATTGTAAAGAGGCTGGGAGAGGGAGGAAGGAGAGGGATTGCGATAGGATCTAAGGGAGGGAGGGAGAGAGAGACAATGCAGGAAGCTAGACAATCGTGAGTGTGTTGGTGACGAGGAAGGTGACAGTTGCTGATCCTGTACATCATTTACACAGGTACTCTCTCTCTCTCTCTCTCTCTCTCTCTCTCTCTCTCTCTCTCTCTCTCTCTCTCTCTCTCTCTCTCTCTCTCTCTCACTCAATATGTCTGAGTGGTTTAGTTAAGACATATTATGGTAATATTAACACTAGAGATATACTTAAGTGTGAGTAGGTCATCGCACACACACTTACAATATTACTTATAGTGCGACGTAAATGGTAGTGGTTTGTGATGGTGCGTGGTGGTGGTGTGTGTTGAGGGTGATGGTAGTAGTGGTGGTCCATGGTGTTGGTAGTGGTGGTGTGTAGTGATGATATATTGTGGTGCTAGTACTGGTGGTGGTGATAGTGTTTATATGTTATGCTCACAATGTTACAGGCATGAGAACTGTGTTAATGGCGATGGTGGTGGCGGCAGTCAACCTCCAACACTGGACGATGGCAAGACACTCAGGTAAGATCATTGTTCATTACTGTGTTTTAATACTGCACATTTGATATACATTACCGTAAGGTGAGTCACAGACACCTCTTCCTCACGTCTCAGCCTCACACGCCTCATAACTGCTGGTGTTCTTCCTCAGAGTGTAAAGTGAACCTCACGGAGCCACTGAACCTGAACCTCTCCTCCTCCAAGGTGGAGTCAGAGGAGATCTTGTGGGGCGAGATCAGCGTCTTCCCTGGACCTGACAATCAGTCTTGGGTCCTCAACTTCACCTTCAGGAGAGCAGACGAGTTGCTCGCTTCCGTCTTCGTCTCCCACATGAGGAGAAATGGCAGTCTTAGTCAATTGGACGTCATCAGGATTGTGTGTGAGGGCAATGAACCTGTAGATATGGATGACCCCTGGCCCGACCCGTGGCTGCAGGCAACACCTCGACTCATCAAGGTGATGGTGAGTGTTGACCCTCACACACACACACACACACACACACACACACACACATACATACACACACACACACACACACACGGGGATTCCTTCTGATGATGCTACATACTTTTGTCCACCAGGTATCAATTAAGTTTTGTGATGATAATATAGATTACCTGAAGCTTTGATACCTCAGCTTATTCCCCTGACGATTAAATATCCTGACGCTACCTGGGGTTGGGTTAGCTTAGCGTTAATTTAGGTTACAGAAGTGTTAAGTTAGATTAGCATTAAGTTAGGTTAGATTAGCGTTAAGTTAGGTTAGGTTAGGTTAGCATCATGGTGAGACAAGCTGGAGGAGAAAGAGGATGGGGGGGGGGGGCGAATCTATTTGACAGTTCGCTTCACTCCGGGCGAGATCTACACCAGCAACACAACAGATATAAGGTGTGTTTCTGGTACTGCTCTCCCTAATGTTCCTCAAGTTCCCCCTAAACTTAAACTACGTCACGTCCTTCCGTTTTATGCATTCATTCTGTTGTTGAAGTTATTTTTATTAATATTTACTATTTTTGTGACAGTAAATCTGGATGATAAAAGGTGAGGTGATAGTGTGTGTGTGTGTGTGTCTATATGGCGACCTGTGTTCAGCATGCCCGCCTCGCAAGTGAGCGGACCGGGGTTCGATCCCGGGCAGGGTGAAACTACTGTATGGACAAGTTTCTTTACGCCATTTGCCTCTGTCTACCCAGCAGTAATTGGGGATATTAATCGATTTGCGGATCGTATTCCGGGGTAATGGTTAGCCAGTGCAGTCGAACTATTCCTTGACACTGGGTCATGCAACTCGTTAACTCAGGGTGTGGTTGTTGTGTTGGCGACAGCTTCTACACCTTAAACAAATTCACGCCTAGATGGTTCTAGGGCCGGCCATCCTCGTTAGATGAGGGGCAACCATTATTAGTGTGTGTGTGTGTACAGGGGTGATAACACATGGGTGGTGTTCTCTCAGGATGCTCTACTTCCTCCCTGATACAGTACAGTATTCACCCTGACACTGCCCTAGAGTCTGACTTATACGATGGTTACACTATCATGACTTACAGTAATTTTATCTCAGCAGAAGTTAAAAAAGAACAATACTTTAAAAGCTTTCATATATTTAAAACATTAAGTAGATATGTTTAGAATATCCTCGCCTGTTTATGATGGACGATAAAATGATCTTACTGTGAAGTTACGTCCAGCCAAGTGAAGGTCACATCTTGCAGATCACAGAAACCGAGGTGGTGATCAAACAAAAGGAACGTAATGTGTTTACGCATATATGCACCGGTAAGCTCACCAGCCTGCACAACATGAGCCTGACTGTTGAGAGTGACCCTTGTTGTCCTGCCCCCACACTGACTGTGTCCTGCGATACTGATAATGGTGAGTGTAACTAACTCTCTCCCACATCGCCACAGTTCACTTCACTTGACCTAAACTTTGTAATACTTGAATACAAAGTTTTGATTTTCCTGTATTTCCTGTAACATACACTAGTAATATAAATATAGATTGTTATAAGTATTACACTGACTTATAATACACCGTTATGTATGAATTACACTGACTCATATCTACATGTGTTGTATATAACGCTGCTGAATCACAACACCACTACTCCATCATCTACCTGCAGGTGCTGTTCTTCCCGCCAGCAGTCACCCCTTCCTCCTGTGGCTGATAGTTGTGTTTGGGGTGGTGGGCGGTGTGTTGCTGGGCTTGATGATGGGCGGTGTGTTGCTGGCCAGCCTGGATTCTTACTACATTATGGGGGACCTGAAGGAACATCAGATACTCTAAGTCACCAGAGACATTATCAGTCAGTCACAAGACGAGGAGTGAACCCTCAGTTACCAGCCACTCAACCTTCACACAATCACAGCCCAAGGTTAACATTACCATGGTTACGATGACGTCATTGTACAGCAATGTAATTATTTTATTTACAGAAAAGAACTGCTGACGTCAGAGTTTATTACTGTTGACGTCAGAGTTTATTACTGTTGACGTCAGTTTATTATTATTGACGTCAGAGTTTATTACTGTTGACGTCAGAGTTTATTACTGTTGACGTCAGAGTTTATTACTGTTGACGTCAGAGTTTACTACTGTTGACGTCAGAGTTTATTACTGTTGACGTCAGAGTTTACTACTGTTGACGTCAGAGTTTACAACTGTTGACGTCAGAGTTTATTACTGTTAACGTCAGAGTTTATTAATTATTTTATTTACAGAAAAGAACTGCTGACGTCAGAGTTTATTACTGTTGACGTCAGAGTTTATTACTGTTGACGTCAGTTTATTATTATTGACGTCAGAGTTTATTACTGTTGACGTCAGAGTTTATTACTGTTGACGTCAGAGTTTATTACTGTTGACGTCAGAGTTTACTACTGTTGACGTCAGAGTTTATTACTGTTGACGTCAGAGTTTACTACTGTTGACGTCAGAGTTTACAACTGTTGACGTCAGAGTTTATTACTGTTAACGTCAGAGTTTATTACTGTTGTTGTACTAAATAAACACATACTGTATACTGTATAATATTTAATCAAACTCTCTATTTCATGAACCAAAATAATTTAAATATTGGTAATAAATTATCGATGAATACATAACAAGCAATTTGTATATAGACAAATAAATGATCAAAAGATATACGTCGTATATGATAGATATAATAATTAGGTGGATAATTAAATAAACATGTGTATAATTAATAAGATATATAATTATTAGATATATATGATAATTAAATAGATATAGATAGATAGGTAGATTAATGGATACACAGGTTGATAGATAGGTAGTTATATAGATAGGTAGGTAGATAAATATTGAAACCAAGATAGATTTAGGTATTTAGTTCAGCAGGTACAACAATAATTTACAACAGGAATAATTTTTTCATACAATTAACAAACACTTCTGAGGCTATATTTCCTAATAATAACAACGATAATAATAAAGTGTGCAAGCCTATTAATTACTTTGCAAAATGTCTTATCGTTTCTAACTTCTGTAATAATTTAGTTAATCTTGTTACTTTATATTTCAAGAGTTTACTTTATAAAAAAATTCAATATCGATAAATATGATAGAATAATACAAAAGAAAATGTCATAGGAAGATTAGAAAAATTATATTTAGTTTCTATGGTTACGTTAACGTCCAGAATGCGCATGATATCTCTTGATAGGAATTACCGTAATTTAGAACATAACAAAATAAAGAGTCTGCATTAGGCCGGTTGGGCTGTGAATGGCAGCTCCTGTCGAGAGTTACAACCTATCTCTATCATCCATGAATCTATCTAGCCTCCTTTTAAAACTTTTCAGTATCCCAGCAATTACTACAAAGTTGCTAAGCTTGTTCCACTCGTCCACCACCCTATTTGTGAACCAGTTCCTTCCTATCTCCCTCCTAAACCTAAACTTATCTAACTTAAATCCGTTGCTCCGAGTCCTATCCTGCTCGGATATTATAAGAACTTTATCTATATCTCCTTTATTGATTCCTTTCACCCACTTAAATACTTCTATCATAATTCCCCGCACTCTTCGTCTTTCTAGGGAATGCAAGTTTAGTTTATTTAATCTATCTTGATAGGGAAGGTTTCTAGGTCCAGGAATCATTTTCGTCATTCTTCGCTGCACCGACTCCAGTTAATTGATATCCATTCTATAATAAGGGCACCAGAACTGAGCAGTATAATAGAGGTGCGGCCTGACTAGTTCAATATATAATTGCAATATGGCCTCCGAACTCTTATTACTTACACTTCTAGATATGAACCTAATACTCTGTTTGCCTTATTTCGAACATTAACGCACTGTTTTCTAGGCCGAAGGTCCGGGCTTACGGGTGCCCCTAAGTCTCTTTCACAAGTCGACTTCTCTAGGTTGATGTTGTTAAGGCTGTTTATATTCTTATTAAGTCAGTGAGAAATTATTACAACTCTCGCAGCCATTTGCACCGAGATGCTATTATTACAGTTCTTAACAAAACTTGGCTGCGTGTGTCGGCAAGTTAAAAGAGATTACAGTTCAGAACTATGTCTGATTTTACTATTAATGGACGAAGTTAACCAGTGTTCAGTAATCTTAACATATCAATCCGTTATTTTCAGTTCGTGTGGTAGGTGTGTCGTCTACACAAAACAACAGTTCGGTGCCACTCTGTTTACCATCATGCCCAGTGATGATGTTGATCTTGTGTGTGTTGACACGGACTTGTTTACACGTTATGAAGTGTCAAAAGTCAAGATCAACCAAATATTGACTTCAAAACCTGGACGAGTGAACGGCACCAACACACAGACTGTCACCAACTGCAACAGAGGAGTTCAATCACATACTATGCATCGAACAAGTAAGTGACCCTCTCGTAAACAGGATCCTCTTCTTTTTCCTCTTGCTTCTGCTTCTCTGACTTCTTCTGCTTAGTTCGGTGCCGCCTGAGAGTGACGTCAGCTGCAGCAGGAGGGATTCTTGGTTCACTTAGTGGTGAGGGCTGCCAGTGGTGTTGGCCAGTGGAAGAGTGCCTTGTCCTGCTCTGAGGCACTGAGTTTACAGGTAGTAATGGCAGTGCGGGTGAGGTCGAGGAGCCTCCCACGGAAAATGATGGGCAATTAGGGACGGGTGGAGGCGTGGCAGGTCCAAACACGACAGTGGAGAGCGTGGAAGTGGTGCCAGAGGAGATGAAGGAAGAGGTGGAGGTCTCGGAGGCTCGCATCTCACGCCGCTGTAGGAACACATTACGGGGGGAGGGCATAGGCTTCCTCTGTTGGAATCGGGGAGTTTCTGCCTCCTGCGAGGGGCCTTCTTGACCGATTTCCTCATAGCTGGAGTCCGGCATCATGATCATCTCCTGGACGGGCTTCCTGGAGCACTTGCACCGTAATATCCACACACCGCCCACTACCACCACCATCACGCTTATCACAAGAGACACAGCCAACCATGTTATCCAGGGAGGACTGCTCTCGGGAGAACCGCTCTCGGGAGAACTGCTCTCGGGAGAACCTGCAATATATTACCAGTATAATGACAACACCTCCAGGTAAACGATGAAATATACGCAGTTGATATACACGAGTAACTGTAATGCATACATAACTATTACAATTATAAATCTATATTTATATTACTAGTGTATGTTACAGGAAATACAGGAAAATCAAAACTTTGTATTCAAGTATTACAAAGTTTAGGTCAAGTGAAGTGAACTGTGACGATGTGGGAGAGAGTTAGTAACACTCACCATTATCAGTATCGCAGGACACAGTCAGTGTGGGGGCAGGACAACAAGGGTCACTCTCAACAGTCAGGCTCATGTTGTGCAGGCTGTTGAGCTTACCGGTGCATATATGCGTAAACACATTACTTTCCTTTTGTTTGATCACCACCTCGGCTTCTGTGATCTGCAAGAACGTTTTAATACTGAACTAAGTGTGTCGGTGACGGTGTGATGCCCTGATGTCATATAACCGATTCACAGGTTGAGGCGGGGTGGCTACGTCTCCCCTGTGGTCTAAATATTTGGGATCCATTAGGCTTTTATGCCAAGCTGGTGATATAGTTATCCTACTGGTACTGACTCACACTGATGATAGGTGTGGGTTAGGTTAGGTTATGAGATAGAAAATAAGCAAGTTTTTCCGCTACTTGAACATTGACGTGTGTGTGTGTGTGTGTGTGTGTGTGTGTGTGTGTGAGGGTCAACACTCACCAGCACTTTGATGAGTCGAGGTGTTGCCTGCAGCCACGGGTCGGGCCAGGGGTCATCCATATCTACAGGTTCATTGCCCTCACACACAATCCTGATGACGTCCAATTGACTAAGACTGCCATTTCTCCTCATGTGGGAGACGAAGACGGAAGCGAGCAACTCGTCTGCTCTCCTGAAGGTGAAGTTGAGGACCCAAGACTGATTGTTAGGTCCAGGGAAGACGCTGATCTCGCCCCACAAGATCTTCTCTGACTCCACCTTGGAGGAGGAGAGGTGAAGGTTCAGTGGCTCCGTGAGGTTCACTTTACACTCTGAGGAAGAACACCAGCAGTTATGAGGCGTGTGAGGCTGAGACGTGAGGAAGAGGTGTCTGTGACCCACCTTACGGTAATGTATATCAAATGTGCAGTATTAAAACACAGTAATGAACAATGATCTTACCTGAGTGTCTTGCCATCGTCCAGTGTTGGAGGTTGACTGCCGCCACCACCATCGCCATTAACACAGTTCTCATGCCTGTAACATTGTGAGCATAACATATATAAAGTGTACCACCACCGTCACCAATGCAACTCTATTTGCCTGCAATATTGTGCTTATTCTGCTTATAACTCATACACTGTATCACTGTCACCATAACCATCATCACTACCGTAAAGTCACCCTTAGCAAAATTCTAGGACGCCAAGCAATTTATTTTTCTATGGTACTGTGTTTGTAGAAAATGGATAACCTCTCGCCCGAGCCTAAAATTAAATTCCATGAACGTCGCTTTTCTTGTTCCCTTATGTTTACTCTCCCATCCTCACGAGAAAAAGAACCAGTTACTTGTGACTGTATTTGTAGTACTTTAAGCGCAGATGCTGTGTACACATCAACAACACCTATGCCAAGATCACTAATTCGTTCTCTTGGCGCCTTTGTACAGTTTGGAGCTTTCAGGGGGGAACTTAACCGTGACTGTTTGTAAATACTGTATGGACGTTTGTGGAAGTGTGTATTAATTTTCTTGATCAAGGCTACAGGTGAGGCTCATCTTGTGTTGAAACTTGGTCAAGAAAGTGGAAGGGGGTGCTGTAGGTAAACTAATGTTAGATGATGAGGAAAAGTAATGAGAGAGAGAGAGAGAGAGAGAGAGAGAGAAGGAAGAAGTCGATGTAAAACGAGTCGAGGAAGGAGAGAATATGGGAAAGAAATTGATAAATGGGAAATACATATAAAAAGACAGACAGACAGACGATACTTATAGTAAACGTTGTGGAGGACTAAGAACAGCAACTGTCACCTTCCTCTTCACCAACACACTTACTACTGCCTAGCTTCCTATCTTGTCTCTGTCTCACTCCCCCCCTCTCACCCAGTATCGGGAGGATAATGTTTTCTTTCCTTCAAGACAATGTTTCGATTTATCTATTTACAGTTTCACGGGCAAACCGGAAGAGCTCCCACGTCATCCTCTCTCTCTTCCTCCCATTATTATTATTATTATTATTATTATTATTATTATTATTATTATTATTATTATTATTATTATCATCATTGTTATTATAATTGTTGTTGGTGTTATTATTATTGTTGTTTTTATTATTATTGTTGTTGTTGTTGTTATTATTATTACAAATAGTTAGTTTGTCATACATTTGGTTTATAGATAGTGTTTTGTGAAGGTTAGAACCCTTTGGATGCGGCATGCGGGTAAACCCGCCCAAAATATTATATTAATTAAATGCGACAAGCGGGGATATCCCACGGCCTTGAAAAAACTTCCCCAAATGAGACGACATGCGGACATATTATGTATTGAGGTATAGGAGTATTTCCTGAATGCAATATAGCTTATTTTTGTACTATTTTGTTTGATATTATCTGAATATGTAATACATATCTAAATTTGCTGTTTAGTAACCAAATTGATTAAATTTATTTGCCATATACCAGACATTGATTTATACCAATTTCCTGCATTTTTGGGTATAAATGTCATTTTTTCTCTAAAATTTGCACACATATGTGAATTTTTGTTCCAGATTTGGAAAATATACTAAAAGTTCTCTAGGAAAAACATATAGAAAATGTGATTATATGAAATTCATTTTTGGCAGGATAATTGACACTTTTCAGGAACCGGCGCGAAATTTAATTACGCACCTAAAGGGTTAAGGTTTGAAACACAGGGTTACGGCCCCCCCACCCCTCTCCCTCCCTCTCTTCCTTCAGAATGAGATTATGAGAGAATGTTAAGAGACAAACCATCTCGTATAGATTTATGTCTCGTAATTCAGTTTTGTGTTGCCAGGGGTTAGAGAGACCACAAAAAGATGTCTGTGAAGTCACTTTTGTCTCGTGTGTGTGTGTGTGTGTGTGTGTGTGTGTGTGTGTGTGTGCGCGTGTGTGTGCGCGTGTGTGTGTGTGTGTGTGTGTGTGTGTGTGTGTGTGTTCCGTGGCGTAGGTGAAATTTTGCATAATCTAAAAAAAATATATATTAAAAAACAACTAAAATATCCTGTTTTTTATTAAGCTAAAATCATTTATATATTAATGTTTCTCTAATATCTGAGAAAGCCAAAAAAATCGAGGAAGGAAATTAGATAATGAGTTGTGAGAAAATTTAGTAAAAAAAAAAAATCTTCCCCGGAAATAAATAAAGTTGGGGAGATTTTCGAGTAAGTTTGAAAAATAAAATAAAATTGTCTTCGTAATGTCGATAGGTTTTATGTTGTCTTATATAACGTAATGTACTTTACCTGGTGAAGGGACTGAAGTGCTTGAGGTCTCCTGTTGGTCTTTATTGTCAGGTCTTCCTCTATAACTCCTCCAGGTCTTCCTCCAGGTCCTCCTCCAGGTGTTCCTCTATAACCCCCCCAGGTCTTCCTCTATAACTCCTCCAGGTCTTCCTCCAGGTCTTCCTCTATAACTCCCCCAGGTCTTCCTCTATAACTCCTCCAGGTCTTCCTCCAGGTCCTCCTCCAGGTCTTCCTCTATAACCCCTCCAGGTCTTCCTCCAGGTCCTCCTCCAGGTCTTCCTCCAGGTCCTTCGTGTTATCATCACTATACATGTTCATCTCTGTGTTTTCACGTGAGTTTCCTGCCTCTTGGTCTTATCTCAGTCACCAACAGGGAGATGATACGTCTCGTAACCTAACCTAACCCTACCCGACCCAACCTAACATATCCCGACCCGACCTAATCTAACTTAACCCGACCTAACCCGACCCGACCCAACCTAATCTAACCCGACCCGACCCAACCTAACCTAACCTATCCTAATTTTTTATTAATAGAGATAAATTCTAAGTATATACAATAGATCACTACAGTTATTGTATACTACATCATCCCTCATACAGTAATAAATACAATATGTTTACTTTAGGTTGTATTGATGAGTTGTATTGGTAGTGTTAAGTGTGTATTTGTAAGTTTATTGTGGGTGTTGTATTATCGTTAAGTGTGTTTGTGTGTGTATGTGTATGTGTCCGCGCGTGTGTGTGTGTGATAATAATAATAATAATAATAATAATAATTAACGGTTTATTGAAAGAGCTTGGCAGCCAGAAGGCTGAAAATATACAGTTACATATTTGGGGAATGAGTTTCGAATTACAAATAATATACAAGTAACATAAGTGACACAAATAAGACATATAATAACTAGATGGGGAAAAGCTCAAACTACAGTTCATTTCAACATAGTGACAGTGCAAGGAGTAGTGTTTACTGGGAGTGAATACACTGGTTTATTACAAGTTATTGATAATTTTTACAATGGTTGGGACTGGGCTGTTCTTATAGCGATCAGTTCGTGCACGTATGGGCTGGATGCGGTTGTGGTGTCGAACAGCAATTCTCGGACTAGGGATCTCAGGTGGTAGTAGCCGGTGTCGAGGATGGTGTAGAAGCTTCTTACCAAATTTGCAGATGAGGTCGTGGTGATGGTCAGTGAGAGTCGAAAGGGTCAGTGTGTTGAGCGCTTCTTGATATGTGGAGTAGGAAGGGGAGAGAATAATCTTGCATGCCCCTCTTCTGCACTTTTCAGGTGTTTACGTTTGTGTGGCATTTAGGGAGGAAGACCAGGTGGGGAGGCATAGGTGAGCTTGGGAAGTATGAATGTTGTGTAAACACTGAGGAGCTCGTGTGCAGGAACTCCGAGGGACTTGAGTCGGCGGAGGAGGTGGAGACGGAAACTGGAGGATTTGACAACTTCACTGACGTGTGGTTTCCAATTTAGTTTGTTGTCTATGGTGACGCCGAGTAGCTTCGTGGAATCTACAACCTGGAGTGTGTTCGGACCTAGAGTAATGGAAGGAGGTGGGACAATGTCGGAGGAGAGGTTGATGTGCATAACCATGGTCTTGGTATGGTTGATGGTGACATGGTTGGTGGCCCAGTTTTGGAGACTGTTCAATAAATCCTGAAGGGCGGTATAGTTGGGAGCAGAATTATTGACGCTGATCCCAATGGTGGAGTCGTCGACATATTTCCAGCGAGCAGGGGTTTCTCTTAGGGCATCATTGATGAGCATAAGGAAGCAGAGTGGTCCCATCTTGGTGCCTTGGGGGACGCCACAGGTGAGTGACTGAAAGGTGGAGACAGCCCCTCGGAAACGTACAGCTTGGCGTGTGTGTGTACGTGCATGTCTACGTGCGTGTATGTGTACGTGTGTATGTGTGTGCACTTCATATAATCTGGGCTCTCCCACTTGCTCGTTTTCGCACCACCACTCCCACAGCCCCACACCCCAGCCCCACCACCACTGCTACGATCACGCCCACGGCTATCAGCACTTTGGCTATATAAGATAAAGGAACGTCCTGCCACCATTCCAGTAGTTCCTCCTTCGCTTTCTCTCTGGCTGCAGGAAGAGATGCCACAGTGTTAGAGTATGGTGGACCTAATGCAAGTTTAATCTGGCGTAACTTTCTCCAATGTGTATACTAATTTAACTTAAGGTAGGTAATACTAATTAATCTTAATATAATTAATACTTATTTAATTTGGGGTCAGTCAACTCTACTTATCCTAACCCTATTTCAACTTAATCCAAACCTAACTTAACCTACTCCTAACCCAACCGAAACATAGGCTTTAATATGTCGTAATTTAATTCAAACTAAACTCGTTACTCAACCATGGAACTGAAGTAGCCAGTTTAGTTGAGTATACCCTCACTCTTCAACATTTTCTTTGATTAAACTTTATATGCGGGGTAAACTATTATATTATATATTTCTTTATGTTTATGCAATAAATATTGATGTGAACTGAGACTATCTATAAGACTTTCTCTGACCATCTACTGACACAACCGTAGCCAGACTCACTTTTCTGGCAGGAGACGAAGCCGAAGGAACCTCTGTCCAGAGTCACGAGGTTGGACGGCAGGTTGTAGGGAAGGACGTGGTCATTCTCCTTCTGGAAAGCGAAGGTCTTGTTGCGGTTGACACTGTACAGCACACCACTCTTGAGACTATAATCATCCATATTAACGATCGTCCCAGAGAAAGAGAGCCAGAAATTCTTCGCCACTTGACTCAACTTCCCTAGGTCGAGTGTGTCCAGGTGATGGCTGGCGACGGGGTAGTTTTCGGGGTTGCTGGGCATCATACACGCTGTGGGAGCAAGTTGTTCAATTACTTATGAATTCAATATTAATTTATATGTCAATTAAAGTACCATCATCATCAGTTCTCAGGATTGGTGACTACGGCCCTCCGCACTTTAAATATTTTAGTGTTTACCGGTTGTATCTCTCCGGGGGCCACAATTATTCACATCTTTCATCCATTCTCAGTTTTTGTCTTCTCCTGCTCCTCCTACCCTAAGTTAAACCCAAGAATTTCCCCAATTTCCCTTTGACTGTGCCGTGTCATAAGCTAATGCGAATTGGGTTGGCATCTGTCAGAATCACTAGTGGAAATGTCAGGTAGACAGATGTCCTGAACACCTGTGGTTTTCGTGTTCAGTAACTACACTTATAATTTGTTTAAGCTATTATACGTTTATTATTATTGTTAGTAGTAGTAGTAGTACACGAACAAACATATCCCTCAAACATTAACACACAGGAACTTGCAATCACGTACGTACACACCAAACCACACACGGAAGTGACACACACACACACACACACACATGTATTGTACAAATGATAATTGTCATTTATGTTAATTAAGCCACACTCAAATAATGTCCATGCATGGTCATACTGCGCCGAATTTGAGAAACTGCGCATAAACATCAGGCGCTGTACAGACAATGTTTTTTTTTTATGTATGAGCTAAGAGAGAGAGACAGAAAGTGCCAGCGTAGGCGACGGTACTTGGTATACTCTCTCTCCCTCAGTTTACACCTAAAGATAATATCCTTCATCTGGCAATTGGAGGAAAAATACGCAAGAGTGATAGCCACTTAAACACCTAAAGAAATGCCAACCTTTCCCTCTAATTAAATTATCTTGCATATTTTGGTTGGAATTAAAAATCCTCAATATTTTTTATGGGAAAAAATCCTTTACATTGTGGAGGGAAAAAATATTACAGTTCCAAATACAAATTATGACTTACATTGGAGCGTCCAGGAAGAAATCTCCTTCGCTGCGCATGACAACTGCGGCCACCACACTGTGACAATCCTCACCAGTAACGACAATCTACCGTGACACCACTTCATGATTGTCACAATATTGTCCAAAAAGTTACTAAAATAACTCGCTTCATTCACCACAAAACACAATATATAAATTATACACAATTTCTGAATGTAAGAACAAAATAATTCTGGTTATACTTGCACCGAAACGTAATTTGAGCTGTTTTGATTATTTTAGTTATAATTCAAACCCATATTAAAATTCAATTATGTGGGTTTTGGGCTTGAATGGTTGGCAGCGGAGCTCAGATGTTTACGCTATGGCTGTGACCAACACACTGGACTGAAATTAGAGTTGCATTTGCATTAGTTATAACTTGTCCACCGGAAACAGGGGGGAGGGGAGGTTAAGGGGTGAGGAGGGGGCGGGGTTAGGACATATTTATGTTTTGCTTTTCGTTCGTACTGTAGATAAAAAGGTGGGGAGCTTACATGTTACATCTCTCTCTCTCTCTCTCTCTCTCTCTCTCTCTCTCTCTCTCTCTCTCTCTCTCTCTCTCTCTCTATATATATATATATATATATATATATATATATATATATATATATATATATATATATATATATATATATATATGTGTGTGTGTGTGTGCACTTTTTGTTACATTTGTAAAGATAAAACCCACAACCTTATCTCCTTTATCTCCATCATCATACCGTTGTATTCCAGGTTTTATTATATCGTACTCTTAATCATGCAACACAAATAAACATTATTACAAATTGCTCACTATTGGTAGTTGTAAAATACCAAAGAAATAACTTGATGGGCATAACTTTAGATTCGCCTCGTGATGTTGGTAAAGTATTGATGTTGTCTTTTATCATACACAGGTTAATGCACTCGTATCTTAATTTGACATCTTTAGGAATTGTCTGGAAGTAATGGAAGTGTTTATTTCCCTCTCGTTTGAACAAAGAACTGCACCCAAACACTGGATATTGTTAGCTTAGATTAAGGTTAAGTTAGTGTTCGGTTTGGTTAGATTTGTGCTCGGTTAGGTTAGATTAGTGTTAGGTTCGTGGAGGTTAATTCGTGTTAGTTTAGGATGAGTTTGTGACTGTGCTGGGACTGGGAGTAGAGCCACCGCCATTAGTTACGGAAACAGGAGCGCCGCCGCGTCTCAGAAATCAGGAGGGGAACTACAGTAGTCATTCCGTTTTTTTTCCGTCCTATTTAACTTAACGCTCCTCGCTGGCCACTACTTTCCTAAAACACATTAATGAATAATATATTACAATTTGAAAGCAACGTATATTATGGAATAGCCGTCAGTACAGATAACAATAAATTCAAGTTAATGAAAAGTATTTGCGAAGACACATTTTGAGGACGATGCTACTTTGTAAAAATAGCTGCTGTTTTACCACCCTTTTGTGCCATTTATTTAGATATTGAAATCTTGAAAGAAAAGAGCAAATAAATAAAAAACTTTGAAAACAACCTTGTATATATTATTTCTATACATAATGTTGAACGTTATACTGTGTCAACATATGTCTGGTTTTCCATAATAGTCGAAAATAGTAACTCCAGCAGAAGCCATAGCGACGGTACTATTTTAAAAGTCAGAGGGACAGCGAGAGCGGCGGCGCTATTTTTTTCTATTAAGTTGTGATAACGGAAGTGACACTGTTAGCGTAGCATAGCACAGCATAGCGCGGCCACCACTGCTTTGTTAATTCAGAGATCAGATCCATGACAATATGTCGGGAAAGAAAAAGTAAAAAACATCAGTGCTAATGAAACTCTTTTATTTCCATTACAAAATAACACACAAAAATTCAAAATCCCTGAAATCAATATCATACACAAACAAAATTGACTCGAATAAATTCATGTAGCACGAGTTTATATTTACAATTTATTAGTAATTTACTTAAGAATAAATTCACCCTGGTTTATAAATTTTTGACCTAGTTAATTGTCGAAGCTCAGTTATAACATTTATATTAACAATTAAACATCTGACTTTTATATCGATGAATGTTAGTTTACTGTGTGTGTTAATGTTATGTTTTAATGTTAAAATAAACACGACATGATAACTTAGAGATGGATCAGTCTTCTTGAACGAGGATTTGACGGCTTGTGTGTGTGTGTGGCTGGTACCCATTGTCTGATATGTAAACAAACAGGTGTGCATTAATTAACGCTCAGATGGAATGTTCACATGAAGATTAGCACCCTCCCTACACAGTTAATTTCACCTGATGATTAAATACCATATCGCTACCTCGGGGATTAGGTTTGGTTAGTGTTAGGTGCTGACGTCAGGGAACATCGCCCTGGTGGAGGTGGAGGCTGAAGGTGTAGCCTCCCTGTTGACCACTTGCTACGCGGTGTAAATATTGTTGTTACCAGGAGTGAAGAATCGCAGCTCATCAGGGTGGAGGTGTCGACAGTTGTGTGGCAGAGGTGTAGACGACTTGGGTTCTGTCTGATTCCCTCTCATTGATCCTCCTCGAAGTCTTGCGAATGGAGGAGGAAGTTTTTTCTTCTCCCTCATACTCTGACTCCTGACGAAGGCTTCACCTGTGTTACCCATCTTGAAGAAGAGTAGTTCGCCTTCTCTCAGTGTCCGAACGTTTCCTGGGTGATTCTTGGTCGAGGTGGTAAGAACCTGTGCAGTGTCCTCCTCCGTCTTAGCTTCTGTAGAGGAACCTTTAACACACCCTTCAGGAACTGGTGACAAGGATTCACAATCTTTCTTGTGTAGTTTATTACTATGTGTAAACTTGTCAACGAGAGTAGCGACACCAGATGCCTCCCCAACATTGTGGTCATCTATGGGGTGATGTTTACCGTCTGTAGTGTCTCTCTGTGAGCTAAGACTCTTTGATGGGACAGTGGCACTCCTTCCTCGCCCCTCAGCCGACTCATGACCATGGCGACTGGCTAGTTTGACCCTCAGTGACCCCGTCTTTAGCACACTCCGTCCACGTAATAGTGATTGGTGGGTCTTGACATTAATTTCTTCCCTTCTTCCTTCTTCCTTCCTATTTCCTTCTCTTCCTTCTTCCTTCCTGCTTCCTTCTTTATCCTTTTTTTCATGTTCCCTTTTGACCTCTTGTGTCGTCTTGAGGTCGTGTTGTTGTCGTCGTCCTTCTCTTCGTTCTAGCCTCTCTTGTTCTTCGATTTGTCTTCTGCGTAGTTGTTCCTCTCTCTCTCTTCGTTCTTGTTCTCTCTTCATTGGCTCTTGTTCTCTATATTTTTCTCTTTGTTCTCCTTCTGTTCTCTCTTTCTCCCGGTGTTTTTGTTCCACCTGTTGCAGCTCTTGTCTCCTCTTATCTACTTGTTCGTTTTCTTTATCTCTCTTCTTTTTCCCCTCCTCTTGTTTCCTCTTCTCTTCATCTTTTTCAGTATACCTCATCTTCATTGACCTCTTTTGTCCCCGGCTATCCATAGTCTTCTCTTGGTGGTCATTTATTAAGTGTTGTGCGGTGTCGTCTCTTTCCTCGGGCCTGGAGTCACCGTCACAAGAGGTTAAGTTGTCTACACTGCTCCTCCTCCGCCCCATCATTAACCCCAGGGAGAGTGTCTTGGTCCTTGGCCTTGTGTCCTCTTCTCCTATCTTATCTGGATCATTTTTCCCGTATGAAAATGACCTCACTTGTGTGGCGGCTGAACTGTGTGATCTTCCTCTCGGCTGAGTCTCGGGCGTCTGGGTATCAGCGCTGCCCTCAAAGCGGTTCCGGAGTAGAGTCTTGATCGCTGTCCGCTCTTGTTTGACTTGGCCGTCTCCGCCACCACTCCTCTTGTGAGACTGACTTGACAACGTCTCTTCGAATTTCTTTCTGAGTTTATTCACTGAAGGAACACCTTTAGGGTGTACTGTCACCTCCGGGTAGGGCTGAGCAGGTCTCTCGTCGCGGGTATTGATTGTTAGAGGCTGAGGGTGTTGTTGTTGAGAGCAGTCTTGCTTTATTACCTCTTTGGGTACATTGTCTGGGTCAGTCACCTGAGGCTGGGTATTGTGTGCTTTGGTCAACTGCCTCCCACACGCCTTCTGTGTGCTGGCGAGGGCTGTGCTGGCGGGGACTTTGCCGGCGGGGACTGTGCCAGCAGGGATTGTGTCGACGAGGACTGTGCTGGCGGGGGCTATGTCGACGAGTACTGTGCTGGCGTGGGCTGTGTCGACGAGGACTGTGCTGGCGTGGGCTGTGTCGACGAGGACTGTGCTGATGGGGGCTGTGGTCGACCCCGCTTTTGTTTTTCTCTCAAACTCAGTCTTGAGCTTCCTCACTGACAGAGATGTGTGAAGACTTTGGTTGGGTGAAAGGCCCACGTCACCTTTAGTTTGAGGACGAGAGGTGGCAGCTGGGCTCTTGGTGTGTTGTGTCGACTTCCCTTGTGGCTGTTTTTCTGTAATCTCTACTGGCTTGGGTGGTAAACCAAGTGGTGGTCTGCTGGTGTCCTCACACGGTGTGTCGTCACTGGCAGGAGCCGCGCCACCTGCCTCAGGTTGTTGTGTATTTTCAAAGTGTTGTAGAAGTATCTTGACAGACTGTCGAGTAATATTGTGCATCTTTATCATGGACTCCTCCATACTCCTTCCTTCCCATTTTACTAAGCTTTCATGGCGACTCAGTCTTTTTCTCTTGGTGGCAGTGTTGGATCCTGGAGTACTTAAAGGATCGTCCATGTTGGTATCACCAGGTGGGGACGCCATGTGACTCACCCACCTGTCAGCAGTCTTTGAGTCTGTCTCGTGGCTTTGGTCGAACTTGTTCTTCAGGTTCTTCACTGATGGCAGAGTACCGGCAGGGAATTCATCTCTAACATCCCTCAGTTGCTTCTTGCGCCTCGTCCACAGATATCCGTCAGACACAGACCTGGTCAGCTTACGTTGGTCAGCTGAGGATGGATCATCGGGTGTGCTAGTTAGCGAGGTGACGGACGCAGCCGTCGAATCTGAACACTCGCTCAGCCTCGGGTTGATGGACTTACTTGTCACCAATGGAAGAGTGGAGGTGGACGTCCCTCTAATCAGGACACTTCTCAGGCCAGACTTGTGAGGTGTTGGTAAAGACAGTGGCCGCGTCGCCCTGCCTCCCTCTCCCCCCAGCAACGGCAGGGACTTGGTACGCAGGAGCTGCAGCAGTGAGCCGTCCTCTGTCTGTGGCGATACATCCAGGTTCACGTCATCATATGGAACGGATTTTGTCCTCCAAGCAGCCGCCATCTTGAGTGAGGACGACAACCTCTCTGACGTTGCCGACTCGTCGCCCACCGCTGTGTCCTGGAGTGTACTGCCTGACAGCTTCCCGGCGGTGTAGGACGGGAAGGATGAGGATGGTATCTGTAGGTCAGCGTCACCACCAGAGCCTCCTGTAGCGTCACCAGAGCCTCCTGTAGCGTCACCAGAGCCTCCTGTAGCGTCACCAGAGCTTCCTGCAACACAAACAATACCTTACAGCCATATCCGGACTTGCTCCTGTTTAAACCCTGGAGTATACTGTAGTGTCATGTTATTGTACTCCAGGAGTCATCATGCTGAAGTAGTTAAGAACACTCCAGGGGTTAAGTTATCATCCTGAAGTAGTTAAGAACACCCCAGGGATTAAGTTATCATCCTGAAGTAGTTAAGAACACTCCAGGGGTTAAGTTATCATCCTGAAGTAGTTAAGAACACCCCAGGGGTTAAGTTATCATCCTGAAGTAGTTAAGAACACCCCAGGGGTTAAGTTATCATAGGCCTGCTATGTCTAAAAAAAACCTATACACATTGTATCTATCTATCTATCTATCTATCCGTCCGTCCGTCAGTCTGTCTATCTCACCTCCTTCAGTTCCATCATGTGACGCCCCTCCTTAGTGATCACCAGCGGCAGGGAGAGGAAGGAGTGAAGTCAGGTTTATCTTATCGCGGCCACGGCAGATACCACGTCAGAAGAGAGGTATTTACATGAGCTATTTAGATACTGTCAGTCTTCGTCCTCATTAAGTCGTCTGGTTATGTGGTAGTATGGGTCGTCGTCATCATGTGGGTCGTCTGGGTATGTGGTAGTGTGGGTCGTCGTCATCACTGGGTCGTCTATGTATGTGGTAGTGTGGGTCGTCGTCATCATGTGGGTCGTCTGGGTATGTGGTAGTGTGGGTCGTCTGTGTATGTGGTAGTGTGTGTCGTCATCAGGTATGTGGTAGTCATCAATAGTCTGGGTATAGTGTGGGTCGTCGTCATCATGTGGGTAGTCTGGGTATGTGTGGTGTGGGTCGTCGTCATCATGTGGGTAGTCTGGGTATGTGGTAGTGTGGGTCGTCGTCATCATGTGGGTCAGGTCGTCGTCAGTATGTGTGGTGTGGGTCATCATCATTGAGTCGTCTGGTAGTGTGGGTCGTCGTCATCATGTGGGTCGTCTGGTTATGTGGTATGTGGGTCGTCTCGTTATGTGGTAGTGTGGGTCGTCGTCATCATGGGTCGTCTGGTTATGTGGTAGTGTGGGTCGTCGTCATCATGTGGGTCCTCTGGTTATGTGGTAGTGTGGGTCGTCGTCATCATGTGGGTCGTCTTGTTATGTGGTAGTGTGGGTCGTCGTCATCACTGGGTCGTCTGGTTATGTGGTAGTATGGGTCATCATGTGGGTCGTCTGGGTATGTGGTAGTGTGGGTCGTCGTCATCACTGGGTCGTCTATGTATGTGGTAGTGTGGGTCGTCGTCATCATGTGGGTCGTCTGGGTATGTGGTAGTGTGGGTCGTCGTCATCATGTGGGTCGTCTGTGTATGTGGTAGTGTGGATAGTCGTCATCATGTGGGTCGTCTGGGTATGTGGTAGTGTGGGTCGTCGTCATCATGTGGGTAGTCTGGGTATGTGGTAGTGGGTCGTCGTCATCATGTGGGTAGTCTGGGTATGTGGTAGTGTGGGTCGTCGTCATCATGTGGGTCGTCTGGGTATGTGGTAGTGTGGGTCGTCGTCATCATGTGGGTCGTCTGAGTGTGGTAGTGTGGGTCATCATCATTGAGTCGTCTGGTTATGTGGTAGTGTGGGTCGTCGTCATCATGTGGGTCGTCTCGTTATGTGGTAGTGTGGGTCGTCGTCATCATGTGGGTCGTCTGGTTATGTGGTAGTGTGGGTCGTCGTCATCATGTGGGTCCTCTGGTTATGTGGTAGTGTGGGTCGTCGTCATCATGTGGGTCGTCTTGTTATGTGGTAGTGTGGGTCGTCGTCATCATGTGGGTCGTCTTGTTATGTGGTAGTGTGGGTCGTCGTCATCATGTGGGTCGTCTCGTTATGTGGTAATGTGGGTCTGTTGAGTTGTTAGTGCTGTGTTGATTGTGGTGATGGAATAGTGTGATCAGCTAAACTAACCTAACCTAACCTATTCTAACCTAACCTAATCTAACCTAACCTAACCTAACCTAACCTAACCTAACCTAACCTAATCTAACCTAATTTAATCTTAAAGTCCGCTTCACGCTAGCCCGTGTTGACAGTCGTCACTGACATAGTTTAGCCATCGATGACATCACGTAAACTGTGGTCAGTTCAGACGTGGTAGCTAAAATGTAAACAAACAATGGTGCTATGCCTTCTTCCTCACAGCTACACCCGGGGCCCCAGCTGGGAGAAGAAAATGGTCGCGACAATTCTAAGAGTAATCATATTATTAGTTGAGCTGAATTTCATTGTTATTTGACTAAATTTTTAATGTGATTTTTTGATTAATTTCAACAACATACAGACGGGTACCTCTGCTTTCCGTTTGGACATCTCGACCGTGTCGACGGGTAGATTAGAAACGGACTGAGGACGTTCACGTCTTCAAGATTCACACACGACTTCCACCAAAGGCCAAACGGGCCGCTATGACGTCATCGATGGCTATAAAAGTCAGGGGCGGTCGTCAAAACTGACGAGTGTGGGCCTGTCCTTACACCACCTACCAAGAGGCACTCACTGCACTGCCTCTCTCAACTGTCCGGTCAAGTGAGTCCACTTTTTTTTCATTTTCACGCGGTAAAAAACTGTACACTCGACCTTATACTTGGTAATTACTGTACTACGTTAAATCACCTTAATCTAACACCTAGTGAGCGGCGCTTAATTACCCTGGTAGTTGAATCGCCTTCTCCAAAAACAACAACAATCAACTATACAATATACAGTACGTGGTTTTAGAAAGTCATCACAAAGTTATAGTATTGTAAGATAGGATCACCTGAAGATTAACACCCCAGCTTATTTCACCTGATGATTAAACACCCTAACGCTACCTGGGGGAAGGGTTAGGTTAGGTTAGCGTTAGGGGAGTTAATCTTAAGGTGAAACACTCTAGGTGGTTAATCTTCAGGTGAACTATAAAACCGTATATACTCACCTGTAGAGTGGACCTGTCTATAACCCCCGGGCCTCGCTAACTACAGTGGCTGTGTGGGTGACCTGTCCGTGGTGTCTGAGGCACTGATAACAGATCCTGGTGTGATAACGAAGATAACACGCGCTGATAACCTGAGTCAACGATTATCTTATACTGAGCAACTCTTAGTGCTTGACTCACTGACTGTGTGCTTGACTCATTGACTGATTTAGTGATTGATTGACTGACTGACCGACTACGGCAACTTCTTTACTCCCGGAAATAACAAACATTTTCTATGGCAACCTTTCACCATGTCAACCCTCACTATGGCAACCCTTCACCATGACAACCCTCACTATGGCAACCTTTCACCATGACAACCCTCACTATGGCAACCTTTCACCATGACAACCCTCACTATGGCAACCTTTCACCATGACAACCCTCACTATGGCAACCTTTCACCATGACAACCCTCACTATGGCAACCTTTCACCATGACAACCCTCACTATGGCAACCTTTCACCATGACAACCCTCACTATGGCAACCTTTCACCATGACAACCCTCACTATGGCAACCTTTCACCATGACAACACTATGGCAACCTCACCTATGGCAACCTTTCACCATGACAACTCACTATGGCAACCTTTCACCATGACAGCCCTTCACCATGACAACCCTCACTATGGCAACCTTTCACCATGACAACCCTCACTATGGCAACCTTTCACCATGACAACCCTCACTATGGCAACCTTTCACCATGACAACCCTCACTATGGCAGCCCTTCACCATGACAACCCTCACTATGGCAACCTTTCACCATGACAACCCTCACTATGGCAACCTTTCACCATGACAACCCTCACTATGGCAACCTTTCACCATGACAACCCTCACTATGGCAGCCCTTCACCATGACAACCCTCACTATGGCAACACCATTACGGCAACCCTCACTATGGCAACTGGCAACTCTGGATGAAACAGACCTGATAACATATTCTTAGTATTGTTAATCTAATCATTGAGGTGTTGTTGTCGATTGTTGTTGTTATTGTTGATAGTAGTTGTTATTGTTGTTGTTATTGTCGTTGTTATTGTTGATGTTTTTGTTATTCAAGCGACATAATTTATTAACTTCAAATATTATTTTTTGGGGGTTGATAGAGAAAGGTGTACAGAAAACTACATATATTTATCACCATATATTTTATCATTTTTCCAAACCGGATTTAGGATGTCCCGTGTGTATCCTGGCCTGCAGTTTCATCATAGCCTGTCCTTGGTTTCTGTGTGCCTCCCAGCCTTCACCAACACCAGTCTAGGGACAACATCCTGCAGCCTGTAACCTTCTCTTAACTTCATCTGTTGATTTACCAGCCTGTAGCAACCCTTCTTCTCTTTGGGGAAAACAACCTGCTTCTTGTTGTCCTGTTTTTTTTTAACTTTGGTACTGTACGTAATGACTGTGTACTTGATTATGTACTTAATTATGTACTTAACTATGTACTTAAATGCAACAAACGAGTACAGATATTATATAAGGGTAATCAAAGAAAAATTATCTTATATTTCAACCATTATAATCTAACATACACACTGTAGTATTTACTTATAAATACGTAATACAATAAAAAAACCTGTTATATAATTGGTAGTATTTCCGGTATATATTAGGTAGAATCTGTCTTTGTTTATCTCTCTCTCTGTCTCACACTCTCACTCACTCTCACCCAATACTGAACTGTTGATCTTATGGCCTCTGTGTGTGTGTGTTGACCCTGAACACCATGGTAACCAACAGTCGTCAAGCTTTGTCAATAAATTTGTTAAACTAAAACTAAGTACACTCATGAACACCTACATAAACCTCATGGGCCCGTCACCACCACCATGGTAGGAGAGGTTGATTGCCCATTCTGGCTCCTCTGTTAAGTGCTCCTCTTTCTTAACATAGTCTTGGTCAACCTCCACCACTATCTCTTCCTCTACATTCTTCTTCTGTTTCTCCTTTATTATTTTAGCGTATTTGTCATTCATTCGTTCTCCAAGTTTGAATAAGATAATGTAGAAGATGAACATTCCTACCATCGCGCCTACTGAGCCCCCGGCGAGAGCGGGAGTCTGTGGCACTATGACAAAGGCGCCGATGAGTGAGAGGGTGTTGAGGATGTAAACACAAGCAGCCAACACCAGCCTGTGGAAGTGAGTGCCGATGAGAGCACCAACGGGAGCACCAATCACCACTATAGGCAGCACAGCGAGAAGGTACTCCCAGCTCTCCTGAGGCATCTCCTGCGTGACGAGGGCCCGCCACCCCCAGCACACCACCGAGGTGAACCCCATCAGCACCACGGACGTTGGGGTCGCCACCTTTTCCGAGACGTTAAAGAAGAGCGTGAGGAGGCTAAACATGCAGATGTCAGCGCCGCTACCGGAGAAGGCAGTAAACACTCCCCCGACGAAGCCAAACACGAATATCAACCATCTCTTCCAGGGGGTTAAATCTGGAATGCTATTAAAGGTTTTTCTCTTATGGTTCCAGTTGATGAGGAAAAGAGTAAAGGCGAAGGCGAAGAAGATGCTGACGAAGCCCATCTTCTTCATGGAAGGCGTCAGCACTGGGTCGACCATCTCCAGGCCGAAGATTACCCCAGCAGACGCCCCAAGGAAGCTGTCGAGTAAGGCGTGACGTTCTATGTGTACCTCCATGAAGAAGATAGAGAAGGAGGCAGCGATCATACCGTTGGCCTGTATTGACATGGACATATCTCGCGCCACCTCTGGGCTCTCCTTCATCACCAACGTCATCACTGGAAAGGCAACGGCGCCGCCCCCTACACTCGTCATCCCTGAGGAGACCAGACGTGATGGGTTAGTGGTGCCTCTACTGTAGGTGTGCGTGTGTACTGTGCATTATGTGTATATTTACAATACTGCCACTTCTTTGTTTATCTGTCATTCACAAAAGACAATTTCAATAAATTGATAGGTTTGGGTTCAGTTAAATTAGGTTAGCGCAAGTTAGATTAAGTTTAGGTGAAGTTGTTTGGGTTTGGTTAGTTAAGGTGCTTAGTATACCATGGTATCTGACCCCCCCTCCCTCCCCCTTCCTCCTAATAATCAACCCCCCACACACCCCACCCCCCCCCCACACCCCACCTCCCACCTCCCACACATCCCCACCTTACCCGCAATAATGGAACCGAAGACCATGGTAATAGACATCGGGTACTTATCGAGGAACACGTAGAAGAGATTCCTGTAGGCCATGATGCACCAGTACCAGAAGTGATAGAAGGCCGCCGGCAGGAGAAGACTCAGTACCTTACGTCTTGAGGGCGACAACCTGCTGAAGGGACCGTCTGTGTTCATCACTTCTTCGTAGCCTTCGTCGAGTGTTCCCTGCTTCAGTTGACCTTTAGAGGGTGAATTTGATGAGGTTTATATTTTGGGGGAGTGGTGGGTGGAGGTGGGGTTCGAGGTGGGGGATTCTGCGGGTATGGGTTCTGCACGTGTGGGTTCTGGGTTCTAGGAGGATTTGGGTAGAGAATAAGGCTTGTGTATATCTTTAGTAAAACCTAACCTAACACAAGATTTCAATAGATGTTCCTACCTTCCCAAAAGTATTTCTTGCACCAGGCTGAGATACCCTGACGACACCACCTTCTGCAGATTATTGTGTCTTCTTCAGGTAGTTCCTCCATCTTGTTATGTTCTTCGTCGTGCATTCTTCTTATATATTATCTCCCCAGCACCACGGATCGTTAAGTAGGTTCTTAGTCTCTCTTGTTAACTGTTGTCTTTTATTATCTGGTGAAATGAGAAAGGAATTACCTGAAGATTAAGCAGTTTATTTCACCTGAAGATTCACCAACATAACATAAAACTTACCTAATCTTACATAAACAGTGATGGAACTAGTTTAATATGCCGAGACCTACAGTACAGTACACACCTAGATAACACCTACATTCATTTCTTCTTTTCTTTCTACTTTTTCTGTTTATTTAATATTTTTATTTTTTTTTTTTGTGTACTGTTTACCACACTACACCCAGATACACCCAAGGTACAACAGAGCATTCGAATAGGCTACACGATAAAGTGACGTTGTTTGTGGATACTGTACGTTATTATCTTGGTGGCAATTTGTTCACATGTGTTGTATTCTCTTCATTAGTTAAAAGTTAAAAGTAATAATGCACGACACATCACTCAAGCGTCGATAACAAAAAACAAATTCGGTGTTCTAGTTTTAGTAGTTTTGTTTATTAGTCCTGCGTGTGCTTCCGTTCACTCTTGCTCCACGCATTAATTTTGTATCTTCTCGCTGTAACAGTTCCTATAATCCACTGTATTTCATGTCACTGTACCAATAGGGCATCATTGGTTACACAGCACCAGTCACTCCATCACTGAGCAAAGTAGAGGTCTTGGTCTTGCAATATATATATATATACTATGTGCGACTCGTGGCTCTATTTTGGTCTGCCTTGACTTCCACTCGACGTAGAGATTTGGCAACGGATATGTGGGATTTTATTTTCCTCGAGTGAGTGAAAATGTGAGGAATGGCTGGGTTACTACTGACAGGTGAGTTAATTCTTTATCACAGGTAACATAATCAATCTTGTATTTTTGTCTGTATGGTATCTTGGAATTTCAGCGATAAAGATCATGAATTGAGACACCATTCAGTCAATTTCACGAATAAACTTTTTCTGTTGCCACAAATGGAAAGCCAGTAAATAAATTTTTGTATAATAACAGTTTGCATGTGGTGTATGAATATTTACTCAAAAAGTTCATATTAAATCAAATAATTTATACTCGACAACAATTATTAGAAATATAAAGCTATTATTTTCTATATCATAATGGACCTTCGTAAAAATTCCACTCCCCCACACACAAGAAATAACCAACATTGCATGACCAGTTATTACAAGCTCCTCTTACCACGTGCACTTTGGACCACTATGTTAAGATGATACAGTGATATACCAGCAGAGTTATAGATGTACTGTGAGTAGTTCAAGCGCTCAACTCACACCGGTTAATGTTACTCCCTGACTGGCAGGTTAAAATGACTGCAGTAAATCAAGTCAGGTCATATCCTCAAAATTAAAATGTTAAAGTAAATGGTATGATTGTTGCCTAGATTCACTGGCAATTGAGGGCAGTGGTCCTGGCAGCGTTTTGGAGGTGGAACTTTCTCAGGGGATTTGTTTTTATTTATATATTTGTATATTTATTTATTTATTTAGACTTTGTGAATCAGGTGTATCACAATGAGGCGCCCTGGCAGGTGGCTTGATGCCAGGAGATGGTCTTCCTGGTGTTCTAGTGTTTGCTACACACACCAACTTGCCAATAAATTACGCGAGTCTTCACAGTTAGCTGTATATATAATTCTCCCCTGGGTACTATCTATTATTACTTTGAATACAATGACCAGTTCTTTGAGGTCATCTCAATAGCTTAAAATTTCTTTCAATAATAATGTTTTTACTCTTCAAAAATCTTACGAAAAGATTGTCAAACTAAATACTATACGTGTAGTTTTCTTTTTTCAGTACCATCCTAAGTTAATGAAAGTATATGACGTAAGCACTGAGAGGCAGGAGCACATAAACGGACACATTACCCAATTTCGGATATGTGTGGGAGTCGTGGGTCAGTCACACTCGGGAGTTAAATGAGTCCCCACCACCTATATCTTGCTTCCGTAAACACATCAAGTGTCAAGTCGTCAGACTCTTCTGGGTCAGTGTACTCCCGGTAGCCCCCAAGTTATCTTGCTTCCTATAAGTGGGAGTCAAAGTGTCAACCCTCGAGTAAATAGTCCCACCACAGTGTACTCCTGTCTTGCTTCCGTCTCCAACGTCATCACTCTTCTGGGTCAGTCAAGTCGTCAGACTCTGGGTCAAGTGTCAAGTCGTCCAGATGGGTCCTTTCTGGGTCAGTGTTTCAGTAGCCCCCCCCAAGTCGTCAGACTCTTCTGGTCAGTGTGCTTAGCCCCCCAAAAAAAAATAATAATAATAAATAAAATAAATAAAATAAAATAAAATAAATATCAAAACCATATAGCGCAGTCACTCGAGAGATGTTGACAACTTATATTCTAGTATTATATTCCTGGCTGGGACGAACAAAAGTAGACTACGGGAGGAATTATTGGACGACTGCGAAGTCAACAAGGCGTCAAGACGGTCGTATACATCAGTTGCATGTGATTTAGGTGGAGGGGCCCCAGAAGGCAAGGGCAGGCGCTGATCTTACCTAATTTAGACTAGCATAACCTAACCTAACCTGACCTGTCGTACCCTAACCAAACCTAACCTAACCTGCCGTAACATAAACTAACTTCTAACATAACTGAAATTAGGTGTACCAGTACTCTTTACTCGACTACAGCCTGACCCATTCACTGATAGAGATAAGTTTATTTCTGTGCTGGCCAATGACCGACCTCTGCTCCCAGTGCCGGATTAATCATGAGGCACTTGAGGCACTGGCCTCAGGCCCCCCGACTCTAAGGGGCCCCCAAGTCCAAACATTCTCGAAGTTGCAGCATATAAAACAGGAACTTCGTTCAACGATGTCCTCGCAAAGTCTCAATTTTCTGTCTCTTATGAACATTAAATGTGTTATTTTGCAGAAGCTTAATATTGATGAAATCATTGACAAATTTGGGTATATTTTGTTCTTGTTACTTATATTTACCTTGAGGGTAGGGAGCCCCAAGTTGATCTGTGCCTCAGGCCCCTATTAAGCTTAATCCGGCCCTGTCTGCTCCAACTATTACCTACACGCCGGTAGTCGCCTAAGTAAACACACACCCATGCACGCACGACCAGACTGCCAAGAGGACAATAAATATTTCAATAAAAATTTCTAGGCCATGGCGATGGAAGGAGAATTTAGGCTAGTGAGGTTCTTCCAACTTCTTCCCCGTTTGCATACTGTCGTCTGGTCCCCGAGATATGTTAGAGACTGTCAGTTGATTGAAAATGTCCAGAGGGCCACCAAACTGGTGCCTGCGTTACGGCTCCTCACTTACCCAGATAGATTAGAGCGCCTGCAACTGTCGAGCTTATACTATACTATAGACGAGCAAGGAGTGACTTAATTGAAGTTTATAAACATCTCAGAGGACACTACTCACTCGAGCGTTCATACCTGGAGCTGGTGGATGTCTGCCCCACTAGGGTCACAGCTCAAGGTTGATGAAGCCACAAGTCCAGAAACCTGTGAGGGCAAAATTTTTTGGAATGAGAGTTGTGAACTCTTGGAACAATCTACCAGAAAGTGTTGTGACGACACCGAGTGTGAGCTCTTTCAAGACCAGACTTGACCAACACTGGAGCAGGTTCAGGTACATTCAGGAGCCGGTGCATACTTGCCAACAGTGCGTAACAGATACGTGACCGATCGCCCAAGCGGCTAACGAGCCGATCAGTGGCGAAGAGAATAAAAGTAAAACTCAAATAAATGTCTCACAAACAGGTGCTGCGGGGGGGGTTGGCATGGTCTCGTGGAGGGGGAGGGAAGGGGTCGCTAAACTCTTGTGGGGTACGTGATGTTGGTTCACACTCAGGATGGGATGGAGAAAGGAAACTCACAATGTGCTCTCTGTGTACATGTTGTATTGGATGTACAATGCAGCTTGGTGCTGGGAAGGCAGCATGGTTACAAGCGTTGAGTAAGGAGAGCTGGTTGGTGAGGGTGCTCAGAGGAGGACCAGCTTGTGGGTCGCCATGGTCGCCGGCGGGAGCGAGGACCGCCAGGCAGGAGTGGAGGAGGTGTTGCTTGCTGGTTGGTGTAGGTCGAAAGAGGTAAGTCACCACGAGGTCAGGTCTTATATAGCGGAGGTAGGCGTGGCTTAATAGTTGACCTCCATCATGTAAGGCGGCGCTGGTTGACCTAGACCACGAGACATACACTGGAAAATTTTCGGGGTCGGCTACTCAGCGACAAACAGCGTTTGTAGGGGAGGAATCCACTACACTCTTACTTTTATCCTTTTCGCTACTGATAGATTGCTTGCATTTCCCGGCGACATCTCGGGCACTCTGAACTATGAAGCTAAGAATTGGATATTAATTTTTTTTTGCATATTATGTCGATGGCTTGGCTAGTGTTAGTACAGGTACCACTACTTCTTGGATTAAGTTTCTGCTCCACAAGCACACAGAATGTCCCCTTAAAGCCCGTTATCCCTAACATTTTCCTACTACAGTAGTGTGGTGAGTAAAATTAAGTAAATATTGACTTCCTTATTTATTTTTTCGCCTATTTTCAATAAAACACAAGTGAACGTATTTCACACATATTTTTCATGTATTGTGAGCGCCATTATGCACGAGCAGGTGAATGAAAAAAAAAAGAGGCCAGGAAGGTTACAATGAAGATGCAAATCATAATACTAAAATATAGCCGCGAACAACCCGCTGAATTATTAATTTTTTCAGGCCACAAAAACCAACCAAACTTTACCTAATATAATATATTTATACAAGATTATTTTGTATAGGTTATATGTTTGGTTTGTATAATATACTTGAGTAATATGAAAATAAATTAATGATATAGGGATGGTGGTCGTGGAAGTTTTGGAACATTGTGACTTGCAGCCGAGACCACCGAGGAAAAGCTTCCACGAACAATAACACCAAAATGTTGTCCCAAATGTTGAAGTCTGTGACAAGTCAGAGTCAGACCCGTCAGGTGTGTATGAACAAGTTAAGATGAGAGTGGTGAATTAGGGGGTGGACTTGATAAGGCCGGTGTGTTGCAGACGACACCTGATTGTGGCCAAATACTTGATGTTTTGACCATTCCAATTAACATGTCATGCACAAATGTATAAACACAGAACACTATAAGTCTGATTATTATGGAAACGTTAAGTAGCCCAGTCGGTCCTCTTCCGCCTTGGCTTGTGATTGGCCGGTTAGAAAACAATGCTGTGCTGTACCGGTAGATCGACTAAAATTTGCTTCCACTGAGGATACTGCCACATTGTCCAATCACAAAACCTTATGTCATATTGTTAGGCGGGGTCGAGTGTGATATTTCCATAATGAACAGACTTATTGTGTTAACTGATATATGATATCCTAATAATCCTTTATGTTTTTATCCTCTTCACCACTGATCGGCTCATTAACCGCTTGGGCGATCGGTCACGTCTCTGTTACGCACTGTTGGCAAGTACTGGGCATGCACCGGCTCCTGAATGTACCTGAACCTGCTCCAGTGTTGGTCAAGTTTTGTCTTGAAAGAGCTCACACTCGGTGCCGTCACAACACTTTTTGGTAGATTGTTCCAAGAGTTCACAACTCTCACTCCGAAAAGTTTGCCCTCACAGTTTTCTGGACCTGCGGCTTCTTCAATCTTGAGCTGTAATCCATTGTGGGAGTTGAGGTGCCAAAGTGCAGGCACCAGTCTGGTGGCCCTCCTTTGAACATTAATTCATCTATTGTGGGTAAAATTTAAGTTCTGTCGTTAAACCTAATAGAATCTGACCTAACCAACAAAATGAACCTATATAACCTTACCTAACTTCCTAGCTGGGGGGCGTACCCCCCGCCATATTAAACAGAAAGGGTAAAGTTTTAGTTTCGGTCTTCCCTGTATTTAGATATCTAAACCAACCTTACCTAACCTAACCTCACATAACCTAACATTCCCTGGGTGACCGGATCTAATACCACAGAAACTACTGTACTTATTTTGATAACTGGTACCAATGAAAGTAACTTTGTTGAAGCGTTATGGTGTAATTTTACGTTTATTGTGGACGTGAGAGTACACTCTGACCGAGCGGCTTGGTTGTACAGTAAACAAACAGCTGACGACAACACATGGTGACTTGGCAGATTTTTCAGAGGAGTATTAACGGTAAATAATTAATTTCTTCACTTATAAAGCACACAGAGACATCATTTTAGTGTCATATGATCAGCTTACACCATGATTTACCCTGCAATTTCCCTTATCCTTAATGTCCTGCCCTCTACAGGTGATTTATGATAATAGATAGAGATACACTAAAAAATTAAGTAACGACTTTTTTATTCATGTGCCACAGAAGTGTATAGAATGAAAGTTACTCAGAATGATGAGATATATCTATTGCATGTGTTAAAAATCCCAGATTCCATGGTTGTATGGAACTGAAATAAAAGTCATCAGGTAGTGGATGAATGTTAATTATCTTCCATTCACTTTGATGTCATTAGCATGTCACTCACTCTTGACTTGTTTTTGTTAGATAAGAAAAGATTGGGGATGGGCATGAGGGTGACCACAGAGACTGGGCTTATATGGGCTTTACTTGAGTGTCTGTCTGTCTCATGTGGTGTGGTTGTGAGTTTAGATCTCTTGATTTTTTTGGCATGATTAACATCTAGTGACAGTGAGAAGGGAAGTGTCCTCATTTCTTGGAACCTGGGTAGTTTCCCTTGGGACTAAATTATTAAGGTGGAACATAAATAAAAAAAATTTTCTGTGGGTTAGTGTACCTATGTTTTGCTGAGTGTAGATAAATAGATATTTTATTGACCACAAAACACATGCTTTATGAATATAAACAAGATACATTATGGTCCATGATTAAAATCTTGAACAGTAAAACAATAAATTAAAATACAGTTAACTAACTACATACAAATAACACAGAGACATTATGATCTATAAAATCTCTGGACCAACAAAATAATTAGTGAGGTGAACACTTCATGAACACTGCTACAGAACCATACAAATTTTCCTTTTACAACTGCCTGATTCACATATTGTTAGAGGAAACACCTGTAACTTTCATGTTTGTAGGAAAAGTAGGGACCAAACCCAACCTTACGACATATCCTTTATTCATTTCATCATTGTAGGAGAAAAAAAAATTTAACCCAATCCAAGTTGACCTGTATTTATATTTATTTCATCACTCCAAGTCATTATCAACTTTGTAGTGTATGTTTACTGACTTGGTGCAGCATTCTTTGACATCATCTTCGGTCTTCAATGTGTGGCCGTGAAGATCTTGTTGGCTTGGGAACTTTATTATTGTCTGTGTTGCAGGTATGACTAAAACCTCACATAGCCATATATCCTTAAGCTCTGTTGCCTCTCTGTTGCATAAACCTCGGGCTACTTTAGCTCAATTACTCGGTACAGTATTTACATGTATTTAAAGGTGTTTATATTATCATTTACTTGTGAGTTATGTTTGTGGGGGTTTAATCTTATTTATGCTTTCATGCCCCGGCTCAGGTATTTCTTCATGTTTTAATATTTTTTTTTCATCTCGTGTCTTTCAAAAGAGAGCTCTGGCAACCTTTCTGACATCAGTTAGAAGGAATGGCACTGTATCAGAAGCCAGTTTTGAAACTCAACTTTACAAGCTGCACCTACTTGAAGAACCTCCCAGTGCTACAGCCACCTGCACCAGGGATGAAGCTCTCCTCTTCTACCATCAGATGCAAATTGTTAGGAGGATGGAGTCTGCTTCCAGTAACCTCTACAAAGAAAAGGTTAGTGGCTCTCTGTATTTTCACAAACATTAAATATTTATGTATATATTTTTTATGTTTTTAGGAACAGTACTGTATAGTATTTTGGAGTATCAGATTGTAGTTTCAGGGTTTTGGGTTGATATTCCAATATTTCAGCTTGAGACACATAGATAAAAAAATTAAAAGATCATCTCTTTATGCTGGCTTCACAGGAGCTGAATTCACTCTTATATGGTTTACTACTGATTTTGTTTATAATGAGCTATGGTCTACACCTGTACAGAACACACATTGTGCTCTTCATCTTTCTGGCTTGTAAGGCATCAGGTGAAGACATGCTGCACACCAGGCTGCTCCTGGACCTTGTGTGGAGAGGTTTCCCTTAGTACTTGTGGCTGAATTTTATCTTTTTGCCATTGAAAGTGACTTCTAAAGCATCCTCCAATGTTTTCTACAGGATAAGATGATGTTAACAGTATACAGTAATCTAGAGATATTGACATGTCTTGTGGTGGTTGAAGCTGCTGCATCTCTAGACAGAGCATAATTGAAAATATAATTATGCTCCAAGATAGACAAGGAACTTACCATGCTGTTATCTGTAGACTTTTAATAAACAGTATTTAATTGATCACACCCTGGGAGTGGCAAACCCAGTCATGAGCCATGATCCTGAGTGAAGGAATTGAGTTTGTGCTGCAAACATCTCTTCCCTATACTGTACTTCTTGGACTGGTAGTACAGTATTCTCTATTCACTACTGTAACTCCTTCATGTTATTGTCCAGTATCTGTCATGTACTGTATATGTAGTATATAAATACTGATTACAGACCTCTGTTTTAGTTATCCCTGTAACAGTAATACAGTAATAATCAGCAGACGACACCATTCCTTGGCTTGTCAGTACAGTAATGTACTGTATACAGTACAGGTATTGGAGTATTGGCTATTTCTAAATATCGGGGTACTGTATTGGCCATTTCTAAATACTACCTGTACTGTATCGGCGTATTGGTACATCTCTAGTTTTGTTATTACAGTACTTGTATTTTATAACTATACATATATTTGAGAATTTTATTAGAAAACTATGTGATTGTTTGGAGGAAGTGTAGTTTTGGTTCAGACAAAGTTGGAGGTTAAGTTGATCAAGTGGCAGCGTTAACCCAATGAGTGGCAGGGTTTTCTCTCAGCTCAATAAAATCATCTGGCATTAGCCTGAATAAAATACCTGCCTTAAGTGTGACATTACAGTACACCTTAAAGGGTTAAGTAGTAAGAGTAAAACATGTATGGAAGGCGGATGACTTTGTAGGGTATAGGTGTTTGAGGGAAAAACGTGTGGTAGAGTCCATACAAAAAGCATTGTATTATTCATGAGAATTGTTACAGCAGTAGGAGTGAATGGATGTCAGTAGATAGATTTTTACTTTGCTCTGGGTTATCTGCAATATAGATAGAAAGTGTTAAGAAACAATTATTATTATTGTAAATGTTGTTATTATTAGTACAGTACAGTGTTGTATATTGTTATTTCACTATCTTTATCATTCTACATATACTGTAAGTAGTCAGGAGACGATAATCATTGAGTGATTCATTGTTTACAGGCCATTCGTGGATTCTGTCATTTATACAGTGGTCAAGAAGCCATCTGTGTTGGTATAAAAGCTGCTCTGAGGCCTCAAGACTCTGTCATCACTGCTTATCGTGACCATGGATGGGCATACGTCATGGGCTGCTCTGTTGTGGGTGAGCTTAAAACTGGTGTATCATGCTGTGTTTGGTCAAGGTAGTGGTGTACAGTACATAAGCCAGCATTTAACCTCAGCCATCCAGGATATTATAGAGGAGGGAGACAGCTAAAGGTTCAATGCTTGTGATACATTAGGGAGTGGTACAGTACAGTATGCATGTTACCTGAGCATTTGAGGTGTCAGGGTTTTTGTCTCACGTTGGGGCACTATTTTAGCTTCAAAATAGTCTTACTACCCTCCAGTGCCTCAGTGTTACTATCCCTCCAATCCCCTCTGTACTGAATATAATCATCTGGTGTTAGCCCAATACATTATTAAAAGTGACATCCCCATAGTGAAGGAGTTAAGGTGTCCCACACCTTTATGGAGTACTGGCAGTGAGCTAGGTTTCTACATATAATTGATAACTTCCAATCTTTCACCATTCCCCAAAGTGATTCAGACAGCTGGATACTGTTTTGGCACTTTGGGACTCACTGGGAGCAGGTTCATCTGTTGTCTTCTCTGTGTTTACCATTTAGTATTTCAGAAACCGACTGTTTTATGTAAATATTAATACTGTTTGGTAGCTACTTTCTGGCTTATTAGGATTTTGTTTCCTTAACTGCTTATGCTTCATCTGAGGCCAAATGCCTCTTCTATTCTGTGTCAGAGAGCAATAGATGATTCACATTTCATTGGGTATCCTTAGCTTGTAAATACCATGTAGGGTTTTTAGATATTCTTCTCTCTACTTTGTTTTTAGTTGATGAAGGTTCATGTTTAACTTTTCCTTGTTCTCTAGGATCTTTTAGAGGTGGGAGACAGGTAAATATTTTAGGCCTGTGATGTGTTAGTGGTACAGTATTCGGGTTATCTGAGCATTTGAGGTGTCACAGCTGGGAGAGGGGGTCCCCGTGGACATCTTTAGTTGGTTATTAAGTTTTTACCTTTCTGAACTGTCTTGCTTGGAATGAAAGCTCAAAATGTTCTTGAAGATGGTTCCACAAGGAGCGGTTTTTGAGATTGTGTAACATTCATGCTGCCAGAGGCATTGGACGCTGATTGAGCTTTGCTTCAATAGATACCCAGGGATAACACTTGAGAATTGTGTGGTACAGAGGAGATAAAAGGTCAATGTTTGCTTGGCCTTTGGCGCCATTGTAATACCACCACTTCCAACTTTTTAGGCTGGCTTCAGTTATGAAAATCTCTTAGTGGAGAACATGAAATTAGAATTAAAAAAAATTATCCTGAAATCCAGCTTTCAAACTGAAGTAATAGCTGAGCAGCTCAAAAATTCTTCCTTCTTCCTCGGGTTAGTTTGGAACTAATGTGGAGGGTCATTACTGGAATTCAAGGTGGCAGGCTCTCAGTTGTGTCAGTCTTTGTCATCTGTGGTATATATTATGAAAAATAGGGAAGTGAGGATGTTTATCTTGGAATATGACTCATCTATGTAGAATTGCAGTTACGACTGTTCATATATTAACTGTTTTGATGTGTCTGAACAGTGTCATCTTGGAACTGAACACTGTATTTGTGGCAGGTATCATGGCTGAGCTGACAGGGAGGGCGCAAGGTGTGGCACGAGGCAAGGGTGGATCCATGCACATGTACACCAAGAACTTTTACGGGGGTAATGGTATCGTAGGGGCGCAGGTCCCGGTTGGTGCGGGTGTTGCTCTAGCCAACAAATACTTAGAGAACGGAGGCATCAATGTGGCACTGTATGGTGATGGCGCTGCTAATCAGGTGAGTGAATAACGCCTGTGGGAGCACATTAAATTAATTGTCTTAAGGTTTGCTGAGAATGCTTACAGTAAATTACTATATACCTTCATATTTTGAGTTATAATTTTATTTATTAGAAACTTTTGTTTGTACAGTACAGGTATTGAGATAAAAAAATGAAAATTACATAAACCCTCTCAGTAATTTATTTAAAATATGGTAAAGTAGTGCTTTTTTTTTACTACCAGTATGCTTAGTTATATCACTAACTTATTTCATTATTCTCTTAAGTTTCACAATGTTAATAAGTGTACAAATAAGATTTCAGTGTGTCATCATTCTTCTACAATCACAAGGTAACTTATTCCTCAAACTCATGTGAGGACAAATGGACTTGTCTCCACTAGCACACAGTCTCTTAACCAGTTGCTTGACCGTTAGATTTCATCTCATATGCCGTATTTTACAGCATATAAGATGCACTTGTTTGTCTGAAAAATGGCTAAAAAATCTGCCTGCATCCTATAAAGGAGTTGCTGTTTCCCATAGGCTAATGATTCCCCTAGCTGCTGTCTCCAGTATGCTAAATTCTGCCTAGCCTAACTCCAGAATTAAAAATACATTATTACTTATTGAAACACATTATTATTATTACTTTGAATTAATTAAAAAAGTGATATTGTAGATATAAAAGCTGGATTTATATCTACTGTACTGATGATGATAACCCAAGACAATTAGTGTCTGTATGGCAGGCACCCAACTCTTCAGAGCTAAGCAGTAATAGTTTCTATACTCTTCCAAGCATTTTTATCTATTGATGTCATACCTGCAACATTTATCCTTAAATAAACAAATATCAGATACAAATGCAGATTTAGAGATAATTATCTTTTCACATTTGCATCTATTAACATCTGTGGTGGCATTGTAGCCAAGTTAGACTCATCACTGTAACCACCAGGCTATCAGGTCAGTGCTCGAAATGGAGGGTAATGCAGGGGGTACACATACCCTCACATGTTGTGCATGGTCATCATGTTGCAGAGCATTAATACAGAGAACATTATCATTATTTCACATCACAGTACCACCTCGTTTACTTTTACAACAATAATATTTATAATTATCAGTAGTATATGCTCTTGTGTTTAGTGTGAATTATTGGAAGTGTGGCCTATGGGTTTGTGTAACCTGTGGGTTGTGTCACAAGAAATTGTCTGGGCATCAATACAGTACCACATCACTCCTCCTTTTCATTAAAGTGGCTGTGCCACCTCCTCTGATTTTCAATCTTGAAGAGTATGCAAAAAAGTGGATCCAAAATGGGACTTCGCAGCATAGATGAGACTGTATGCCGAAGCGGAAAATAAGGGATGAAATACCACCAGGTTATGAATCTCTTTATGGACTATTTTAAAGGTAAGATGCTGTATAGTATTTGGGTCCTTTGAATTATTCTCTTATATATATCTACACTAAAAACATAAAGCCCATTCCATTGCCTGCTCTTTCAATGCATGTACAGTATTCAATATATTTAAAACAGTGAAAATATTGATGCCGTCACATAATGCGATGTACGGGTTATGAAAATAATGCACCCTGCTTAGCTATGAAAAAAGGAAATAGTACTACCTGTACCATTCCATGCATATGTATACCCTTACTTCTAATTTTCCATTTCGAGCACTGTCTATGGTTATTTTTCAATTCGTAATTTGGGGTAGATATGGTACTTTATTAATATATTTTTTAACTCAGTTACATGCATATACACAATCTTACATACAGTATGTGCCAAAAAAAATTAAAAATCATCACGAGGTCAAAAACATTAAGGCAAACATTTCTTTGCAAACGAGTTAGTTGGCTCAGCGGGGAAGTGGAAGGAGGACACTGAGTGTGTAATAATAATAATAATAATTAACGGTTTATTGAAAGAGCTTGGCAGCCAGAAGGCTGAAAATATACAGTTACATATTTGGGGAATGGGTTACGAATTACAAATAATATACAAGTAACATAAGTGACACAAATAAGACATATAATAACTAGATGGGGAAAAGCTCAAACTAAGAAATTATGAATAAAATAATTGAGAAAAAAACAACATCCAACAGATTGGTAAATCTTAAGCCACAGACTGTAGATTGGGAACCACTGCTCCACTGGTCTAGAGAATTAAAAAAAAGGTTAACTCTTTTCTCAGGGTCAACTTTTCGAGGCATATAACATGGCCAAGCTGATGAACCTTCCATCTGTTTTTATCTGTGAGAATAATGGTTATGGCATGGGCACCAGCATTGATCGTGCCGCAGCCTCTACCAACTACTACACCCGAGGAAATTATGTCCCAGGAATATGGGTAAGCTACACTACCTGTATCTTGTTCAACTTGTTAATTTCTCACTAACCAAACACCTCAGTTATTATTAATTTTAGTCATGTCTCCTCATATTGACTGATACACCTTTTGTTTTACTATCATCTCCCCAAAAATATGTATTTATGAAGGAGTGAAGATATGACATTTAATCTTGGCACAAAATTTGAATCAATTCCATTGCTACATGTTTAAGATATGGCTGCTAAGACATGAATGGGTAGACATATGAACCACTTATAACCCTAACAAGATGGCTAGTGTGCATTACATGAGTGAACATATCCTGTTCATGTTAAGATATGTGGCATGATTTTATACTGTACCAAAAAATAACATAATACTGTACTGTACAGTATACAGTATTGGTTATAAAGTGTTTTTTGTGAGGGACATCATGGCTAGTCAGAGGCAGTGACAGTCATGGCTACCATGAAAATTTAGCCTGATGTTTGTAAATAATTATATATTTTTTTTAAATACAAATGAAATGTCTTGTACAGATTGATGGTATGGATGTGCTGAGTGTGCGGGAAGCCATCAAATATTGCGTTGATTACTGCACGTCAGGAAAAGGCCCACTGGTACTGGAAGTTGCTACTTATCGTTACCACGGACACTCCATGTCTGATCCGGGCACCTCTTACCGCACCCGCGATGAAATCCAGGAGGTCCGCCAAACCCGAGACCCCATCATGTTGTTCAAAGAACACATTGTAGGTGCAGATCTTGTTACTGCTGATGAACTTAAGGTAAGAAATGTTCCTTTGCCACAGCAAGAATAAGATATACAGTAATCATTCCATGTAACAGAATAAAGCGTGCAAGCCGATTCTGTAAAAGCGAGATTTCGTTAAATTGAATAGTTATACCTCTGGCAGTGTAGTGGTTATGTCAGTGTTATACAGGTATTTAAATAGGAATAGGTTTCAATCCGTTATTCTTTATTTTGCATAAAACAAAACTGATACATGATCCATCATAAAATACAATACAGCATGCCCTTAAAATTCATGGGAGGGTTTGGGTCTCAAAATGGCTGCAAATAGCCTAATTCACAAATATCATTTGCTGACTAAGGTGGGGGGGGGGTAAATTTTTACTCATGTGGAAAGAAATGTATATTCCCTTTATGTGTTTGCCCTTTGGACAAAGATTTTTCTTGCCTGTATTGTATAAATGTGTGTGTGTGTTTGTGTGTAGACACACACGAAACATAATACAAATAAATAATAATGGGAAAATCCTCTCACAAAAAATCATGAACAAGACAACAAAATGAATCTAAATGTATTAAAAATGTGAGAGTCTACCCACAAGTCAACTCCTTGCCTTGTTATTAAAGTTAACTCACCTTTAATAACACTCATCTTTAATAACAAAGCATTGCACTGTACTGCATACTGTACTGGTCTCTATATCTCTTCTGATTCCTTTACAGCTACATAACACTCAAACTCACAAGTAAAAATGTAACCCCACCCCTAGTCTGCAAATGTTATTCGCAGCCATTTTCATAAACTAACCCCCTGCGAATTTTTTGAGACCCCCTGTACTCTCATCGGATTCTAAAAAAGATATGACCAGTTTTGAATTACTATCCCGTAAGTTCACGATAAATAGACTGATTACAGCTGGCGAATGGGTCCTCAAAACATGTCTTAATACTATGTACTCTACACATAAAGATATATGCTGCTTTCAACATATACTCAATACATCTTGAATGCTTCATCTGCAATCAGACATATCTAACTTAATGTAAAACATGTGCATTCACTCTCAATTTAAAATCTCTGAACACCCTGTGAGGTATTAAGAAATATCAGAGTTTCTGAGGTACATGAAAGAAAACAGAGGACTCGGGCATAATGAAGCAGTGAGAAAACAGATGTCTCAACTGGGGACTTAATAAAGAAGTCACAGCTACATGTTTTATGGGCAATTGAGCATAACATGAATCGTCTGATTTTACGTTCACTAACATGTATGACCGTGGTCAACACATAACATCTGCTGTTGCCACCATACAACCAATATGCCAGCTTAGTCTGGGTGTAAGGAGTTGGGATTAGTGTAGTGTTGTTGTCTCTGCAGGAAGACCAAGGGTGGGTAACCAAGAGGTAAGGCTTGGGATGAGGTTGTTACGGGATTACATACTGCATTACCTTTAAAAAAAAAAATGAATTTAAATTATTTTATCTGTACAGTATTTAGATGTATTTGACATGTTGATGGTGCCTCTCTCCTCACTAGAAAATTGACAGTGAAGTACGTAAAGAAGTAGATGAAGCCGTGAAGATTGCGAAGAGTGATAAGGAGATTGCTGTCCAGGAACTTGCTGCTGATGTTTATTCAAATCCCTTGGAGTCCTCCATTCGGGGCACAACACCCTTCGACCCTTACACACACCAGCGCCTCAGCAAAATCACCAATTTGCATTGATGTGTTCTCATTGTTTTTAGCAGTTGTGCAAAAGTTGTTCACAAAGTTGTTCACATATTTATTTACACAGGGTGTAGGGACACATTTCTGCAACTGTACCAGTATACAGTTAAAATAAAAATTCATGATGCTTGCATGGTAATCCATGCAAGCATCATGAATTTTTTTTAACTATCATGTACTGGTACAGTTGAAAAAAAAAAAGAGAGAGAGAGAGAGAGATATATATATATATATATATATATATATATATATATATATATATCACTGTAGGTGCATGTGGTCGATATATATATGCTGATGACCACATAGGAAACAAGAAAACACTAAGTTTCCAAGCGCTTTCATGTAATTCACTTTTTCAGGGGTGAGTACAGACTAAGGAGTAATTATTGACAAGGCTAATATATACAGTAGAGGAGAGTGAGAACAGGTCCCTAGGGACAGCATGAGTAATGGCTGGTACAAACTGGAAAATTTTGTGATTTACAAGATTTGTCCCTAGGGGACTTGATCTCACTCTCCTTTACTGTATATATTAGCTGTGTCAATAATTACTCCTTAGTCTGTACTCACCCCTGAAGATGTGAATTACATGAAAGCACTTGGAAACTTAGTGTTTTCTTGTTTCCTATGTGGTTATCAGTAGTATATATATATATACATATAAATAATTGTTGTAAAGGTATTATTAAGATGACCGAATTAAATTTATTCTACCCTTTTTTCTTTTACACATTATCCACTCAATGAACATGTAATGGTATGGTGCTGCATCTTTTGGTGATGAAGAGCAACATTATATTTATCTGTTTGAAATGAAAAGTAAATTTAGAAAGAGGCTTTTATTATATAAGAAAATTGTAAAACAAAGTGGCATACATCGTCACTTACTTATGTGATCAAGTCTTAACACTAAGAAATTTTATTCATAAGTCACTTCAGGCTCTGTTTCCCAAACAAGTCATTCACGTTTTTTCAATTTATAGTAAATACACTTTGAACTTGATTACTTTAGAAATATCACTGTCTTGCATCCGCTTTCTCAGTCGTTCAGGAGCTAGCTCTCGCACATTAATGGGTGTATTAAATGCCTGTCTGATGCCTTTCACACCAGTCGTACACATCACTGATACGTAAAACTGATGTGAGGCCTCAGAAATGCATTTAATAAGCCCATTCATATGTGGGAGCTAGATCCAGAGGGTGTTCACCTAGCTCCTGCATGACTGAGAAAACACCAGTAGGCCTTGAAGCACTTACATCTTGTCTCTGAAGGTTTCAAATACAGTAAAGGTTTGCCCAATTAAACCTTTATCAGTGGAATAATTGAGCAAGGAATACCATAGTTTTGCTAAAACAAAAGCTTACATAAAAAATTAAATGGGAAACTATTGCAAAATAAAAATCTTCATCAGGTCCATTTTTTTCAACGTGCACTAACTCTGCTACTCCTTCATTTGGCCTTCTTCTTCGTCATCTTCTTCTGCTCCACGGATGTACAGAACATTGTTACAGCGGATGAGCACCTCTCCTAAACTGCCGGTTGACTGACCATCAATATATTCCTCTGTGTTGGCCAGCTGTAAGAAATTTTCATCATCACCATCTTCCCAAAAAAGCCTAGAACTGTAACTGAACTTTAGCTAACACCACACACAAAAATCCCTTATAAGTACCTGTCATGAGTCAATAGAAAGTTATAGATTGTAAATAAAATATAAGATGGTTAAAAGGACAGACAACTTTATACTAAATCTCATGAACTTTTGGTCATGGTAGGGGGATCCTCTTAAGAAAGCGATCTGAAATAGGTTGATCTTGGAAGACCTTAACTCCCGTAGTTATAAACACATTTTCTGTTGACGGGCGTCGTGTTGACAACCAGTTTAAAAAAATCTGAGTTGCGAAGGACACCGCACTACAGCGCCTGAAGGGAGGTGTGGCGGCAAAATTAACTTATAACATTGGAATTCGTTCATTCTACTGCCACACCTCTCTGTCGAGTGCTTAGTGCCATGTCCTTCGCAACTCAGATTTTTTTAAACTGGTTGTCAACACGAAGAACCCCGGCAAGAGAAAGGGGCGTTTCAAATTATGGGGGCAAGAGTTCAATTATTTATTTTACAATATTGTTCCTGGATATTTAATTATGGAGCCACATCTAGCATGTTATCTACTGTATTTCTTCCTGCTTTGATATACAGCACTGTCTTATTTTCATTTAGGTTTAGTGCCTGACTCCCTGCAATACCTACACTGGTCCCTAAAAACACCTCCTGCCACCACTGATACCAATGTTTAGCCAGTTTCTATGTTAACATTTTTAATTGTCTCCATGTTATTTTCCCCATGTCTGGTGTACTGTATTAAATATTTTCCCTTCTAAGTTTGTCTGTGAAGTTCATTTATTGTGGTGCAGTTAGGGTAGTATTTGTTTGAAATATGTTGTTGTTCCTTATTTTGCAACTTGTGTTGTTCTTTCTATTTGTTCTGCTAAAAACCATAGACAGTTGCTTAAACTATGGGTTCAGTTGTTCAACAGTGTGTGTATATATCTGACAGTGCCCCCTAACCAAGTTAGCCAGAAGAGCCTCGCAAAGTACATACTGTATGGCCAATTGTAACTGTACATACATACTTCCTGTCCAAGGTTCATCATGAAAGGAAGGTAGTTCAAACTCTGAGATGTCAAGATCATAATCTGAGGTTATTTATAATGATTCATATACTGGTTACATACTGTTAGTGGGCTCTTCATATACACCTGGCAATCAAAGTACTACGATAACTCACCTGGAGGTTCATGTATCCATCAACAGACACAAGGATACCTTTATATTCGTGACCCCATTTGAGCTTTACAATAACAGCTTGACCGGTCAGCTGATTCAGGAAAGGCTTGGGGTTAATTGGAGTTGGAACAGCGAGAGACTGAAAAAGATGAAATAATCAATCCTTATATCTGAGTCACATTACATTAGGTCTCCCACATAACATATGGCACTAATCTGGTAAAACTGAGAGCAAAAGAGATAAATCTTGCAATTTAGCAGTTCTCAGCACAACAGGCGAGCCAAAATGGATGACGTCAGACATCTTTATTGCATATGCCTTATAAAACCCAGAAGACAGTCCATAGTGATAGCAGTGACTGAGGGTGAAATTGAAAATAAATTAGTGAAAAAATAATTTTTTTTGAGGCAAGCAACAGGCAGGAATGCCTGTAAGGAAACTGAAGCACATTATTGCTGCCACAAAAAATTCTATTTTTTTTCTGTGTTTTCTAAAGGATTGTGATTGTGCATATGACCCACCTTTCACAGGGCGAAACAGTATGCCCGGATAATTTGCGTATTTTTATTTCGTGGTCCTCTATTATTTGCGGATGACACCCAGGATGTACCCAAGAATGTTTGCGGGTACAGGTAGTTTTAAAGTTGCTGGCATTTTCACTGCCGGAACAGGGAGCCATTTGTTCTACAGACAGTACCTGTAATTTCCTTTACCCGTATTGTATATATAATAATGGAAAAATCCTCTCACAAATAATCAGAAACAAATGTATTAAACATGTTGAGTCTACCCTGAAGTCTACTCCCTGTTTTATTAATAACAAAGCACGGAGTAGACTTGAGGGTAGACTCAACATTTTTAATACAGTACAGTACTACATTTGTTTCTGATTATTTGGGAGAGGATTTTCCCATTATTATGTGTTTTGTGTGTGTCTCCACACACACATATACAAACACAGAAAAGGGAATATACATTTCTTTGTACACAAATAAAAATGTAACCCCCCCCCCCCAGGTCAGCAAATGTTATTCGCGGATTTGGAGATTTGTGGCCTTTTTTAGAACCCAATCCTCGTGAATTTGAAGGACATGCTGTACATAGTGATAGCACATAGAAATATCAACAACTCGCTGAGGAGAACAGAAAAAAAATAAAATAAAAAAGGTCCAGCTGTCTTGGACGGCATCAATGGACGAGTGAGGGTGCCAGCAAGGTCAAGACCGGCAGGACAGCTAAGTTATTTCTTAATAATATTAGTCTTAAACCTGTAGTGTGTGTGTGGACACTTTAGTTGAATTGAGAGTAGACTCACATTTTTCTACATTTTGTCGTCTTGTTTCCGAGTACAGTATTTGTAAGATGATTTTCCCATATTTATTTACTGTATTTGTATGTGCTTTGTGTGCATCTACATACACACACATATATACAATACTGTACAGGTAAAAGAAATAATTGTCCAAAGGGCAAACACAAAGGGAATATACATTTCTTTGTGCATGAGTATAAATGCCCCCATGAATTTTAAGGGCATGCTGTAATTGACTTTTTAAATATCTTTAATTATTTCGAAGGTCATTAATTAACACTAATTACTCAAATTATTTTACTATGAACCCAGATCCTCATCAGCATGTAAACTCTGAACCCAGATCCATAATCAGCATATAAAGTAGCTCCTTTGTATGAAATTTAAACAAAATCTATTTTTTGACCATGTGCCGAAAACTAAGGTCAGGCGTATTTTGTACGTAAATCAATAATTTTTGGGAAGTGAAAACTAACGTGTTTATATAGTAAAGACAGTCAGGGTGTCTACTGGCCAGACAAAACAAAATTCCCTGCCTTATCCAGGTTATCAGGAACAATAGACACCCTGCATGCAATGGTGGGTTTACGATCACAGGGCTGTTGGACGTGTGGCGGCGCATAGGTAAACTTACAAGTGAAGCGAGAAATGCGTCATGCATAGGGTTAAATACCATTTCCTTATAAAATATCACTGACATGACGTAGTAAAAGATAATTGTCATTGCTGGAATCCTTGTATGAGAGCGATTATTTGAGTATACACAACCCATAGTTTGCACTCGGGATAAAAAAATTCAGCAAATAGATATCGTTAAAGTAAGTTTTTTTTTTATATATATACAGTAGGAATATGGTCTTAATTTATGAACATCATTAAACCGGAACATTACTGATCAGGATGTCGTATCTTGAGGTTTACCTGTACAGTACTGTATATACAATTGGTAATTTATGAGGAAACCGCTACTACCAGATAATGTTTATGGAATGCCTTTGTTTTTTTACTTGTTTTGGTTAGTAGTTTTGAAGGAGTGACAACTTTATATTTTCACTTTTTCTTTTACCTACATCTACATTCATAAATCACCTGTAGTGGGCAGAGGATGAGGGAAATTGCAGGGTAAACCACGATGAAAAATTGATCAGACTAATCGTCCATTACCGCCGAACAACACGAGAACTATATTTGGCCGAGAGTCTGATGGCATTAGGCATTTATTTTGCAGCGAGTCGATCATTGAGTAGCTCTAACCTAACTATATTTCTGTTGTGTATGGAAACTAATCATTATAAAAGAGGCAACATTTACTAGAACCTGACCTAACCAACCAAAGAAACCTACCTAACCTTACCTAACTTTTCAACCGTCATATTAAAAACAAAGTCCTTAGCCAATCAGAGCGGAGTCACGGTCAAATAGCGTTAGTTGGAGCTTAGCCGGTCTGAGTCAGCATGTTCCCTCTCAACAAATTTAGTCCATTTCTAACAGTTGCTGACGATCTAGTATCTCTATATACCACTAAACTAAATTAAAAATCCAGTCTTTCTAATAATTAAATACATAAAGTGTTAGTTGAAAGAATAAACTTGCCATTTTTTAGTTATTTCTATGGTGACGCCGCCGAGTGTGTTTATAAGCCGCTCTATTTACCTCAGACGGTCAGCTTCACAAACCTCTCACACAATGGACATAAATTATTCCTTTTACCATGATAATTTTTATTTCTTTTACAATATTCTACATAATCATTTTTCTCACTATTTTTATTCAGTAAATCTTAAAAAATTATATATAAACTTATTATCTAGACCCCCTGTATATCATTATTACATGAGGTGGATATATGACCCCACGCCAAACGTCTTGATTAGTTATATTTGTATTAGAATAAATTTTATTGTTTTAGTCTATACATACCATATCTAGGTGTAATAAGTCAAAAATAATGTTTAAATAATATATAGATCAATTATAAAACATTTAAAATTCATGTATGAGATAAATAACAATTGAGCAAAGTAGAAAAAATCTTGACTTGTGAATGATAGAGAGAGAGACAGCCATGAGATGAAGACCAAGATGACGGCATCCTGTTGTGACACCAAGACACCACTTACAACTGGTATGATCGGTGAGATATCTATTAATTATTACAAGTGTAGTTCTGTTGCTCATTATTAGTTCAGGCTCATTATTACAAGTTGTTGCAGTTCTGTTGCTCATTATTACAAGTGTTTTAGTAAATAACATGAACTTTCGTGAGGTTAGGTTGGTTGATCTTCTATCCAGTAAGTTATACTGTACACCGTAATGTATGAAAATACCTCTACCACCAGAAGGAGTTGTTCGATTTCGTTCATTTTTCTCGACATGTTCTTGTCATTATAGTAAACATTTTAAAAGAGGCGACATTTACTAGACTCTAATAGAACCTGACCTAAACAACCAAGGAAACCTACCTAACCTTACCATACTCAGTACCCTGCACATAAAATACTTGGAACAATTACTGTTGCAAATCTGTTTCAATTCCTTTTCTTTTTAAGTAGACTTGGACAGTCATTGTCAGCCATATATTGATGAGGTTAAAGATAATATTCAGACAATTTGACCAAGGACAGCTGACAAAGCCATAAGATAATTATTCCAGTAGAGTCTTTTTGCCAGCAGCATGTGGTCCTAGGGCCAGGCAGTCACCCATCTAAGTACTAACATTGCTTAACTTTGCTATTCGGGCAAGATGCGGTGTTTCCAACATGGTAGTACTGTGCTCTTGGTGATGCACAGCTGTAGCTCTTGGACCTGCAGATTAATATCCTGAAACATTCACAAAACTGCAAGAGTCATTGTTAGACTTGGGAGGACAAAAAACCTGAATTAGGTAACACTTAAAAAGTAGACTTGTGTAAAGAGCAACCTGTTAATCCGGCACCTCTCAATCCCCGTAGGTGCCGGATAACCAGGATTTTACCTGTCCTATCTTTCTAAACTACTGTATTAATGTACCACTAATTTATCTGAGAATATTAAGGCAAAAATGACAGAGTTTGTCAAGTATGTAAGGTTTACAATCCCAAGAAAGTTCACATAAACCAAACTTGTATAAAACAAACAACTTCTGTACTGGATGACAATTAATTTATGGACATATTTTTATCATAAACTGTTGTATATATTAAGTGGGTTTTTTTTGTGTTTGTTACAGATAGTTAACCTTGGATAATTGAGCAGCGCCATCACAACTGAAAATTATAACTGCCATTGTAGAACTAAACTCCAATGAACACTACAACACCAAGGTAAACCAAAGGAGTCATTTGTCTGTCTTACATTTATATCTCTCTATCTACTTAACTGTTTGTGTCTCTGTCTGTCTTTATGTTCCTTTCAGTATATCTATCAATACCTATCTCACTTTGTTTTATCTACTGTATATCTGTCAATCTATCAATACAAGTACACATTTTCAACCAACGTGGCTCTTGAGTTGAGCAATGTTATCGTAACTGTTAATCTAATATGTTGAGTAGCAGAATAATGTGAGAATTTTTATTTTTTTTATTTTTTTTTTACGGGGAATAGCCCACCCGGGCACAGGTCATCGACCCACAATGGGGCCTAGGGAGTTATATATATGTTGCATTTAATTTAGTTTATATTTAATTAAAGTAATATTTAATAGTTACCTGAAATAATAGTCTTGTGGGAGTCTACATGCCTTTGACTGGGCACACATCCTACCAGCTACCGTTGAATGTCAAATTATCTGCCATCGTCAGTTCCTTAACGATCCTGACCAGAGAAACACAACACTCACCACCTTCAGTAAAAACTGGCAATCATGGAGGGGTTCACCAACTGAGCTCCACCATTAACTCCTGACCTCCATCCGCATCAGCAAACCTTGAGTATCAATTTATATTGAAGGATATCCTAACTTTATACTTTGTGTGTACAGTGATATCTCTGTTAGCGGGAACAATTAGTGCAGAGCACTTCTGGAAATGAGACATTTCTGGGTAACGAGACGACACTCTCAAAGCCGGAAAAACTCCCCCATCCCCGGAATTTTCTGGGTATCTGAAAAATTATATGAGAATTTTCTGGAAAATGAGCCCCTTGGAAAATTGTTCCCAAAGCTGGAATTTTTTGGGAAATTCCCCCTTTGGGAACAATTTTCTGAGAAAATTTAAATTTTGGCAATCGGAGATTTCTGGGTTTGAGGGATTCCTGCTAACGGAGATACCTGTATTACTGTACTGTAGTTTGATGTGATATAAACTCCAAAATTGCCACTTTAGGTAATCACCCATTTTGAGTGTTTATTTAATGCATATAACAATGTAAATATTTCTTGTCCTGATAACAACCAATTCAGGACATGTGTTTCTCTAATGGTTTAGACAATTTTAAGACACTTTTCTTCTCTAACGTTTCCCTCACAGATAACTTAAATATATCAGGGGATCTAGGGAGGTGGAGCTCCTGGTTAGGAGGTTTGGTTAGGTAATTTTAGGTCATTTGTGAGGGAAACGCCGTAGAAGAAAAGTCTGAAAATTGTCTAAATCGGGGGTTCTCAAGCAATTTTCCAGTGTGACCCCACCAAGTGCTGTCGCCTATCCAGTGCGACCCTGAGTCATTACATTAAATATAAAGATTCGTAGAATAAATACGGACATATTTTTACACGTATTTAACTGTAAAAACAAATCAATAAAATGATTACTTAATTGAGAAGTGTAAAAGTAAACACCGGCAAAAACAGGTTACAACTCTGTCATGATTATATCATCAATTAGTGGTCTATACCTGGGGGTATAATTATGTGATTAAGCAACATAATATCCAGTTTTCTTAGTTACAACTCTCTCATAATTCATGTAATGTGTGCATTATTATTTAATTAATCTTAATACATGTTACATCAGTCATAATTCATGTAACATGTGTACAATGAAATACAAAAGTCGTTTCGTGAAATTTGGTGAAAACATGTGCCAAAGAGCTAATTTTTTGGTGCGCTCTGCCTTGTGGTAGGGGGGGCTCATAATGTTTCACGAGTTATATTTAATCTTTGGACAAAACCGCGACACGACTTTTGTCTTTGATTGTACATTATCATTGAATTAATCTTAATGCACGTTACATCAGTCATAATTCATATGTAACGTGTGTGTATTAACATTTAATATATTTTCTATTGACTGGGTTTATAATTATGTGGTTAAACAACATATGCTACAACTGTGTACGTCATCATTTGATCAGTTTTCTTTACCTGGGGATATATGAGGTTAAGCAACATAGCACTTGGTTACGGTAATCATAGTTTATACCAGAACGTTGGTAGCAAGATTTTTAACAGCTGAATGTCTCTGATAAAGTAATCCCAAACTTTGCTATGTCACTATAGACGTCAAAATTCACCCTTGCCTCGTCAGCCCGTGATTTTGACATTTAGAGTGCAAAAGACTCAGTAAGCAACTCATTGAAATTTGCTGCCATTTTCTTTGCTCATCCATGGGAAGTAGAGTGAACTGAGCTGAGAACAGTTAAAAGGAATACAGTACATCGGAGTGTGGAACTTGTGTTGTGAAACATGTCACAGGGCATGGAGAGTAACTGCGTTAATCCCTTGATCATAATGTCTGATCCCAACTTATTGACACAGCACCTGTCGGCCTTGTCCTTCAGTCCTAGACACCTGGATTAAAAAGAAAAAAAAATCACATGTGACCGTTGCAAGACTCAGGTGACCCCATGACCTCCATGTGACCCCTTTTGATGCATTTTGGGAGCCGCTGGTCTAAACCATTGGAAAAACCAGTGGTGGGCACAGCTAAACGAAAAGTTAGCTTTGCTAACCGCTAATTTGCTAACTAAAAAGTTAACTTCGCTAACACTAAACCGCTAAACAGCTAAAAAAATTAGCGGAAGCTAACGCTAACCGCTCACTTTTATTATATGAATTTAGCTTCTTTTTTTTTTTCTTTTTTTCTCTCTCTCTAAAACCCTTAAAAACAGACCTAGAGAGCTTAGACATAGACCTTTCCAAAAAGGTATAGCATGCCAAGATCAGATGATGATCAAGGTGTACACAAATAATTAAATGAACAATTGAAATTAAACATTAGTTTACATTCAGGTTTCAACATACACTTTATAATCTTTATTTATTGTACGAAAAGACAGAAAGTATTAAACGAATCCAAAAACTATAGTACTGTATAGCATAGGTAGCAAATAGCATCATGTCAAGATCAGATGATGATCAACTTATCAAGGTGTACACTACACAATTTCACAAATAATTAATTTTAATTCTCATACAACCTATCGGCCTTATTCATTATTCATGTAAATATGCACTACCAACCACATACACATTATACCAGTGCATTTTAATATAACTTATTGTTGGTCATAGTCGACAAATCATGTCTTGTCACGTTTACACGTACTGACACGCAGTCAGCCAAGCGTGCCTGTCTGGCTGTTGGAGACACGCGTATTGGCGTCACACGCTTACAACAGACAGGAACAAACATGTATAAATTTTGTTAGCGGACTTAAAGTTAGCAGAACTAAATTTAGCGGAAGCTAATTGGTCCGCTAATGGTTTCCAAAGTTAGCGAAAACGCTATTCCGCTAACGAGAAAGTTAGCTTCGCTAATTAGCGGATTAGCGGAACCGTGCCCACCACTGGGAAAAACACATTGCTCAACTCAAGAGCCATGTTGGTTGAAATGTAAATTCACCCAAGTATTTGTCTCTCAATCTATATACAGTATCTATCTAACTTATCTATATCTGTCAGTATCTATTTTTATATTTTCATCTCTTTATGTCTTCCTATCACCAAATCTATCTATATCTACCTGTCTATCTGTCTAAACTACTGTATTAATGTTCTGTACCACTAATTTAGCTGGGAATATTAAGAAAAAAATTACAGAGTTTGTCAAACATGTAAGGTTTACAGTCCCAACAAAGTTGATATAAGCCAAACTTGTATAAAACAACTTCTGAATTAAAAGATGATTATTTTATGGACATATTTTTATCATAAACTGTTGTATATATTATATGTTTTTTGTTTGTTTGTTACAGAGGAGTTAACGACTAAACCTGAGAAATTAACAACTGAATCATAGAGACACTGCTCTTACAGGTATGTCTTTATGTCTGTCTGTGTTATTCTCTATGCTGTATCTTTCTATATCTCAATTTTTCTAGGTATGTCTAACTGTCTATCTTTATGTATCTGTATCTCTACAGTATATCTTTCTATCAATCTTTCAATACCTGTATTTCAGTCAGTCTGTCTGTTTGGTATCTATACCATCTGTCAGACTGTCTTTATATATACGTACAAGTATCTTATCTATATCTATGCTATCAGTAAGAAAGATATTGGCAGTGATTGAGGAAGGTGGGTCACAAGAAGTGCATGGAATGGATGGAAGACCAAGATGTTGCTGAATGTAAAGTGATATGTATGTGCAGGTAAATATGTGTCCATGGCAAGACTGAAGAAACTCAACACTGAAGATTATCCCTGGACTGTGCGGATGAGTTCTGTGCCTGGGACATGATCAGCAGGGGTGCTGAAGGCTTCTGAGTCATGGATGATTTGCAGCCGGATGACATGATCAGTGCTGGGAGCACACACCCCACAACACAACACAACCCACAACACCAACCACAAATGCTGCCTGGGTGACTTGATTAGTGCTGGAGGGGGTGCTGTTCATTTTTAAGAGTCAGAAATGGCTGGAGGATTTAGGGAGTCTTTATATGTCAGCAAGAGGACTTTCTCATCACATGAAAGGAAGAATGTATACAACTGGTGTGAGAAGTGTGGTGTTATATATCTGTGAAACATGGGCAGTTAAAGAGGATGACATATGCAGACTTGAGTGAGCTGAAATGAGAATGGTGAGGTGGATGTGTACTGTGACGCTGAAAGGTGAGAATCACCGTTCAGGGCTAAGAGGACGGCTGGGTATTGAGAGTATCGGCCAAGATTTACGTATAAGTAGAGCGAGATCGGGCGTGTGGGGAGAATGGATGAGACCAGCTGGGTTAAGTGGTGTATGACTCTAAATGTGGTGAGGAGGAGAGCCAGTGGTAGGTGGCCAAGAATGACATGGGGAGAGATTGTAAGAAATGGTCTTAGAACCTGACATGACAGACTGCAAGAGATGGTGTGGAAAATAGCTATATGATTTGGATGGTGATGATGATTTTGTTCTATCTTTCTGTCTAACTTTCAGGCTATCTATCTATCTATACTTCTGTACTGTATTTCTCACCATATTAAAGGCAACCACAGATATATCATGAAAGGTTTATAGTCTCAAGAAAGTTCACCTAAACTAAACTTTCATAAAAGGAACAAATATTTAAATGAGAAAAATTGCAATGTGTTCCATAACCTGTACAGTACAGTTGACCCTCGCCAATGTGAGGAACGAATAAAAATAATAATAAATAAGAGGAAGGAAAAAATACTGCATGCCATTTGACAACTGTTTCACTAAAGATGTGGGAGACAGAGGTGTGCTCCCCCCTCATGGGCTGACTCCTGCCGACGTAATAAAAGTTTATTGTGTGTTTTTTTACCTTTTGATAATAATTTTTTGACTAAGTCTAAGAAAGCTTGTGTGTGCATGTAACTGCTAAAAAAGTTAATAAAACTACGTATATCTACCCAAAACTATGAGTTGAAAAATAGCAATAACACAGCTTGGCCTGGTGTATATGTATACAGTTATATATGATGTAGAGTGAATTATGGAGACATTTGGTAGGTTAAAAATATGTCTTATATGGTGGGAAATATGGTATATCTCTCTACATCTTTCTGTCCATCTGTCTACAGTATATCTGTCTTATATGTACTGTAGACAGAACTACTGTACTAACCATGATAGACAGTTGACAATGCATGTGATTAATACCTGGAATACAAATATTTGCAGGAAAATGTCCAATATATTCAGCAACTAGACCACTTTAGAACCAAGAAAATATTGTTTATTGTTTTTATACCAAAATACTGGTGATTGTTTCTCAGATACATCAGGAGTTGTATATCTTTAGTGGTGCATCACTGTGTCCTGGGTTCATTCCCCAGCCTGGGACAGATGTTACCCTCACTACCAAACATGGCAGGTTTTCTCCAGGTACAACACTACAGTTTCCTCCTATACTGTACAGTATTAACAGACCAACTGCCCAAACGGCTCATTACTGGTAGTTACGATGTCGCTACGTTAACTTATACAAAGGTGAATCCTAATTTAATGTTGACTCGGCCATAGTGAGCTTTAACATTTATGCCACGGATGAATGAGTCTTGATCACACACAACTATAAGGCGGCCTTCTCTTGCCACTCCATCTTCCTTCTGGCCTTTATTGTGGAATAGCCAAGAATTATTATTGTGTGAAGATGTAGTGGATCTCTGAGGTGACAATGATAAATATTTTGGTGTTAAGTCGGTGGTGTGAGTCTTGTACTGTGCAGGTCTGACCCACCTGTTAACAAACTACTGCAGGGAGTGAAGACCTTCCTTAAAAGGTTTAACTTGGCAGTATTCAGAAGGTCACAACACAGACGTCCTCAACGGCACTTGATGGTTTATAACAGCCATTTTTTATTACTTACTTTTGACCTTGATGTGGTTCAACCATTATCAGGTGCAGGTCAGGAACACTAAGGACTGTTCCTCTTTAAAGCTCACTGAGTAAATAAGGATAGTTGCTTCAAGGCTCCACGGGGCATGTTGTTACGAGGTTTTATTTACAATTAACAATTATTACATGGAATTATACATTTTCCACGACATATACTGAACTGTATACCTCTGTTGTCTATATACATGGTGAACTGTATACCTGTGTTGTCTATATTGTTTTAGCTGTGGTAAGATACCAAACTATCTCACTTGTTAACACTTGCCTGAACGAGTGTAGGTTAGTCGCTGGTACCTTTGATACAGCCGAGTGAGATTTAGGGTCATCTCACGTCATGTCACCTTTGATACAGCTGAGTGAGATATCGGGGCATCTCACGTCATGTCACCTTTGATACAGTTGTAGATTGGTTGATAGTTTAAATCGTCACAGCTGTCCTGGGTTGTACTTGTAATTCTCTTCACTCGTTGTTCCTTGGTTTAATGTAAACACACATGCTGATTTAATAGTTATATTGGGTAGTAATGTCTGTACAATTATTTGGTATTGACAGACTAATGAGCATTAGCTATTGGCTTGTAATTAGCTAATATATTTAGAGAGAGGTACAGCCCGTAGAGCTGGTCTCACGACACGACTTTAGGGCATCGTGTTGGGCTGTGAACTGGGCTGAACTCTCTTGAGTCTGGTGACTGGTGGTTGGAGGGTAACCACACTTCAACAGGTCATTAACTAAACAGCCTACCACACACTGTGGGTTGAGTCTGTAGTTTATGGGCTGTACACCCTAGGAGGTGTGACAGAACACATGCTTATGGGCTGTACACCCTAGGAGGTGTGACAGAACAAATCCTTATGTAGCTGTATGCTCAATAGTCTGGGTGATAGAATGTATATAATGAATATATGTCCTTAGCCCATATTTATATAATATTACTGTGACAGAGGCTAATACAATATACTGAACTGTATACCTATATTGTTTATATACATGGTGAACTGTATACCTGTGTTGGCTATATACATACTGAACAGTATACCTACATTGTCTATATGCAGGTTGAACCAATTGTAAACTTATATGATAAGTTTACATAATAAATATATATCTATCTATCTAAAGTGGTCTAGTGTATGGAAATATTTTGAGCTTTTCCCTGATAATGTTGTTTCATCACAGGTGTTACTCTGTTGTAGTGTGAGCCAGTGTGAGGTGGAGGTCAATATTAAACTGAGGTGTTTAGCTGTGGCTCGGGAAGATTGACAATTTGTCTTATTTTAATTATAAACCAGAACGCCTTTATTTCTCACTGTTTATCCAGGTATAATTTGGCTAAATTTATCTTTTAAATTTACCTGGACTTAGAATGCCACCACAATATGATTTGAAATTAAAGAATAAGATTATATTCTTTTGTGTTTTTAAGGATTTTAGAATTAATATGATTTATTGAGACTGTTGAACCGTTCAGGTACTTAACATATATTTACCATTTATGTTAAACTAAACAGTAAATACATTTTATTGTTCGTTAAGGAATTCTATCTCATTAGTTCTGTGTCATTTAATGTTGCTGTAAAATCTGTTGAGTGACTTAAGCGGCAGTTATTCTATTATAGTCATGCCAGTTAATGTTGTTTTAGGAGATACAGTTTATAATGTAGTGATCTTCGTTAAAACAAACTATTTTTATTGTCCAAATTTGTCGCGCTGGGTAAGGTAGGTGTGCATGGTGGGAAAGGCTTTGGAATAAGGAGTACTGAAGGTGAAAGAACACTTGAGTTTGGGGATGATATGTAACATGTGTTTAAGAATAGGGCAAGTAGGCTGACCATGTAGGCCTAAGGCAGGTGGCACAGAAACCCAGTTTGGCTACATTTTGGTCAGGAAATTAGAACAGGTTGCTTGTGTGTGTGTTACTTAAAGATGGAGGGAGAGGAAGATGGTGGATGTTCCAAGAAGGAAAGTGTGGGAGTTGTGAAGGAACTGAATGTAAAGGAAACATTTTCTTGTGAGTTGAGAGGCTAGGAAACAGCCAGTGAGGGGCAGTGTACCAAGAAGCTGGGCCATAATGAAAGATGTTCCGTTGAGTGTGGTTGATGACGGGAATGATGAAGTGGAGAGAGAGAGATAAAAAGAGAAAAGAAGATTGTGTGAGACGTGGAAGATGGTTGGCAACAGAGAGAAGTACAGTAGTACCTGGAGGCTAAACTGAGATGGTTCAGGAGAGAAAGGAGGAAATTAACTGGGTCAAGAGATACAGGAGTTAGAGGTAGGCAATGAATGGCATGAGGACAGGTTCTAAAGAAATGTTGGTGCTGCTGTATTAACTGAGTATGTTTGTTGCTTGGAACAATCTGAACAAACTGAACAGAAAACAAATGAATAATTGAACACAAAAAAATTGAGAAATTGTCAAATAATGTCAAAATATTCAGAACTCGGTTAATTTGTATTCTCAGTAATTCGGGTGACCCAGAGTCTCTTTTTGTCAACTGAATGAGGGTATAGTCTAGTTTGTGTTCCACCGAACTACTGAAAATACAAACTAACCAAGTTCCGAATATTTTGACATTATTTGACAATTTCTCATTTTGTATTCAATTATTCATTTGTTCAGATTGTTCCTCATTATACCAATCAGCAACCATACTCAGTTATCAAGCCTTGACTGCCACATAAAATACTCTACATATTTATAATTTACGTATTTATAATTACTGTAGAAACAAATATTTTTTAAGTGTACAAACAGTAATACTAAAGTAAATAATACAGTAATAAATAAATGTAAGACTTCCTGTACATTGTGAGGTGAACTGATATTATGTAGATGATATTTAGAAAGTGTAATAGTATTGAGGATCAGGTCTGGGGTCCACTGCTGTCATCAAGAAGATTAATCCCCAACCTACCGAACTCAGGAGACTGTTCCTTTGTTCTATGTGTTTCTCCCTTGTTTTGTTGTGTTAGTTGGCAGAAGAGGGACCTATAGTGTGTTTTTTTCCAGCTGAAAAGAGATATGTAATTTGTGTCTTATTGTTGGTAAAAATAAGTACAGTACAGTATGTATATATTAAATGCGTCCTCCGAAAGCTTCAATTTGCCACCAGAGTTTAACAGTTACCGGTAATGCTTGTATAATATTTCTGATAAACTTCCGTTGTGTTTATGTTTGAAATAATTAATGTATGAATCTTTATATAATTTAGCTAAATGGCTTTCTCGTCAGAAATGGTCATTATGAATAAACTCATTTAGAAATACATCATTACTTCAGGAGGAAATCGGACAGATTTGAAACAGCCAATCAGGTGTAACTCTTGAGGAGGGGGCGGGGCATCTCTTCTCATCTGATAAAAAATGCACTATAGTCAAATCAGCTCCAAAATTTCATCTTATATTTCTCCAATGAGGGTTTTTACTTCATTTACCAGTGTGGCCGTTACACTTATGGAATATCATCTACGATCTCACCTCTCATTATTTATTACTGTATTATTTACTTTATTATTGTAAGTATATTTTATAACTATTTATATTTGCACAATAATTATAAATATAATATTGTATATGACAGCCAAGGCAACTTTTTGAACCACTCAGTTATTTCACATTCATTCCAAATTCAAATCGTTTAATTAATTTTTTGAGAAACATACGAATTACAGCGATCCTACTCAATGAAAGCCCAAAAATTCATTGTTTAAAAATATTCTAAGTCTAAAAATTCATCGTTTAAGATATTCTAAGTCCAAAAATTCATCATTAAAAATTCATCGTTTAAAATATTTTAAGTCCAAAAATTCAGTTTAAAAATATTCTAAGTCCAAAAATTTCATCATTTAAAATATTCTAAGTCCAAAAATTATTCTAAGTCCAAAAATTCGTCGTTAAAAATATTCTAAGTCCAAAAATTCATCGTTTAAAATATTCTAAGTCTAAAAATTCATCGTTTAAGATATTCTAAGTCCAAAAATTCATCATTAAAAATTCATCGTTTAAAATATTTTAAGTCCAAAAATTCATTGTTTAAAAATATTCTGAGTCCAAAAATTTCATCATTTAAAATATTCCAAGTCCAAAAATTCATCGTTTAAAATATTTTAAGTCCAAAAATTTCATCATTTAAAATATTCTAAGTCCAAAAATTCATCGTTTAAAATATTCTAAGTCCAAAAATTCATCTTTAAAAATATTCTAAGTCCAAAATTTATTCTAAGTCCAAAAATTCATTGTTTAAAAATATTCTAAGTCCAAAAATGGCCAAAATTATTCCTGGGCAAATTTTGAGTAATAATAAATTTTTGTGTGGTTTTAGAGGTAAAACATTTGTGCCATTCTTACGAGCTCCAGCTTGGCATCTGTGTATTATAAGGCATAACGGACTACCTGGACGTGGGGAGAGTAACTCACTGGGCCCCTACTGAGTTACTCTTCCCACGGCCAGGTATTCCATTATGCTTGTATTTTTTTATATTATTGGTGAATGATAATTTGAAGGCCTTCCTCCGGAGACGCTTCCGATTATCTTTTACAAAATTTTTTCAACGTTAGTCCTGGCAATGGCAAACTCAAAAAACACTTAAGGGTAAAAAAAGGGCAATTTTTTTTGCTCAAATTTTGCAATTTTTAGCCATTTTTTTCATAAAAAAAATGCTAATTTTTTCATATTTTTAGCTATTTTTTTTTCAGGTTTTTAGGTTATTTTAGTTATTTTTTTTATTTTATATATTTTTATTTATATATTTTATTTATATATATTTTTTATTAATATATATTTTATTTTATATTTTTTTATTTAATTATATTTTATTTATTTATATATTTTTTATTTATATATTTTATTTATATATATTTTTTTATATTTTATATTTTTTTATTTATATATACAGTATATATATATTATTTATATATTGTTTATTTTTCATTTGTATATTATATTTGTATATAATGAATTAAGATATTTTTTTCAAGTATTTCATTAAATTATTTTGCTTCAAAATCTGAAGCTGAACTTAGTCAATTTTCTGTAAAAGTTGAAAATATTGTAAATGCTAGAAAAGGTTAATAAAGACGTAATGACATTTAGACATTTATTAATGGAAACTTAATGGCTCTATAAATTTGCAGGCCAGGGCAGCAAGCACAGAGCAGTCCAGGGGAGCGGTAGTCCAGGGCAGCAGCACACACAGAGCAGAGCCGTCTAGGACAGCAGCATGCACAGAGCAGAGCCGTCCAGGGGAGCGGTAGTCCAGGGCAGCAGCACACACAGAGCAGAGATGTCTAGGACAGCAGCACACACACAGCAGAGCCGTCCAGGGCAGCAGCCAGCAAGCACAGAGCAGAGCCGTCCAGGGCAGCAGCCAGCAAGCACAGAGCAGAGCCGTCCAGGGCAGCAGCCAGCAAGCACAGAGCAGAGCCGTCCAGGGCAGCAGCCAGCAAGCACAGAGCAGAGCCGTCCAGGGCAGCAAGCACAGAGCAGAGCTGTCCAGGGTAGCAGCCAGCAAGCAAGTACAGGGAAGTCCAAGGCAGTAGCCAGTAAACACAGTCTAGGGCAGCACGGCACTCGTGTTCAGAACAACATTTCTGTACAAAATAAAATGTAAAATTAATATTCAAATTTTTTAACAATAAAAATGTTTTAAATATAGTAATGACAAAATGAACTTGGTGTTTTAGACAAAATTCCTTAACACTTGACAGAACCAAATTTATAAACTCAATAGAAAAATAAGAATTTTTGTTAATTTGAATTTTTCACCAAATGATCCTTGAGAACAAGTCTAGGGAATATTATCAGTAACTGTACAGCAACTTAACCTAACTGTACAAGTTATGGTTCACATTAACTGAACTATAAAAACCAAAAACCTTTCATTACAAAACTTACCCACAAGTGAGTTTAGTTTAACCATAATAGTTATTGATGCTTAACTACAATATTTCCTGTATCTTTGGTTCATAGTTTTGTTAATATATTTTAAATGTTTTCTTTCAATGACTTTGACCCAGAAATTATTGATTTGTGATGAATATTTTTACTTTCCACTAACTTTACGTCAATGAATTCCTCGAGTGGGTCAGTCACAGGTCTGGTACAGTATTACAAATGAATGTTGCTAAGAGTACTTTATTATTTACTAAACATACTCATCTTGTAGCTAACTATGTACTTTACTGAATTAATTAAAGTCAAGCATAAACATGACCAATAATTATTTCTGGTGTTATAAATTTGATGTATTAATCGATTGGTTGAGAAGTTATAAGTAGTTATGGCCAGAGTCCAGTTTTGGGGCTTTTAACTTTGGTCAATTGTTATGATATTCCTGTCATCAATAAAGGATCATAGGTACAGTCAGAGTCAAAAGTGTTGAACACTTGGCAATATCTGTCATCTACTCGAGTTATATGATTGGGATATACTAACACAACAGTACTATCATATTATGCCTGAACCACACAATAGGATTAAACTAACTTAATACCAAAGATCTTCGGTACTTACATGCCAAATACTGTCAAGTGTTCAGCACTTTTGACCAAGACTGTACATCAATTCCAGCCCCATAATCCCCTTTCAATATTCTCAACCCTTTACACATTTTCTCATAAATTTAAGTATAATTTCTCCATTACTTTCTATTTTGTCTTGAAATTTATAGCACCAAGAAATCTAGTATGGTCATTGAATATCCCAGAGCAATTTGTTTGCCTTTGGTTTTAAGGATAAACTGGCAGAGAAATTCCAATCCGAGTGTTGGAAAAGTTCATTTTGACACAGGACCATAAAGTAAACTTTACTCCCCTGTAAGTGATCATTCCGAGACAATTTTATATGTAGTATCTTGTTTTTTGTATATTTTTATATCAACTGAACTTGTTATATTCTTTACCTGAGGTAGAGAGGAGGGGTGGAAGGCTGGGTTTTGGCTGTATCTTGGCACCTGCTTCCTTTAGTTGTGTTGTGAATCACTTGCCATCCTGATATTGGAGGAGAGAAGCCTGGTACAGCAGTACAAGTGAGGCAAGATGTGTGGTACAGCAGTACAAGTGAGGCAAGGTGTGGTACAGCAGTACAAGTGATGCAAGATGTGTGGTACAGCAGTACAAGTGAGGCAAGATGTGTGGTACAGCAGTACAAGTGAGGCAAGATGTGTGGTACAGCAGTACAAGTGAGGCAAGTTGTGTGGTACAGCAGTGCAAGATGTGTGGTACAACAGAGTGCGCACCTCTCCTTGACAAGGTCCAGAACCTACTGGAAGTAAAGTCACAAATTATTACCTATAAAAGGTTTCAAGTAAAATATTTTCACAATACTAATTTATCCTAATACAGTATTGTTTAACATGACCCTAAACTGAAGGTTTTATCCTCTATGGAAGTACCACATTAATCCACTTAATCTAGTACAGTAATTGAAGAACAATTCATTAGTGATACACTGTTAATAACCACATTCAAAACTCTCCCAATGATCTGCTGCCAGATTTAGAGTTAATGCTATAATTTAGGTCAATTTTATCATGCAGGTAAAACAGTTAAGTCACTATATACTGTAGTCTCGCCACCAAAGCCAGACTATAAACAAAGTATCGGCCAAATACAGTATTTGAATAAAACAATTTACTCTGGTGGTACAGAAGCAGTCCACAAATACATCAACTTTAGTAATAGTCTTAAGGAATTTTTGAAGCTACAATATTGAGAGCAGCTGGGTTTTAAATTATTGCAGCGTTTTAGTCTACCCAGCACAACACCCAGTAATTATTAACTAATCAAGTGGTCAACTATTTATAGTTGAATAATATCAAGGCTGTTGGAAGCTGCAACCATCTAGGAAGACTACCGTGTATATTAAATATATACTGTACGGTATAAGTACAGACTAATGTTATAGCTCAACATTATAATCTAACCAACACCTAAACTTGGCCTTAGTCTGTTCATCAATGTTAAATAACCCGGCCCTCGTCTTGTGTTGGTAAACCAGCAAAGGTGCCCGGGTAAGTCATTACTATTGATGTGAAAATGAAAGCAATAAGGGTCGGGTCAGAGGGTCGAGACAACAGTGATAAACCCGACCAAGACCAGAAAATATTAACTAGCGGGGTTACTAAATTTATATTCATTTATTATTGCTGTCAAAGTCTCCTCATGACGGTCATTTTTGTTGTATTATCCTCAAGTGGTCTTCATCAGCTTAATGTTTACTTGTACAGAGACGGTGGTGGAAAAGACACGCATTTCTAAGCAACAGCGACTTTATTCTAATATTTAAGACTTATTTTGGAACATTTATTCATTATTTACTAATTCTTAATAAAACAGGATTTAAATTGTGTTATTTATCATTTTGACTAAATTTGTTATAAAAATTCCTCTCCAGTCTCAACAACCTATGTCGTTCATTATAAGAGTTATGATAATACTGTAGCAGGTCGTTCTTTGTTCTAATTTGGGTAATATTGGTCAATAAAATATCTAATGTACCTTACCGATGCTACAGTACAGTTGTTTCCACTTAACGCGGTCAATTGAACCCAGAGGGTCCCGCGTTAAGTGAAATCCGCGTTAAGTGAACAACAGAACATATGGGATTAATTCCAATAGAAACCGGCCCGACCCCCAAACTCCACTTTTTGAAGGCACATACCTATGTTGTAGTAAAAATAACATCTTAATTTTATGATGGTACATGCACACAATTAATACTTAAGAGAAATAGAGAAATACAGTCGCCAAGTTAATGTCCATTCAAATAATGGACTCGACTCCCTCTCACACTACACAGCCGGCTAACAGATGGTCGGTCGGTCCCTCCCTCCCACCCCCCCCCACCCCCCACCAACCGTCCCAAGGAGATGTGTGGGATAACCTCAAACTAAAGTTAGGAAAATATAATTGACATTGCTGGATTCCTTGTAAGACCAGGAATATTTTGAATATAAATGTCATATATTTTGGACAAAAGATAACATAGTTACCTAGAGAAAAAATTTTTATCTAAAAATTGTAAGTTTAAAGCAAAATATATGATGTTTATATTCAAAATGATCACCAAATTATAAGAATTCCAGCAATGTAAATTATATTCTGACCGGGTAATTTGTATGAATTTTATGAGCTAAAACAAATATCTTCAGTTAATAAAAAAAAAAATAATCTTCACAACACTATCTGTCAATCAAAGTACCCCACCTTGCCTCCCCCCCTCTTCCAACCGCGCGGTCAGTCCCAACCCTCCCCCCCACCCCCCACCAATCCTCCCTTCCAGAGTTTTTAACATTTAGTATTAAATAATACCTCAGATTAAAGTTAGGATAATATAATTGACATTGCTGGATTCCTTGTAAGACCAGGAATATTTTGAATATAAATGTCATATATTTTGCACAAAAGATACCATAGTTACCTAGAGAAAAATTTTTATCTAAAAATTGTAAGTTTAAAGCAAAATATATGATGTTTATATTCAAAATGATCACCAAATTATAAGAATTCCAGCAATGTAAATTATATTCTGACCGGGTAATTTGTATGAATTTTATGAGCTAAAACAAATATCTTCAGTTAATAAAAAAAAATAATAATTCTTCACAGGGTAACAGATGGTCGGTCGGTCCCTCCCTCCCCCCCACCCCCCACCAACCGTCCCAAGGAGATGTGTGGGATAACCACTAAATTTTAATAAATAATACCTCAAACTAAAGTTAGGATAATATAATTGACATTGCTGGATTCCTTGTAAGACCAGGAATATTTTGAATATAAATGTCATATATTTTGCACAAAAGATACCATAGTTACCTAGAGAAAAATTTTTATCTAAAAATTGTAAGTTTAAAGCAAAATATATGATGTTTATATTCAAAATGATCACCAAATTATAAGAATTCCAGCAATGTAAATTATATTCTGGCCTGGTAATTTGTATGAATTTTATGAGCTAAAACAGGCAGTCAGGCAGGGTGGCGGGTGGGGCAAATCTAAAAATAGCGTCTCGGACACTCACCGCGTATATGTGGAAAAAATCCGCGTTAAGTGAAAGTTCAGCTTTGGCAAGGCACCGCGTATATGCGAAAACGCGTTAAGTGAAACCGCGTTAGGCGGGTAAAACTAAAACAATCTTTCTCGTCAGTGACAGTCTTTACCAGATTATTTTTCTCTTCACATTAAACAAAAGCTACTTTGTCTGGCCTGATAATATATCCATTACCTTACAATGAAGTGCTAAAGACAGACTTCCACAGAGGACACTGCCATGTTATCCAATAAAACATTATGATCAGCGGCCAAGTGTGACCTTCCCATAATAAGTGAACAGACTACAGTAACTGGTTTCCGTAATTACTGTATTTTGCCAATTATAAAAATGTTCGAGTAATTTATTAACCCAAAACAGACAGCAAAATGGCATCAACTAATACTTTGTTTACAGATACTGATTATTCAGCAAAATATTGATATTATCTGTAGCCATATCAGATAATTGGTGCATACCAAGTATTGTACTGTACTAATACTTTGATATTTACACTTAGAAGAGTTAACTAGACAAGGCAGTCCATGGATTACAATTACTGTACTTTGTCAAGAGTTTAGTCAAGAAATTACAATGAGAAATGCCCTGTACTGTACCCAACCTGACTTGTTTCTGGTGCAGCAAGTGTCAGGTCACCAGAAGAACTCTTGATCATTTCTTGCATCCTCCATCTTCAAGTCATCATCCTGGAATGATGAATTATTACTACTAATAAAATATTCAATAGTATACCTACAGTACATGCTACATCAATACAGGTATCCCCCAATATACAGTACATATGCCTGATTAACAAGTTTCAACAAAGGTTTACACTACACAGAAGCAAACAAATCCCAATTTGATGCCATTTTTATCAATGTAAAGATTCTCCCTCACAGGAACATAACCCCAATAATACTGTAATATATAAATTACTTCAATTTAATGAAAGCATTTCCAGGAACAATATTTTAGTATATTAAGGGACACCTGTGAACTAATTTACTGAATACATGAATCATTACACAGCCCAACTTAAGCACAAAGTATGAAGTGGAGAAAAACGCAGTTATGCAACCTTATTTTTACCATAGGTCTTGAACTAATACAGTAGTGATATCAGTGCCAGATTTAGACCTGTGGAGGCCTCCCCCTCATTATAACTACCCAAGAGAGTGGGGTGGAGAGTGAAGCGAGTCTAAACATCTGAGAGTTCTGGGGGTGTAAGCCCCCCAGGAAAATTTTTAAATTTGAACACTTCTTTGGAGAATTTTAAAGCCATATGCAGTTATATTAAAAATATAAAAAAATACAGTTCATAGGAAAACCAGGTATTCATGAATTTCAAGGAGTAGCTAGCCTACTTTCTATCACGCTTCTTGCTGAACATAGTTTTACATGATGGAATAGATAAACATGAATTTTAAAGAATGAAAATAAAAATAATCCAAATGAATAAACAAATAAAATATTGTAATATGTGGAGGCTCCTGGGCAGCTGCCCACTTTGCCCACTACTGAATCCGGCCCCGAGTGATACCACTGATATTTTGACAAATAAGTTTTGATAGTGTACAGTATTATGGAGTCATCCCCCTGATTATATGGGTTAACTACCCCCACAATGTTTTATAGAACTGTACAGTACTAGATTATTGATGACCATTCTGCAAGCTATCTGGGAGTAAAAGAAAAGGTTCATTACATTCAAGAGCTGTTGATAAGGGTAAGGCATAGTAATATTGAACACTTCCTGCATCAATTTCTTGCAAGAATGTGGCACTAAAAAACAAAGTAACTAAAAATAACCAAAACTAAGTTACATTTTTAAGAAAATAACATTTACAATTATGAGTTCAACTAATCCAAAGACCATCTACAAACATCAACAGGCTGTGAACCCAGAACATTAATTTACAATTCTTTGCAACTACATATAGTTCCTCGTAAAGTTTAATAAATAGATATTAAAAAACTTATAAATTCCATCATTTATAACAGGTAATCTGCATTCTTCACTAGGTATAAAGTTTATAAAGAATACAAGTGTATACAGTAGTACCACGCTAACCTGGGACAGTATCCACAACTTTTCTGCTAATGACGAAATCGTTCTGTTAGCTAGCAGTAAAATTTATAAGTGTATACATGAAGCTTAACCAATAAACTTTACCGCACAGATATTGTAGAGTTGTAGAACAAGAACAGGAGAATCAACCCAGAGGAATGAGAGTTCAGTTTTGCTGGATGACTCATTTATAAACCTCTTGCAAGAAGGGTGTGGTTATCTATGCTATGCAAGACCTTAGAGCCAGCCAGGCGAGGGTACAGGGAGAGGATGTTTTTGAAGAGTCCAAGTGGTGTAAAATTAAATTAAAGGGAGGGGACTCTTTGTCCTGTGTATCTACAGATCCTCAAACTGTGGCCCACTAAATCAAGGAACTTAAGAGCCTTTATAGACAATGCTGCGATGCCCAACCCTAGCCACCTCATTATAGGGGTACTTTAACTATGGCGACATCTACTGGAGAAACGAGTTCACCCCAAATGACTAACCCTGGTACTCTGTAGAAACTCCCAGAGATAGTTTTCTGTTCCAACATGCTAGAGACCCAACTCATTACAGAATGGAGCAAACACCCAAGCCACAGACAAACGAGGAGGGTATGGTGGCCTAACTGGAACACCTTGCCCCAGTTGGTGCCAATCACCATATAGTGTTGTCATTCAGATTTATGTTACCTAGTTCAAGATAAGACCAGGCCAAGGTGCAAATATTACAAGGGAAATTACAACGGGATGAGGGAAGTGATGTGGGGTATCCACTGGCCTGACCCATTAAGGCACAAGAACGCAGACACTACGCTGAATACCGTAATTAGTAAATTGACCTATTTGATTGATAAATATATACCCAAGACCAAACCCAGTGCCTCTAGGAATACGAGGGGATCCCTACACATGAACCATGCAGCGTTCGACAAAGTTAAGAAGAAAACCCAAAATTCAAGATGTGGGTTGGGTCAAATGATGAGCAGGACAGGAGGATGCATGCAAGAACCAGAAACCAAGCAAAGGTAGAGTGTAGAAGGGCTGAATAGGAGTTCCAGAGGCTGGTTGCAAGCAAGGTCAAGTCAAACCCAAAGGCATTTTACCGCTATGCAAAGTCAAAATTAAAAACGCGAGTAGAAGTATCAGACCCAAGGCTTGAAGATGGTAGTTACACAGATTCTGACCAGGATAAAGCGGAGGCATTAAACAGCTTTTCCTAGGTGTTCACAAGAGAGGATGCGATTAACCTTCCTGCATTTAAGGAGATAGTTCGACAAAGCACTGACCCACATTGTGTTCACAGAAGAGGGTACTAGAAATACTGTTAAAGCTAAATGTCCATAAGAGTTCCAGTCCTGACATGGTGCATCCCAAAGTACGAAGAGAGTTGTGCAACGAGCTTGCCGAGCCCCTGAAGTTCCTGTTTTGCAAATACCTGGATGAACAAAAGGTCCCCAGTGATTGGCAAGTGGCTGATGCGAGTCCTATCTTCAAGAAAGATGATCGTCACTCGAAGAACAACTATAGGCTGGCGAGCCTGACTAGCATAATATATAAAGTACTCAAGAGTATTATCAGAGATGCCGGGATGAAACACCTACCACGAAATAACCTTATAAAGGATTACCAACACGGTTTTATGCCGGGGCGCTCCAGCTTAACACAATTGCTCAAGGTATTGGATATTTGGACCCATATATATATATATATTATATATATAAAACAAAGAAGTATGTCTGTTTTTTTGTGTGTGTGTGTGTGTCCGCAGAGAATCTCGGAAAGTACTTTACCGATCTGTAGATGAATGGTGTTATATGTAGTGATGATGGGTGGTGTTATATTTAGTGATGATGGGTGGTGTTATATGTAGTGATGATGGGTGGTGTTATATGTAGTGATGATGGGTGGTGTTATATGTAGTGATGATGGGTGGTTATATTTATTTCCAACTAATATAAATGAGGCTCAAAAGACTTAGAATAATGAGATGTAAATGTTTCCATATAGTTTTAAACTTTGGGGCGCGCCACGTCCGGAAGTACAATACCTTAGAAGTGGAAGTACCAGGGATAGGTTCAGGGTCAACCTCTGATGCTTGTTCTTTCTAAATTTACAGTGATGGCACTTAACAGACATAGGGAGAACATTATTGCATAGGAATTGGATAGCTTGATACTCAAGTAAAACTCCACAATAAACTTAAAATGATCAAAGCACGATTCACACCCAACCTCTACCACGGCCGTTATCACACTGGTGTCTGGTCATTGAAATCCTTCAAATCCGTACCATGGCTCCTCCCTTTGAAAAAAATTGAATTTCTATTGGTTGAAAAAAATTAGCGCGATATCGATACACCATTGGTCACGACTGGAAGACGTCACGCATGCGTGAAGTAAGCACGCTCATATATAATTAGCTCGCTTTCACGAGTATAAGAAAGATGAAGCGATCTGGTTGAGCCCAGATTCTTTCTACTCCTACTGTATTTCAGTTTCACCACTTTTCCTTCAACCCCTAATAATCTTCTTTCACCTCTTAACTAAAGACTTCGTATCGTATCGTAGTACTTACTACTCAGTCTAGGAGATGTAAGCAGAGAAACCAGATATCAGATGAACAACGATGTTATGAGAAATGCGAATGCGAGAAAGATTTAGGGGTAATGATAAGTAGGAATCTTAAACCAAGTAAACAATGTGTATTTGCTCGAAACAAGGCTAATAAAGTACTTCGGTTCATACAGAGGAGTGTTACAAGACTAGAGGTTATCCTAAAACTATACAGTATCTTGCGCTTGTAAGACCTCACTTGGATTAAGCAGTTCAATTCTGGTCACCGTTATACAGAATGGTTATAGAATCCCAAGAAAGAATTCAGAAGAGAATGACAAGACCAATCCCGGGCATTAGCAGCATTGAGTCCAGACAGGTTAAAGCATCTTAATTTGCACTCTCTCGAAAGAAAGAGTGAGCGGCGATATGATAAGAGGTGCAGAAATGGAAGTCAGGGCTAAACAAAGGGGGACATTACAAAGGCACTCAAACTATCCAACCATGAGCGAACTCTCAATGGTTTTAAAGTAGACACTTAGATTTAGGCGCGGAAATAGGTAAACATTGGTTTGGAAATAGTGGTGGATGAATGGAACAAGTTATCAAACATTTAACTCGAATACGCTGGATAGCTTCAAACATAAGTTGGATGGATATATGAGCAATAGGGGTGGAGTGTAAATGGGACTGACCAGCATGGGCCAATAGGCCCGCTGCAGTTTCCTCCATTCTTATGTTCTTTAACAGACGAAGACTGAAAAGTAAGTAAAATCAATTAAATTCAATTGTGTCGCTATTATCCATTTCCGCCAGGTATATGTGGGGTTCAAAATGCTCAGAATAGGGAGATCGAAATGTTTAATGGGTTTATAACTGGGGAGCGTTGTCCGAAAGTATTTTTTTACTCAAATTTAACCATTTTTTTTTGCAAGTCATCGGTTTTTGCCCCGGCCCCCCCCCCCCCAATCCTTTTTAACAAACTGCTAATTTGCACAAAATTGGAGGTTAAATTTGAGTAAACCGCCAAAAATATAACCTTATCAAAGAAACCAACAAACCAACCGACCTAACCTATAAGGAAGAAGAGGCAAGTGACTGATTAAAACACTCGAAATACAAAAAAATATATACGAAATATATCAAAGGAACCAACCCGCCTACCTACCTAACCTAAAAGAAAGAGGTAAGAAAACCACTAACCAAGTAAGGAGTATAACCGCGGGTAAATATGCCGGAACATGCGGACAGCCAATAGACCAATATTAACCGAAAAATCTTACGAGTAACATACTTTTAATACTCAAGTTAAATCCAGTAACATACAAGACCAAAATATACACCAAGTATGAGGAACGTTACTTAAATATTCAGTCTCAAATACGGTGACCAAAACTAAACCATATTTCATTAAATAAATGTACAAACCAAAATGGTATACTATTCTCTAAAGTAACTGGTCAATGTGATTACGAGCGTTAACGACCATGAACCTATGCTTGTTTATAATGGTAATAAATTAACCGTCTTGTGTCAATACAGTAATTTTTTTTTAAATTCCATTTAAAATTATTAATTTTAAAATAAATCGGTACAAAATCGACAAATAAATAACCTTAAAATACCGACCATTACACAAGTATAAATTTAACTACTTAAATAAATTAATACTTACTAAATATTTTACGAACAGCGTCTGTCAAGTGAGAGAGACGACCGACAGCACCTCCCCCCTTTGTGTTTCTACAGGAAGTGAAGCGCCATTTGCAAATTGCCTTTGCCTAGTCCTCTTCCCGCCCAAAACCCGAGACTAATGAGGGAATATTGAAAAATAAATCAAGCCTTAATCGTACAAACAAGTTTTAATACAAATTTTAGGGTAAATTAATTTATTTCGTAGTGTATAAAAGAAAAAATAAGGAAAACTTTACGGAAAAATAAATAGAAATAAGAATACTGTACAGCCAAATTCTTCAGCGTCCGAAGAGTCGGGGCTGCCAACATTACTGATTTATTCAATTATACAAAAAAAATACTTTACTATTGCTAACACATTTACTTTTATCTAAGAATAATATAATACTTTTCAAATTAATTAAACCTATAACTAAGAAAACCTTACGTGGAAAAATATAGACGAAGTACTTCCCCGACTACAATAATGGTAATTACCGTACCTTATTGGGTGGTTACCGCTGATTAGTAATATATAGCCTATATATATATATATATATATATATATATATATATATATATATATATATATATATATATATATATATATATATATATATATATATATATATATATATATAGGATCATATGAAGATCCTCCCCCCCAAACCTACTTGGGGGGGAGGATCTTCATATGATCAAGCCTGGATGGGAGGATCTGACCTGACCAATGACCAAACCTGACCTTACCTGACCTGACGTCACTATGACCACCTAACCTAACCTAACCTAACCTTACCTAACTAACCTGGGGGGGTGGATCTTCATATGAGCGCGACTGGGGGGAGGATCTTCAGTTGGATACTTTGGGGGGGAAGATCTTCATATGATCCTATATATATATATATATATATATATATATATATATATATATATATATATATATATATATATATATATATATATACATACATACATACATACATATATATATATATATATATATACAGAGAGAGAGAGGCCGTTGCAGGCGCTCTAATCTCTCAGGGTAGGTGAGGTGCCGTAGTGAAGGTGGTGGCCTTCCTTTGGACATTTTCAATCAACTGACAGTCCCGAGCATATCTCGGGGACCAGGCAAGGTGACAGTACCCCAGGCGGGGAAGTACCTCACCTTCTATGGCACTGTCTCATAGCTAAGCCTGGACGTCAAAGCTTAAATCCTTAATTACCTCAATCTGTTTACCAAGTTGCCAACAGTGCGTAACAGAGAGCCAGTACATGCCACAGGCGGGTATTTATGTAATCCTGCCTACCCAGGCATAGAGGTGTGAAATGAAAGGCACCGCCGGTTGACTGAGGCGAGGACGGCAGCTGGCGAGCGACTCAGGGACGGATGTCTGTGATAGGGAACGCGCTGTTGATTGACTGAGGCGAGGAGGCGAAGAATTTGTTGGGAGAGTTAGCCACTACAGAGTGCCAGGGAGTACCAGGGAGTACCTGAGTATTCCAGGGATTCCCATGTCCCAGGGAGTGCCACAGTGGCCCAGGGAGTGCCACAGTGGCCCAGGGTGTCCCAGGAAATGCTAGTGTCCCAAGGAGTGCCAGAGTCCCAGAGAGTGCCAGTGCCCTTGTACTGACCATGGTCATACATGTTAGTTAACGTAAAATCAGATGATTCATATTACGCTCAATAGCCCATACACCATGTAGCTGTGACTTCCTTATTGAGTTCCCCAGTCGAGACTTCCGGTTTTCGGTTTTCTCACCGCTTCGGGACCCTTGAGTCTGTGGGGTACCTGATGTTGGTTCTCGTTCAGGATGGGTTGGAGAAAGGAGACTCACAATGTGCTCTCTGTATACATGTTGTATTGGATGTACGATGCAGCTTGGTGCTGGGAAGTGGCAGCGTGGGTCCAAGCGTGATGTAGAGAGAGCTGGTTGGTGAGGGTGCTCAGAGGAGGACCAGCCTGTGGGTCGCCATGGTCGCCGGCAGGAGCGAGGGCCGCCAGGCAGGAGGAGGAGGTGTTGCTTGCTGGTTGGTGTAGAGAGCGGTCACCACGAGGTCAGGTCTTTTATAGCGGAGGTAGGCGTGGGTAGATAGTTGACCTCCGTCATGTAAGGCGGCGCTGGTTGACCTAGACCACGAGGCATACACTGGGGAATTCGCGGGGTCGGCTACTCAGAGACAAACAGTGATATTGAAAGCTTCAACTGTATTTATTGTTAGTAAAATTATCAAATAAGTTAGGGTAGTCTGCCAGCAGGAGTGACGAATCCCCACTATCGTCCCAGGGGATGCCATGAGTTGTCAACTGATACTGTAGTTATATCATTTTGATTCCCAATCATCAGAGAATCTGATGTTTGTATTACAATTATTGTCAGTTATATTTTAGAAAGTAATTAGTCTCCTGAAAAGAATATGCCAGTCTTCTTATCTCCAAGATCTAACGACACACTCACAGAAGGCCTGTAGTGGATTTCCCCCCTACAAACGCTGTTTGTCGCTGAGTAGCCGACCCCACGAATTCCACAGTGTGTGCCTCGTGGTCCAGGTCAACCAGCGCCGCCATACATCACGGAGGTCAACTACTAAGCCACGCCTACCCCCCGCTATTTAAGACCTGACCTCGTGGTGATCGCTCTCTTTCTACCTACACCAACCAGCCAGCAACACCTCCTCCTCCTCCGCCTGCCTGGCGGTCCTCGCTCCCGCCGGCGAGCATGGCGACCCACAGGCTGGTCCTCCTCTGAGCACCCTCACCAACCAGCTCTCTCTACATCACGCTTGTAACCATGCTGCCTTCCCAGCACCAAGCTACATTGTACATCCAATACAACATGTATACAGAGAGCACATTGTGAGTTTCCTTTCTCCAACCCATCCTGAGTGTGAACCAAACAATCCCTTACCCCACAGGCCCTAGTCTAAAATTTTGATGACGTCGTAAGAAAAACGTTATCAACGTGTGCATTTGACGTCTATTTCAATATTGCCCATGACCCATTACACTTTTTATAGCCCAATGTACAGCTACTGATTTAAATGAAATTTATGTCAATGCATGAATTGCCCTCTTTGGCATGCCTAAGTTGCCAGTTAGCCCATTTATAAACGTGTGCATGAGGATGCGCGACACTTGTCACGCTCCCTCGTCGTATCTCCAGGTATGTGAACTATTAAAAAAATTATAGCGCGTTTTTTCCCAGCTGAGAAAAGATGCCCCGCCCCCTCCTCAAAATTTACAACTGATTGGCTGTTGCAAACCTGTCCGATTTTGTCCTTAAGTAATGAAGAAAAGAAGATAAATGAAAAGGATAAGTAGTCAGAGACGCGACCGATCTCCCAAGCGGCTAACGAGCCGATCAGTGGTGGAGAGGATAAAAGTAAAAAGCAAAAAAGGTGACAGCTTCCTTACTATGAGACTTTGTTTACTGATATATTCTTTATAATTAATGTTTTAAATAACCCCAAATAAAAACAAACACTTTCATTAGATAAAACTCCATTAACATCAATACTTACATTATACTTTCAATAATTCCTTAAATAAACTTTCTTGGGGTAAAACAAGAGAAAAATGTGTTTGGTAGCACACCCTTCTCACGTATCCGGGCCAAGCGGGACTCGAACCCTGGAGTAAATCTCACCAAACAAACTAATATCAACTAACCCATCTGCAGGTAAGTTTCCAACAGTGCATAACAAAGGGCCAGTACTTGCCAACAGTGCCTGACAGAGACGTGACCGACCTCCCAAGCGGCTAACAGGCCGACCAGTGGTGAAGATGATAAAATAAAATAAAGTATATAGAAGGAAAATAATTGTTATATATTTACAACCATAATAAAAAGTAAAGAAGTCCTCCCATGTAAAAGTTCCATTTTCTTTTATCGCAACAGAGAAAATGGACGTAAATAAACAGTTTCATGAATGAGATTAAATGCGGGAATTTAATGAGTTTGAATGAGTTTAAAGGTGTTACTGCAGTATTAAACAGACCAACTGAGAATTACTTTAGTTAAGTGGCTAATAATAATAATAATAATGTTCATTTGCGAGGGAAACATCATAGAAGAAAAGTGTCTTAGAATTGTCTGAACTATTGATTACAGAGAAAATTTTCGAGATTCGATTAGTGGTAATAAAAATAATGATAATAATAATATTACTGTATTATTATTATTATTATTATTATTATTATTATTTCTAGCATGGGGAAGACGCACCTCTGAGCCCGCCAAAATTATTCATTAAAAAAAATTACGAAAACGAAAAAAATACAGAATATAAGAATAGAATTGACATTATAAGAAATAAAGAATATAGTCTATAACAGCATCATCACGACATTTCTGGAGAAGGAAATTTCATTAGATTTTACTACCCGGTACACTCAACTTGACACTTAAGACTTCATGGATAACTGATGTGGCGGTTGTAGTGGGGAGGGGGGTGTAGTGTAGATGGTGTGGGTGGTGGGCGTGGTGTGATAATAATATTTATTCAGTAAAAATGTCATATAGGTTTACAATTGGATAGATATGTATAGAAACTATGCAGGTACACAGTTCAGCATGAATATAGACAATCTAGCTAGGCCTATACGGTGCAGGTAAGGCAACTTGACCAAGGTTAGCCCACAAAGCTGTCTGGTGCTGGGATGGTTGGCGTGGGTGGTGGCACAGTGGGCGTGGGTGGTGGCACAGTGGGCGTGGGTGGTGTCATGGTGGGCGTGGGTGTGGTGGCACAGTGGGCATGGGTGGTGGAACAGTGGGCTAAATTGGTGACGTGGGCATGGGTGGTGGCACAGTGGGCGTGGAGTGTGGTGGCACAGTGGGCGTGATGGAACAGTAATCGTGGTTGGTGGCACAGTGGGCGTGGGTGGTTTTACAGTGGGCGTGTATGGTGGCATAGTGGCCGTGGGTGGTGGCACAGTGGGCGTGGGTGGTGGCACAGTGGGCGTGGGTGGTGTCATGGTGGGCGTATGTAACAAAATGAACATTGGTTTGTCCGTGTAACAGCATGGGCGTTGGGGGCGTGTTTGACAAGATGGGCGTAGGAGCAGACCATCAATATTGGCGGTTAGCTCTAAGCCCTATGGGACCTGTTACGTCGAATTCAGGGATTATTGTCCAAC